GTACCTAATTGATGAAACAATTCCCGGAAAAATTCAGAAGTAAATCTCGGGTCCCGATCACAAACAATAGTGGAACTCAAACCGTGTAATCTAAACACATTCTGGAGATACAAATCAGCAGAACCCTTAGCGTCAATTTTGGAAGTCGTGGGGACTAAATGGACACATTTTGTAAGCCGGTCAACAAATGTATAAATTGCATCAAAGCCCTGAGGGGTCTGGGGTAAGCCAACGATAAAGTCCATGGAAATATCTTTCCAGGGGGTGTCTGGTACTGGGAGCGATTGCAGCAAACCGGATCTAGGCAACCCACCCTTAGTGCGCTGACATATGCCGCAAGACTTAACAAATTTCTTCACGTCAAGACCCATCTTGGGCCAATAGAAGAATTGACGAAGCCGGAAATATGTACGATCCCGTCCCTGATGGCCTGCCGTAACACAGTCGTGGTACTCCTGCAGGAGCTGAAGCCTTATTGCACACTTGGGTACACACAAGCGATTGTTTGGTGCTGCACGGAGGTATGTACCTGGACTCTTCATCCCAATAGTACCGCTCGTGTAGATTATCAGAGGAATCGCCGCGCAGCCGCTGAATTATTGGGGAAAGCTGCTCGTCATTCTGATATGCTTCCGAAATCATCTCAGCAACCCTATCACTCAGTTCCAAAGCAAACTCAATCGTATTCAAATGGGGTGCTGGTAGGATGGGTGGGCAATCCTTTTCCTCAACTACATTGCCAATTGCTGACCCGCGCAGATCAGGGCGGCGGGATAACGCATCAGCCATATTTTCCTTGCCGGGTTTGTGATTAAGTGTGAAGTCATAGTCTGCAAGAAATTCAACCCATCTAGCTTCGCGCTTAGTGAGATTGGCTTTTGTGCTCAAGTAGACTACGGCCATGCTGTCACTGAACACTTCAAAATGCTGGAATAGATAAATTCTCCAGGATCGCAGTGCAAACACCACCGCCAGGGTTTCGCGTTCTGCAGCAGTGTAATTTCGCTCCGCTTGTGACAGCTTACGACTGGCATATGCCACAGGATGCCAAGCACTATCGCTTTCCCCCTGTTGGAGAAGGACGCCTGCTATTGCAAAATCACTTGCGTCTGTTGCAACTCTGAAAGGCTTCTGTACGTTTGCTAGTTTCAACAGCGGTGCACTCAACAAGGCCTGTCTCAGGGATTCGAATGCATGCTGACGGGGGCCACTCCATTCGAACCTGGCATGTTTGCCAGTGATCTCCTCTAATGGCCGCGATATAGTAGAGTAGTGCTCAATAAATCTTCTAAAGTAGTTCGCAAAACCAAGGAACTGTCTCACCTCCGTAACTGTCGTCGGTGGCTGCCATTCCCTCACTGCTTTAAGCTTCTTTGGATCTGGAGCGATACATTCACCGTCGATGCGATGCCCTAGAAACAGAACATCCTTGACACCAAACTCACATTTCGACTGCTTACAGAATAGCCTATTTTTCCGGAGCGTCTCAAGAACTGTCTGGATATGTTCAAGATGATCTTGCCAGGATTTGCTGAAGATAAGAATATCATCCAGAAAAACTACCACAAACCGCCGTAAGTACGGTTGGAGAATACTGTTCATCAGTGACTGAAACGTGGCAGGGGCGTTAGTTAATCCAAAGCCCATGACCCGGAACTGGAAATGACCGAAGGGAGTATTGATAGCCGTCTTAGGTACATCTTCCTGACGGATCCTAAGCTGATTGTATCCCGAGCGTAAATCCAGCTTACTGAAGTATGAGCTACCTTGAATGGTATCAAACAGGTCATCAATGTTTGGGAGGCAAGCTTTGTTTTTGATGGTGATCCTGTTCAAATTCCGCCAATCACAAACCATGCGCAATGAGCCATCAGACTTTTTAACGAAAAAGACTGGGGCACCGTATGGCGACTTGCTGGGTTCGATGAAGCCCTTGCGGAGGAGTTCCGTGAGCTGGGCTTGCAATTCGTCCATCTCGGGTTTGGGGAGACGGTAGGCAGCCCGTGATGGAGGAACGGCACCCTCCTCAGTCACAATCTCATGGTCGACATCCCTCTCTGGCGGAAGCTCGGTCGGCAGGTCGTCTGGAAAGATGTCCGAGTACCGCCGCAGAAGGTTAGCCAGCTGCTCTTGATGATCTGGGTGTTGTCTGGCGGCTGATGGCTTGCTGTCCTCCTCCTCGTCGTCAGTAGCGTTGACCCACGCCAGGATTCCCTGCGCGCCTTTCCTCAACTCGCGGCGAGCCTGAGAACCAGATATGAGCATGCTCTCAATTGGCGGCGACTCCTGACGCTCCGTATCACTATTTTGGCCGGAAGGGGGTTTAGCAACGAGCGGCTCTCCGTTCAGTTTAACTTCGTTGGTCTGAAAGTTGATATCCGGGTTGTGTCTGGTCAGCCATGGCTTGCCCAGGATAGCATCATAGCGGCCCAACGGAAAAACTGTGAAAGATTGGGTGTCGCTGAAGTCCTTCACGATAACCTTTACCGGACCGGTCCTCTGCAGTCCCGATGATGTTGATGAGCCATCAGCCAGGGTTACCTTCAGTGTTTCGTCCTTGCTCTCCGTAACAAGGCCGTTTCTTTGCACGAAAGCTTCCGATATGAAGTCGTGCGTCGATCCCGAGTCAATAAGCATAATTGCCCGGCGGCCGTTGATCCTGCCCTCAACACGGAGAAGGTCATGCTCCAAAGGAAGCTCCGTGTCCTGTAGTGCGATATCAACGTTGCTGACATGGGATTCCTGTTCGGCAACATCTTCCGAATCAGCTTGCAGCGTCGGTTCTTCCAGCTCTAGTACGCTGTAACGGTTGCGTATGTCAACCGGGTAACCGTTGGGTGCTTTCCGCTTGGTCGCCAGCGAGCGCACGCCATTTTTCACTGGCGACCAGCGTTTGGGTGTTGATTGCTGGGACAATCCCGAGCTAGGTGACCTGGCTTCCGACAAGCGAAGCATCCACCCTGCCGACTCAGGTGACGCCTCTCCTCCGGTGTTAGCCTTTGGGGTCGTACGAGCTGACTTCGGTGCTGAATCGGGTTCGGCTGTTGGTCCGCCGTTTGCGCTGACCTGATCGCTTGGCTCAGATCAGTGGGGTGCTCTCGCAGCACCCGGGTCTTGACAGATGGGTGCAGTCCATTTACGAACAGCAGTCCTCGGGTCAGCTCGTCGATCTCAGGCACTTGTAGGCTTAGGCGCGAGAACTCGGTGACATAGCTCTCCAAGCTTGAGTGCTGCCTGACAGCGAAGAGATCCAGTCGCACCCGCTCTTGATGATGCAACGGACCGTATACCTTGGCGAGGGCTTCACGCAGCGCTGGCCACGTCGAGAACTCCACACCCGTATCCAACGATGCGATGAGCCATAGCTTGGCGTTGCCGCTCAGGAAGCCCGCTGCGTAATCCACCATCACCGATGAGTCGGTGATTCCCAGTGACCGAATCGCCAGCTCAATGGAGAAAGCCCACTCTTTGAACTGCGAGGGCTTGCCATCGAAGATCGGCGGCTCCTTAGCGTGCCGAGGCTTCCCGGACGAATGAGCGGGCGGCACAGGGAGCGGTTGTTGTCGGTTGCTCAGACGGGCGCTGACTTGGCGACTGGCTTCACGGACCTCGCTGGCCAACCTGAATAGCAACACAGAAAGAACAAGGATCGCCACGACAATGGCGAGCTCCAAGAACACCATGTTAACCATCCTCTGCTACCAGTGTAACCGTTTGAAGGTATTCTTGGAAAAGACAATGCTTGCTCAAGGCAACACAACTGATATAGGGCACTTCGTGCCCTAAGGTGATAACGCGCGTGCTGACAGGATAGGGAAAGGTGCAAGATACAGAGCTAGAGGGCAGATAAGGTTAGCGCTAACAGGGAACTGTTACACATGTAGCTATAATTATAATAGGGATTGGTTTGGTTTGGTTTGGTTTGGTTTTTATTATTTCAGTTCGTTGCCTCAACAGTACAAAGTACAAATATCAAGAGGGACGAACGAAAAGAGAAAATAAAACAGAGCAGAGAGGAAGATGCAACTGAAAGGAAAGAAAAACGGAGAGAAACGGAGAAGGAATGTGGACTGGGCGGATTCATGAACCATTACTAGTAGAGAGAAACGGAGAAGGAATGTGGACTGGGCGGATTCATGAACCATTACTAGAGCAGGGCAATGCATGAACAGAAGGGGCAAGTCCGTCGATATTCATGTTTAAAAAATTCCAAGCCTTATTTTATTGGTGAAATACATTTTCAAAAAGGAGGGGATATCCCAGATATAGTCAATTTGTCGTCATTTAGAGCGTGCAAAAGTTCTGTAGAAAATGATCTAATGTCCTCACTTCCTTTCAAGTGAGCAGGGAGGGCATCAGTCCACATAAGGTATGCTCTGGAGGAAAAGGAATTGTACCCTACCATGGATTTATACAAGCAAATTGACAAATTGTTTGTTGTAGTTCCACGAGTTGACCGCTTAGAGGTGGGCAAAGGGAAAAGACTGCGTAAGCATGATGCAGGCTGAACAATCTGACAAATAAACGTAAACGTAAGAAATTGATAAATGTATCGATATTCAAGGTGTTTTATTTGAAGAGAAGCAAGACAGGGGGGGGGGGTGGTACAGCAGCATGATATGAAGCACCGCAGGTACAAGGTAACTCGTAGATTCTAGACTACAGCTCTACGGAACAAGGGATCCGGATAAAAGAGGATCGGGGCGAGGTCTGACTGTAGTCTGTGTAGAGTGCAGTTGTCTTGACTTGGGCGCGAGGCGTGGCGCATCCGAACGTCGTCGGCGGGATCGCGATATCGGGTCAGTGCCCGGCGCGGGATTGGGACGGGAAGTCACTTTTTGTCAGCTTTTGATCATGTACGCTACAGTCATGTACAACCAAAAGTACAAATCATAACCCCAAACTGGACTCTGGCCTTCGACAACGCGATGGAGACGTGAGATGTGATGAGCCATGACTGATGACCACAGCTGATCATTTCTGCTGTGCTGAATCTGCTGACGGTTGTGTCGAGGACATCCCTGCTGTACGCCCGGGTTCAGCAGCATTTGGAAGCAGATTTCTGTTTTTTTGCCTTGGTTTGTCAAGGCAGGGGATCTTGTGGGAGTGGTGCTTTGGTTTACATGGTTTATCACTCCTCGTTGGAGATCACAACAACTTGGTTCCAATCATTTTAGGCTGCAATATGTCTCATCAAACTGGAATTGAAGGTACCTTGCAAGTTGATTATTTTTTGATGGCGCTGCTGTTTCTCAAGCGAACATTTTGCTGTTGGCTTTCGTGCAGCGTCCGATGAGCTGAATGAGCTCTTCGGGAGGTTGTCGTCATCTAATATTCGAGCGATCAAAGTGAGCATTCTAGACGGTAAGGAGATTTCGCGTCAAGATGTCATGCTTCGTACGCATTAGGTGCATACAGTCATGTACCCAAAATTTATAATTATATTTATAATACATCAGGGAGTCGTAGTATCTACAGAGACGACACGGGGACAGGAACGTGGAATCATGTGGGTTTCGCTCCCGGGCTGCCCGTTCCAGTTGCCCTTGGGGCAGGGCCGATTAATGCACGTTTTCACATTCGTGCATAATTATGGATCGTTGGCCTGGGTCGTGTTCAAGGTCAGCAGGTCAGGCCCGGGGTCGATCGTGAGTATCATAGACCACGCATGGATCATGCTTCATTTCCAATTTCAGGGTCGAAACGTGCGTCGTTTCGGGTACCAGGGGCGTAGCACCCGCTACGACTGGTACGACCATGGCCGTACCACATTTCGAAGAGTGTGGTCCGTCCGGAACGTGCAAAACCGTAATAAAAAAATCAGGATCCATCGATGCATATGCGCATCAGACTTTGACCTTTTTCTAGATAAGACTCGTACTTGCTCGTAGATCTGCCATGCATCTGCAGTCGTACTGAGTCTGTACTCGACTCGACTGCACACTGCGCCAGAAGTTCCCAGAACGCAGGATTTTGTGTCTTTTTACAAAATTTTCCCGGGGGACGGCCCCCGGACCCCCGTCCAACACACCCTTCGGCCGCACCGACCTTCGGTCGTACCACTTCCAAAAACCCTCCTACGCCCCTGGGTACTATGGTCTTGTGCCGTCTCGTTGTAGATGCTATGACTCCCTCGTGTACAAGTCCCTTTTGTACCCTGTTCTTGAACTATTTTGGTCACTAGTCATCCCCGCTGGCAGAGAGCATGAACGATGTAGAATGGGTATGTGTGTACCGAGCTGCGTGTCGGCAAATTGAGCAGCGAAAGCTCACTCTCTTATCCACTTGCACTGCATGCATGTATGCTCTCATACATGAAGTTGCTTGCGTATGTAGGCGGGGCAACAATGGACCATAGCCAATATTACAAAGCTTACCAAAACATGATCAGCTCATGCACCTGAGTACCGTATTTCCCCGAATATAAGTCGCACCTTTTTACCCTTAACTTCATGGCCAACAAGGGGGTGCGACTTATAATCGAGCATGATACAGTCGGCCCTCTTTAATCCGGCACTTTATAAACCAGCGAAATGTCCTCTTCATGCACATTACAATAGTAGATAAGATTTGTTAATCCAGCACCCTCCCTAATCCAGCAGAATTTCTTTAGAACAAATGGTGCCGGGTTATAAAGGGACCACTGTATACCGGAAAGTACCGTTGATCCGTCCCCTGTCGATTTTCTGCCTGTGAAGCGACTTCGATGTATACGATGAAATACGATGTTGAACCGACGCGTGCACTGCTGTACACAATACGTGCCAGTGCAGGATGAAAATGTGCACAATCCAGCACACCGAGTCTGACCTTCCGCATTGTTGTACATCGTACTGCACTTGACAGCCTTGATCTAATTCCCGCCCTCTGACGAAGACCAAGCTGGGAAGCGACGTGGGGGGGGGGGGGGGGGGATCAACGGTACTAGTGATAGAAAGAACAAAACGACAATGACATGAACCTGGAAGTGGGGGTGCGACCTATAATCGGGGAAATACCGTATGAAGTGTGTGTGTGTGTGTATGCTCAAACACAAAATATAATCCGTAGACCCATTCTCTTGAGAACATTGACTTGGGTGTCTGTATTCGATTTTGTGGACTGTGATACACGAAATACTATTGCCAAAAAGCCTGCCATTGTGACACCTCTTGTTTGCAGTGCTAGAAATGTCCTGAAGGAGAAATCAGTACTGTATTAGGGTACCCAATCTCCAAACAGCAAGCTGTTTCGACTCTGTTGCGTCTCATTATTTGGGTACATGTTTGGACACTTTAGAGGGGTGATGGGCCTTTCAAAGTTGCCTGAATTTGGTGTTCTTTCACAAAGATATAGGTCTATGTTTACGGTAGAGTTGCACGCTCAAGAGTATCCCTTCCAATGGGCCAGGCAAGATGTTCTTAATCTCTCAGCCTATGTGGCTGCGTTCTTATGGCGCGTTCTTAGCCATTCATTGTACTGGCTGGGAATGATACAGTGCGAGAGTGTATATAACACCTGCGGGTTATGTACTATTGGGGTGCGATAATCATGCACAGCTAGATGTGCACGTAAAATTGGCAGTGTCTACTTACATGTAACTGGCATACTTGGAAGTTTGCTTTGATAAACTGCGTGTAGTGACGTTCGATCTTTGTCTCTTTTTCCTTTCCTTGTTTGATATGGCTACAGACAAGCTGCAGGCGACATCCACCGCAGATGCAAGTGGCGACTGGAAAGATGATATCCTCTCTCTTTCTTTTTTATCTCTCGTTTCGGTGCACCTGTGTAGTGGCAGGGTGACTAGCAGCTTCAATTTGCTTGGGAATATTTCATGACACTGCCGTGCTTAGTAAAGTCAAGACGCATGGATTGTGACTGCGACTGCAACCCTGTAGGTTTCCGACTAGGCTACATGATCACTGGGCTGTTGAACACGGCTGGGCTGGCCATACCATTCAGAACAGTCAATCAGTCCTCTTTCAGCCTAAGACCTTTTGAAGTGTGGAAGAGTATGTGTAAAAAATTTAAGCACATCGTAGCAGTTTATCCTGTTGAAACCTGGCAAGGATTGGAGTTGACGGTGATTGCTTGTCAGACGACCGGTTGGCTTATACGGGCTAGGGCTAGGTATTGTACAGAGCCGTGTAAAAGTAAAGTAAGGTTTGCACGTCCGCGTTACCACCGGCTATACAATTGCGTAGCGTTAGTAAACTAGTGGCACAACTTGTCCTCGCATAGTGCTCTGTAATTTGTGTTCCTTGACTGGTGTCTTGCCTGCACATTATGACCGCTGCGTTCTGCCTATGCTGGAGGAGAAGGAGTCAACCTATGTTCTGTACCGGTTAGATTCTAAGAACGATCAGGGTTACGAGTGGGTGTTTATCCTGTACAACCCTGACTTTGCCCCTGTAAGTTATTCTAATATCTCTCTCTCTCTCTCTCTCTCTCTCTCTCGCTCGCTCTCTCTCTCTCTCTCTCTCTCTCTCTCTCTCTCTCTCTCTCTTGATCCCTCTTGATCCCTCTTGATCCCTCTTGATTGTTCTGCCCCTCTCCTTTCTGTCCCTCAATACAACCCTTTGTTGCTGCTGCTTCTGCTGTTAATGCTCGTGTCAATATACTGTGTATTTCCCGAGTCCAAGTGTGCAGTGAATACGGTCAGTTAGTAGTTATGGTCCACTAGCCGCATGCGCATCAACTTTTGTGTTTTGTATTTTTGCCGTTGTTGTGATCGTCCTTGAACAGGTCCGACATAAGATGGTGTATGCCGCTACCCTGTCCACTCTCAAGCAAGAGTTTGGTGGTGGTGGACGTTTTGCCCATGAGCTGTTTGGCACTGCGATTGTAAGTTGCATTTCGTTGCTGTTCTTTCTGGTTTGGGACTTCTTGGGAGACTTGGATGTTGTAGTGAGCAGTAATGACTCTTGTTTCACTTCTGTGTTGTGAGTGTGGCCAACGGCAGTTTTTGTATGCATGAACAATGGCGAATGGTTAACTGATGATGTAGTGTAGTGCGTTTCTAATGGTCCCAATGCTAGTCATATTCTCATCAAGGAAGTGTTGCTGGTTTCTCTCGTATGTGCATTGTAGTCGGATGTCAATTATTCTGGCTACAAGAAGCATCTTGAGGCGAAGGATGCTCCTGCACCGCTCACAGCCGAGGAGTTCGAGAGAGAACTGGTCCTTGAAGCCGAGGCGGAGGTACTGTACGCATTCTACACTTGTGGTCTGTTGTGCTGTGCAAAAGCTGTTCCTGTGTACTCAATGGCGGTCTTCCATCGTCTACGGGTGGGGTTGATTTATGATCTATCACTCCGATATCCTGCAGGGCTTTGACCCTAGCTCGGGTGGGACTTTGCAGTACAAGAGGTTAGAACGGTCGCCTCATGTCCGGCACTTACGGTGTCCATTACTGCTTATTCGTATTGTTCTGCTGTGTTGTCACCAATCTGAGAGCAAGGCACTCATGGTGGAATATTTGTTCATGTTCATGTGTTCAATTTTGACTGTTCAGGCACGCACGCAGATCAACACAACCTCAAAATCATCCCAGCTGGTTGGCTTGAACTTCCCAATGTCAGCCGAGGCCATTCAATCTGTCGAGCAGCTGTGCTCCAAGAAGATTCAGTACTGCAGTCTGGTAAGCAGTACTAGTACATTGCGCGTGTACCAGCACTGCAATGCCGATACTGTGTGTATGTGTGCGTGCGTATACGTGAAAAATTCTATTCAAATTGAAACGCTTGATTGACTTCAGCTGCAAAAAGTCAGATGATAATGCATGTACCTCGTGGAGATCGAACCCAGGGCCTCTCGATTACCGATCGAACCCAGGGCCTCTCGATTACCGGTCGATTGCTCAACTGCATGTGCCGTACCGTTGATCTGTCGAATTTTTGCCTGTGAGGCGACTTCGGCGTATACAATGAAGTACGGTGTTGAACAGACGCATGCACTGCTGTACACAATACGTGCCAGTGCAGGATGAGAATGTGCACAATCCAGCACACCGAGTCTGACCTTCCGCGTTGTACATCGTACTGCACTTGACAGCCTTGATCTATGGGAGGTATGCATCGAAGATGTCCGTCACCTTTTTGCGGGGCAAGTTGCCCCATTTTTGGCGGGTACAACCCATTCTAGTACATTTAAGAGTACGACCGTTCAAAGTTCATGGCATTTTATGCAGAGCTGGTATCACAGTTTGTACGGTTGTAGTGGACTTGCCCCGCGAATCCTGACGGCGGGAAATGGGTGCATATGCCCCATTCCCGCCCCCTGAGGGAGGGGGGGGGGATTCACGGTACTTTACAGTATACGTGTCCACTTACATGCCATTGTACATGTATATGTGTATGTGACCGTGGCTGTTGGCACTTGTTTTCTGCTGGTCTTTTCAGTCCATTGATGTCAAGAAGGAGGAGATCAACTTGGCCGATTCTGCACGGAGTCTGGAAGCCGGCGAGCTGGCAAGTCGTGTTCCCGATGACGCACCTCGCTATCACTTCTACTTGTACAAACATACGTACGAGAGTGACTATATGGAGAGCATCGGTAAGCAGAGGCTAACCCATCTATCATATTGCTGCTTGCGATCGGGTCAGTTGTGCATTCATGAAGCAGACCACTGTTTGAATAGGGCCGAACATTTTATGTCTTCCACAATATGTTATGCATTTCCCCTGTAATTCCCTCCTTTTCTGAATTCTTCTTCTCTCAGTGTTCGTCTATTCCTGTCCCGGCTACAAGTCTACAATTCGTGAGCGTATGCTCTACTCGTCATGCAAGGCAGCGCTCACAGATAGTGTTGAACAGCAGTATAGTGTGGAGATTGACAAAAAGGTGCGTCTGCGAGTTTATTGGTAATTCTCTGACGACGTGCTTTTTCTGAAAATCTATCAGAGAGGGGACATTGACACATGCCCTCTCCCCTGGATAAGAACTTCATAGGAACATAATATGTTCATTATTGTGTTTCTCTGCTCAACCCACCTCCTGAGTACAGTACAGTACACACCACTGACAAAACATTACAATCCCTTTCTCAAACAAGTGAGCTTTCACTCAGGGCCGTAGCTGTGCTGTGCTTGGCCATACATGGACACTTGATCACTGGGTCCCTCTGGATGTGCCACTCAACCCCATGCATATCACTCTGTTATTTGAAGTCTTTTCTACTCCTATGCTTTGAAGATTGAAAGGTTGAAATAATATCCCCCCTCTCTCTCCGCCATGTTTGTTTTCGAAAATGCCGTGCACACACATTGATATTGCAGCAATGGAGAATTAGTGGTGCTCCACCTCAGAGACAGTCACTTGTCGAGCAATGTAAATGCAGCAACTGGTGCAGCTCTAACAGGAGTGATGTTGCTGTCTTGTTTCTTTCCACTACGCTACACTGCCTGTGTGTGTTTCACCCAGATCGAGGTGGAGAACAGCAAAGATGTCGGAGATGAGGATTGGCTCATGGACCAGGTGCACCCCGCCAAGATTGTCTTCAAGCAGAAGTTCGCTCGGCCCCAGCCCCCGGGCGGCCGTCGTCGTGCTGGTAAATAGAGTACACACGAGTACAGCACTCTCGTGTCTGCGCACACACACATTTTAGAAAAGGGCTGTGGTTGTAGACGAGCAGCTTAACGGTCACCGATAAAGAATTTTTTAGCTTTCTCCCATTGTCAGATCAGTGTAACTTATCGATCTCCTTGATGTTTACGTTTAGGTGCGATTGCCTTTACGTTTAGGTGCGATTGCCTCGCCTGGACACCTTTCTACTTGCCCTTCTATTTTTGTATGATACTCCATTGGCATTAATTATTCTTTGAAATTCTTCTAGCAACACCAGGTGGTTCTCCTCTTGCACCCCACACTTTCATTCTAGTCTCTATCGAGCTGTTCAATGACAGTATTGACCATGACATACTTAACACTGAAGTGAAATCTGAACTGCTGCATGCGTTGTCCCTGGTGACCTGGTGGGCTGTGAATCTAACCAAGTACTAGTAGAGCAGCTCATTCCACTCGCTCAGCTTGGACAGCGAAGTGATGGGCTGTCTTTCCGAGACGATTTGAAGATGGCGTTTAGGCTGTCGTGTTTGTGCAGCACTGATCATGACACTTGTCATACGTCCTCATCTCGCATTACCAGCTTACGAATCTATTTTGAAGTAGCAATTTAGATAGAAGAGGTTGACCGATCTACCACAGGTGTGAGCGGCACCATGGCATGTGTCTGTTGAATTTAGTGTCAACCAAAGTTGCGCTGTTCGCCCGTTCTCATCACAGTCTGATTTCTTTCTGGTACACTGATCGAGAAAAAGCCATCCATGAAAAACGGTTTCCATGGCTCCCTGGATAGCATGTTCACATATACCGTAAAGTACCGTTGATCCGACCCCCACGCCATGTCGCTTCCCAGCTGGATTTTCGGCAGGGGGCGGGAATTAGATCAAGGCTGTCAAGTGCAGCACGATGTACAACAACGTAGAGGATCAGACTCAATGTGCTGGATTGTGCATAATTTCATCCTGGATTGGCACATATTGTATACAGCAGTGCATGCGTTGGTTCAACATCGTATTTCGTTGTATATGCCGAAGTCGCTTCACAGGTCGAAAATCGACAGGGGGTGGGAATTAGAGAGGGGGCGGATCAACGGTACTTCACGGTAAAACTTGTTATATTAAAAGTGAAAAACTCGGGGGGACCTCAGTTCTTATTGAGCCAGCACACGCGAAAAATCACCCTCACTGCCTTAGCTTAGTGACATATTTTCAGAAACTGATGACAGTGGATAAAGGCAGATGGATTTATGCAGAATTCAATGCAAAAAACGTTTGAAAAAAATCTTGAGTAAAACTTGAGTTACGGGTCTTAGAAGATAGAGCATTTTCCCTGATATATTGCACATCACACGAAAACAGAGAATGTTTGAAGTGTGTGTCACTAAGGTCGATTTTCGCGTGCGCTGGCTCATATTGGTATAAATCCTTCGGCTCTACTTTTATTATATACATAACTGTTGTTGGACCTCGATAAACGTGGCTTCCCACACATAAAGAACCAGCGATGTACAGGAAGTGTTTTTTTCTCCATCCTGCTAGTAAAATACATGTCCACAAAAGCAGCAGATTTCCCCGGCACATCTCAACCCAAGCAGCAGCAATAATATAAGAAAGGGTCAAAGACACAGCGCAGCAGCAGCAGCAGTAGCAGCACGATAAAGGAGCAGACCCATGGAAGGGCATGAACAAAGAATCAAATAATTTAAAAAAAGGGTTTATATTCAAGAAGGGGGTGAAACAGCACAGAGAACATTCTGTTCAGAGAGAAATTCAAAGCAACAATGCCCTAGGTACACTAAACTAACGTTAGCAGTAGCACTTCATGAGGTGACAAAATAATTACTTTAGCTGGATAGTAGTGTTGATTGCGGACATCAAAGCTCAAAGTATTCAAAAAGAGAAAATCTTATAACAGCAATGGGCCATTATTATGGCGCATAAAAAAATCTCACAAGTGAATCAAAGGTGCAAAATTCAGTGACTGCAATGCCGTCGACAGGAGCATTGTTCAAGCTTCGATCGGATAGTAGGTTTCTTGCTACGTTCCACTTTGCACGGCACCAAGGTCAAAGTCCACGGAGCTGAGGAATTGGCAAGAAACACATGCACGCACGTGCACACACACACACACACACACACACACACACACACACACACACACACACACACACACACACACACACACACACACACACACATCCATATCATTATGTGAGTGCACAATGCCAGGCATCCTAGTAAGCAAACTGATCAGGACTCCGCATGCACTGAGCTATATCAGTCATTCGATATTGGATACTGCATAACACGCTATTTTCAGTGCAACCTTAATTTCAGTAGAGAAACCAAGCACCTACATTTAGATTACACCTAAGACTATGTACTGTATGTGAAGGGAATTTATTTGATTCGATCTTTCCTATTAACTGGACTGGATTTGTCACCATTGCTTTCTTTGCTTGCGCTCTTCGAGTTCTTCATCCCGTGCATGACCCAGTTTCTGACACCCAGTTTGTTATCAAATAAAGGCAAACTTCTTTGCTTGCGCTCTTTGAGCTCTTCATTCCGTGCATGACCCAGTTTCTGACACCCAGTTTGTTATCAAATAAAGGCAAACTTCTTTGCTTGCGCTCTTTGAGCCCTTCATCCCGTGCATGACCCAGTTTCTGACACCCAGTTTGTTATCAAATAAAGGCAAACTTCTTTGCTTGCGCTCTTTGAGCCCTTCATCCCGTGCATGACCCAATTTCTGACACACAGTTTGTTATCAAATAAAGGCAAACTTCTTTGCTTGCGCTCTTTGAGCCCTTCATCCCGTGCATGACCCAGTTTCTGACACCCAGTTTGTTATCAAATAAAGGCAAACTTCTTTGCTTGCGCTCTTTGAGCCCTTCATCCCGTGCATGACCCAATTTCTGACACACAGTTTGTTATCAAATAAAGGCAAACTTCTTTGCTTGCGCTCTTTGAGCCCTTCATCCCGTGCATGACCCAGTTTCTAACACCCAGTTTGTTATCAAATAAAGGCAAACTTCTCAACTAGTGGTCACCCAGTATGGAGTACCTGGGCTATACAGTTCAGACATACATGCACAAGGCTCTTGGAGATACATGTACTGAAGTACGCTATCCTGCAGTTCACTGTGCTTCTGCTCGTGATGTTGGATTTGACCAAGTACATACAGCTGTAGTGCACCACTGTGCCAGCCAAGTGAATACTCCTCTCGCGAATACACCATCACCAGGAGTAGAGCTGTATGGCCACAGCACTGCAGCACTGAACAGTGCACACGGCAACAGTGCTGCTTTATTCATGGCCGAGTGCTTCAGACACACTGCGACCTGTGACTGTAGTACCGTTAGATCCCGCCAGAGTGCCCCGTCGTTCCCTAGTGCCCCACCTGAATGTTCCTCTTGGGAAGGGACGGCGACGAATAGACACAACTTCCTGTGTGCTGTGCGCAAGTGGGCGGACTGAGATCGATGCATTTGGTGGGTACATGTACCGTAAAGTACCGCCAGAGCGCCCCACCATCTCGTCCTTTCGTGGTCGTATTGTGGAGGTGGTCTGCTGTCTGTAGGTCATACGACTTGAACCTTGTACACATATTCCACATTTTGCAGTCAATCCGTACCTTCGAGCGGACACAAGTTCAACACAAAAAACCTGCCAAGTGTGCCCTTACAAACTAAGGTTCTCACATCGTACACACTTCGTTGCACTCGGCCATACGATTTTCCTTTCCCTGGCTGTAAAATCAAGGTGGGGCGCTCTCGCGAGACGGGGCGCTCTGGCGGTACTTTACGGTACATGTACCCACCAAAGTATGCACGCGGTGCAGCATCTACGCTGTACGAGGACGATGGGACTGTATTCTGCGGTGAGTTGCACCGAACAGTGGAACGATTTCTCATCTGCCTCATTTCTCATCCGCCTCATTTCACGGAAGGGCTCGACGTGACGGGCGCGGCGCGCTGACGAGATTTTACGGCACAGAACACAATTTGAATGTACAGGCTAACAAGACATACCGTGACAACTCCAAGACAACATCCTGCGATGCCAGACACTGTAGTACAAAGGGCACAGGGAAAAAACAAAATTAGGCACACTCTTTTCGCTGCTGCAGAAGTAGTCTACGCAAAGACTTGAAAAAGCTGCCCTAATATTACTTTTGATACAATTACAATTGTAATCGTGAAGCACACGTTATAGTGACAATGGGGGGACAAGTAACAGCAGTACATGTGCATGTAATATGAAGATGACGCTGGGAGTAAGTTAATTTGGATGTTTGCAGGTGAGAACACATTTCCATGCTCGGTGGCAAACCAACAGGACAAGAGGAGAGAAGAACAGAAGTTCTACAGCAAAATCATGTACTCAGTGACTGCATGCAAGCACAGACACACAGACACACACACACACACAGACACACACACAATCACACACACATGTGCACGTACACACACACACACGCATCACTGAGTGGAACAGGAAATGGGAAAAGGAAAGATCCTACCATGTAGTGCGGGTCATCCAGTGCACGGGCTGCCTCGTTTTCCTGGCTGAATATCCTCAGTCTAACCAGTGATGCAACCTATGGCAAGCAGCAGTGCAGAATAGCCAGTAAAGAGGATCACTGAGACCATCAACAGAGTAGGCAATGATCACAGACTAAGCACAAAGAAACTACATTGTAGACCCCCTTATACCTGGACATCCCCTGCCTGGGCACCTTCCTGGAACTGTTCAGTAGTGTTTGTACTCACGTAGAGCATGTACACACAAGTCACAGTACACCTTGTGTGCCATAGCTCTGCAGTACACCTTGTGTGCCATAGCTCTGCTCCTGTGAGTATTGAACACTCTATCGAACCAGAGGACTCCGCTCTCATGTAGCACATCATGTACATACAGCACTGCAAGTGTTGTATCCCGGCCCATTACCGTGGGTAGTCACCACCCGTATCACAACTTGGCATACACATGTAGTGTTCTGAGTTACAAACACCCGTCAATATCAAGGTGACAGGATAAGACAGGGTCAAGTATCCAAGTACCGCGTAGAGTATGTTGGCAGGTGATGTGTGTGATGGGGGCTATTCAAGTCAGGGAGTCGTACAATCCACGACTCTCTGATTCAAACTAGGTTACATACCGTATTTTCTCCAATAAAAATTATAAAAGCACGCGTGTTTTTTTCAACCACCCTCCGACCCGTGCTTTTATCGGAGATGTGCCTTCATTGGAGACTGTGCTTTTATAATTTCAAGCCCACTTTGCCGTGTTCCTGTTTTTTTTTGTCATTTTTTTCTTCATATTTCCAATGAATACGTGTCCATACCGGAAATTAAGTTGCATGGATGCAGTGTACCTTTATTGGAGACGTGCTTTTATTAGAGAAATACGGTTTACAGCTACAGTGAACGCGGTTGGTCTAAGGCGACCGCTCAAGGGACCTTCAACATGTGGTCGCTGTGTACAGGTGGTCTCCGTACCCAGGGTCATTTGCCTGGAAATAGCATCCCTTGGTTTGAGTTGTAGTGGTCCTCTGAGGCAGGTGGTGGTCTTGACAGGTTTTACCGCACAGTGTACTAGTAGTGGCATGATAGTCCAGGGTAGGCAGTGCACAGACTAAGCATGATAGTCCAGGGTAGGCGTTGCACAGACTAGACTCTTGGGTCTTGATTGAATGCTGCTTCAAAAACCAAAAAAATCACGTTTCGCGTGAGACTCGGCTAGAGCTGCTTCAAAGTGGAGACGATTATCAGGACTTCACATGTGCTTGTAGCAACATTAGGGACGTTTAGCAACGCAAAAGTTCGAAAGAAATTTCGAGTCTGGGAATGAGTACAGCAACAAAGCTCGAAACTTCGAAAACTTGGACGCGAAGTTACAGTGATTTGCGAAAGTTACTTTCTCTTTCCTGGGTACGCACTTGACAGGCAGGGAGTAGTAAATTTACAGCCCCCTGCTTGAGTGTGAGCTGCAGATATGGTACAAATAACTTCGAGAAAAGTCATTTCACATTGCTACACCTCACCAGTGTCTGCTCTAGGATTGTAGGACAGCCGGGTACACGTGTACCGGGCGCAACCATTTCAACCGGGTCGGAGCCGGGTACACATGCACCTGGCGCTGTCTCACCAGCCGAGTCACATGCTTTAACTGGTTGGTTGGTTTATTTTAATTCGGACAATAAACGGGAACTAGGCCCAATGATATAAAGGCGAATGGATAAGCCGCATTTAGAAAAGAGAGGACAGCAATTAGAAAATTACGAAAGAAGAAGAAGTATCTGACACATACAAGCCATGTAGTCAGTCCTTTCAAAGCTCAAAAGTGTAAAGTACCAACCGGGTCACAGGTGACCCGGTACTATATTTTCAACCGGGTCCAAGCGCCGCCCAACCGGGTGGATTACCCGGCTCACCCGGCTCTGGAGCAGACACTGCTCACAAGGTTTCCTTTTTCGAAATATATTTTCGCGAAATATCACCGCCACCAATAGTTGGAATTTTCGCATTGCTAAGCGTCCATATTACCAGCTGCAGCATACTATCATATTATTCATACCTGGGAAAAGAGCTGAGCCGACGGCGGAACAGGCCGCTCAATGATGCTGAAGAAGATTGCCATCAGCCGATGAAGAGGAAAGACTTTCGGCCCCTCTCGCTGATAGTCAATTTCCTTCTGCAGTAAGACACGTGCAGAGGAATAAAAGCAGTAGAGAACGGGCTGGAATGCAAACACAAAACGCTTCAAATTTGAAAGAAACTCGCATGCAATCTCACCCAGCCGATACATTTACAGTAGGGTACATGAATGTAATCATACTAAGGAGTGAACCAAGCTTCAGGCTGTTGACAGCCAACACTTCAAAGTTCCCATTAGCACTTGTATTGCCTTCTCTTCAGGTGGATACAGACAGAAGAAGAAACTAACCCGTACAACACCCTCTCATTTTTGTCTCCAGGAAAATTATTTACATATGTATGTATCACAAATGGTTGAAAGGTCAGCAGTGGAAAAAACCTCCTCAATTTACAGCTCCGCCACACAAAAAAACTACTTGGAGTACACAAACACGCAGAAGCTAGCAGCGGTCACAAGACCAGATGCCAGAACAGAACAGTGTGATCCCCGACAGGGAGGTTTTTAAAGTGCTCCCTGGCCGTCAATTCTGCGGTACATACCTTGCCAGGTTTCTTGGCTGCATGCCGTTGACGCTTGGACAACCGGTCACCCAGCTGCAATGGAGGAAGCAAGACAGCAAACAAGAATGGCAACATTAAAGTACTGCAGAGTTGCTCAATGAAACTCAATGGAGTGCGTTCACATCTCTATCAAGTGACTAAATTTACGCAGAAGGAGATCATGGCATGTGGACAGTGGAACCAACATGGCCGACACCATGTGACCCATACATGCAAGGGTTGAGTGCCAGTGAGTGGAGTTGGAACCAACATGGCTGTCCGGTATGGTCATGTGATAGATGTGAAACCACTCTATAGTAGTGTACTGTAAAACGGGTAACTATTGTGACATAAAAATGTTGCGAATTTTGCGAGAGGCCCCGAATCGCAAACTTTGAACAACGCAAACTCACGCCATGTAAAGTTTAGTGCAAGGACTGACTCGACTGTGTCGTACATATGTATTCAATCGCAAACATTAAACAGCGCAAACCAGTCTCAATTTGTAAAATGCAAACATTTATTGTCGCAAATGTTACCCGTTTTACAGTATACAGTGAATCAGCTGGCGACAGGCAAGGTGTAGCCCCAACCACAGGGCCGTGCACTGGCATAGGGTGATACGCAGGGAGTAGTAATATATTTGGTAGATTACTACTCCCTGGTGCTAAGTTGTTAACTTCTTCGCCAGATCGGATTTACTCAAGCAGCACTGCACCAGCTCGGCAAGCAGTAAGAAGCTGTCAGCATGCCGCCCCAACACACAGCAGAATGCAGCAGTGCCTGCTGGTAACGCCGGCAGTCCTACCTTGGTGAACATCTGCGCGTCCAATGTTGCAGGGTTGTGAGATGCCAGGAAACCAGCTATCACTAAGAACTTTGCAAAATAGGGTAGGTCGACTGTACAAAGGCAGCGGCACAAGAAACACATCAAGAGCAGATGAGAAGCTGATTGGCCTTATGCACGCCAATAGCAAATACGCCATTACAGAGTGCTACTACCACTTCCCTAATATTCGTGTTCGACGCAACAACCATTGGATAACACCAACAGCAGTACACAAGTTAGCATGGAGGCAACGGAAATAACCAGAGAGTCTCTCACATCCACACATATGTGCACAGAGAGCGAGAAAGACACCCACCCACAGAAAGAGAGAGGGGAGAGAGGGGATAGATAGATAGATAGATATAGAGAGAGAGATAGAGAGAGAGTGAGAGAGATAGAGAGAGAGAGGGAGAGAGAGAGAGAAAGAGAGTGAGAGAGAGAGGGAGAGAGGGAGAGAGAGAGAGAGAGAGTTACATCCCAAGTGGCTAGTTCTAGACACTGGGCGGAACAATTCAAAGAACTCACGGGCGGTTGATTGGTGACCTGCACTGTCTTTTACTGTTTCCATTCTACACAGTGCAGCACAGAACAGAAACTAGTTATACTACAGTGTACAGGCAGACATGAACACTGGCAACATGAGAACGTGAGCACAGACAATACACGGCACATTTTGTATTATACAGACTAACCATAGGTCCGCAGCAGGGCCAAGATGCCATGTTGTCAACTCAAACATACAACGCAACAAGAACAATATCATACGATTGCCCGTCACATATCCAGAAGCAGGTGGTGACGCCGAAACTTACTTGGAAGAGTGTTGAAAGAAGTTGTTGACGATACGGCGCTGAACGGGTACAAGGCGTCGCCACAGTTCGTGTTTGTCTTTTCCCTCAACTACAGTAGTAACAGTAGCAACAATTTTCAATTTTCAATCAATTTTGCTGTTCTCTTTTTGAATCTTTTGCTCTCCCTGCATTCATATCATCAGAGGTTTTGTGTGTTCAATAAAATACCTTTTAGTAGCAACAATAACAATAGTAGCAACAGCACACACATACACACATGGATGAACTCCACAAGCAGTACATTCCATCAGTCTGCTGGTCCTGTTCAAGCGACTGAGTGGATGTGTGTGTGACTACACGGTGAACACAAGGAAGCAGATATCCAAAGACACAGTCATACCCACCAGATGTCACATTTGAAGGTTTATTCCTCAGAGAGTAGACATGCACACGCACAAACACAGACAGACATTCGTTATACGTCCTCACCTTCTCCACTGAACACCGGCTGAAAGTAGATTGGATAGAGAATATGTACCTATACACATTCAGCACACAATCGAACAGTACACACCAGTTTAGTAAAGATGGTGGTGCTGGTGCAAATACTGAAGTACAAAAAGGAGCAATCACCCAAGAATACACCAGTGAACAATGCAGGTGCACAAACAATAAAATCCAGTTGACGATGAGAATCAGGATTGCACAATAAATAACCCAACATGCCTGATTATGTACAGCAGCACTCTTCCCACCAGTGTAGGAGAAGTACTCGTAGTACAGGCGTGTTTTAACGCAAGTCCCTCGTAGATTCTGCTTCGGCAGTGTCTACCCGGCCGACACTGAATCTCTCTCTCCGCAGCCTCTCACTCCGCTGGCCAGCACTCCCCCATACCGCATCATTAATACACGTACGTACAACAGCTCAAATTCCAATTGGACTATCAACCCCAAACCACTGCTCCAAGCAAACAAAACACGCGCTTTCACACAGAGCATGTAGAAAGCGGACAGTGCACTGCTTACGAGATGCCGTAGCTGCTGCAGATTGACACAGCTGAGCTTGGAGCAGCTGATGAAGAGCTGCACAAATGTACTGTACGCAGCCGCCTGCTCGGGAACAGGGCAGTCTCGTTCCAGAATAGCCACCAGCTCGCCTGAAGCAACAGTACCAAACCAAAAAACAACAGAGGTTGGTGTTTGACAATAATAGGCAGTGATGTCAATCCCTCCTCTTTTCTCGAACGAATTATTCTACGAATATGTGCTTCACGAACGAACGAATATTCCAATATTCTAGACGTGAATACAATGTGCCATACAGGACTTTTTGTGTTCACAGTATAGTACCCTCCTTCATGATAATAGGAGGATATCTCTCATCATAATTATTAGCACTGATTAATAACTGTTGGTACAGAGATTCAACAGATCTACAGAATGAGGTTTACTAGTATACAGTGTATACGTATACTCAAGTACTACTGTATAATGATAGTGTTCCGACTGGGGATACCGAAGCTGAAACCGTACACGCATTTACACTAAATTACAGCTATTAAAGATGCTGAAGTAAAATAAGGAACCTCACTACTTCTACATGACTTGTACTAGTCTATAGAGTCTACAGTGCACTACATACCCTACTAGTCTAGAGTCTACAGTGCACTACATACCCTGTGAGTAGTTGGGAAAGCGTAGCTGCAGTGGCACGGTACAGTGCAGACACGGCCATAGATCTTCCCATGGCAGAGAACTGATCAGTATCACACTAACGTTGCAGCTCTTCACCTACGGAACGAACAACAACGAGAAGAACAGCAAGAAAACACACCAACTCTGCCCAACCTGTAGTTAGATATCTAAAGGTGTCTCTACACATAGAGGTACTGTTAACTGATGAGTGTTTATGAACACGAAACTCCGAGTTACGAGAAAGAATTTTGGTCCCTGTTGTTCTGCCTTTGTGTAGGGGTACTGTTATCTACTAAGTTGGGAAAGTTCTACAAGGGCCTGTGACTTCATGTGGTGTCTCTACATAATTATCATAAGAGGTACACAATATCACAATGGCAGGACTCTTTGTATTGTTACTACTCAGAGTTTCATGGAAAATGGCCAATCATCAGACAACGTAGTGGATGGGGATCACGCTCATGAGGGTACCTAGGAATATATTGGGGAGGTGTGCTAGAAACAGCAATAGTGATACACACAGCAGGGAAGGTGTGCCCCCCCCCCCCACCCAGAGTTCTGCAAGATTGCTTTCTGCTCTTTCCTGGTGCAGAGAAATATCAATGCCAAGTGCCGTACAGTGTCACATCAAGAAACTAACACCCACACGCCCTGCTGGTATATTTAATAATGCACCACACGTACACCGCACTCCAAAGTCTAAAGTACCAACACACACACACACACACACACACACACACACATGCACACACACACACACACACATGCACACACACACACACACACACACACACACACACACACACACACACACACACACACACACACACATGCACACACACACACACGCACACAACCAACCAAAGAGGAGAGGCGCTGAAGCAAAGGAAGGGGTCCTGGCGAGGGAAAGCGCAAGAACCGATGAACATTGTCCACAACCTATCATGAACAAAACAACAACAAACAATTGCAAACCGCAATGAGAAGTGTACAATAAATCTACATACACGAATACAAAGTGACACAATATGCCATAAACACTTTAAAAAAAAAAGGTTGCTTGCATTCACTTCAACTTGACATCCGTCAAAACTCATGAAGCAGAGACTGAGGCAAACAATAGTCCAAGGAGGTGCTCACCAGCACCAGCACCCTTAGACAGGTTGATTGTTTTTTTTTATTTACGAAAAAAATCTCTAGTCAAACTAGAGCAGTCAAACTAGAGCAGCTCCATCAAGGTGGCATAACGACTGTGTGGATCGAGTTACAGGATCAATGAGTAGGCGTCTCTATATAAGTGAGGCTACAGGTTACATTGTTGCTTCTGTCAAAACCCAACAGGTCACGCCACGAAGGAAAAGAAAACTCTATCAGACGCACACATGCACACAGAAGTCGAAGTCAACTGACCAGGACCAATCTTTTATGACCGTTGCTGCTCAAATAGTTGTCCAGTTGGCGCACAAAAGCGTCATTGCCGTCCGCGTGTGAGGTAGAAACAGTGCCTATGACATCCAACGCACGCATGGGCGCATACACACACATATACACACACACACACACGCACACAGAAAGTCATATTGCAAGCCTGCACAAACAAGCAGCCCAGACCAGTTAGAACTAAAGCCACAATCAGACATTCACAGTATCCAGAAGAATTTGTGTAAATCGCAGGCCGTGGGACAAGGCAAATGGGATTCTGCTCACCTTGCGTAAGACGAGACATGATGAGTGAAAACAGGACATCTTGGCTGTAACATTCAGTACCGTCCACCCAGACATGAAAGACCTATGGCCATAAAGGATGAGCAATAGCAATAGCAACACCGACATCAACAGCAACAGTAGCATCAGCACCAGCAGCAGCAGTGTCAACAGCAAAAACAGTAGCAACAGCAACAGCAGCAGCACCAACAACAACAACAGCAGCAGCAGCACCAGCAGCAGCAGCAGCAGCAGCAACAACAGCAGGAGCAGCACCAGCAACACCAGCACGAGCAGCAACAACAGCAGCAGCACCAGCAACACCAGCACCAGCACCAGCAGCACCACCAGCAGCACCACCAGCAGCAACAGCACCACCAGCAGCAACAGCACCACGGTTGATTGTGGTTTGCCACCAGACATTAAACAGCTCCCACTGTTTGAAGTGACCATATCAGTAGTTCATTTTCATGTGCTGACTTTCTGAAATGATCATTCGACCAGCATTACATGCAACTTCGAAGTAGAAGTTCATCACGAAACGGGAAACTAAGAGCAGCAAGTCATCGAGTAGCAAGAAGACTAGGATCACTAGCGGTGCAACCACCCAAACTAAACGGGTGCCAGTGTCGGATTTCCAGCCGAAGTTCGAGACAGACACCACGTACCTATTTGTGTACAAGGATCTTAATGTTGCCCGGAATCGCCCTCTATTGTAATCTCATTGCCCCCTCTCACCGAGGATGAGCCGTTACAATCAGTTGTTTTGCTCAAAACATATCAAAAGCACTATGCAAGTCTGGAGAGCGCCGAATACTAATCAGCCACAAGCCAGTTTCCATTGCAGGGTTCTAGCCAGGTCAAAATAGTAGGGGGGGGGGGGGGGGGGCATGGGAAACAGTTACTCTATATCCCATTTTTTCCACTTTCCAATATTGTCTTGCCACGCCAAATGCAACGTATGGGGCGAATCCCTGACTTCACCCCAGACAAATGTGCCTTTATGAACCATCTATGCATGAAAAACACGAAAATTGGAAAATGAGTAGGGGGCGGCAATTTTTCACAGGGGGGGGGCACAAACAGAGTAGGGGGGCGCTGCGCCCCCCCCCCCCCCCCCCCCTTTGGCTAGAACCCTCCAATGATGCTGTTGCTCGCTGGGCGATGTACAGCGAAGGACCAGTGCCGAAGTGAACCTTGCTGTTTGATGCTGGAAAGACACGCCAAGAAGACGCCCTTTCTCCAAGCCATTTTGGTCATTTTTATCGATCCGCTGGTGCGCGTCGACCAATATATGTCCGTGAGGTACTGGTGAACTGGAGTCCTGGCATCTACAAGAAATTTCCGCGCCTAGCTAACCCCCTGTGCCAGAACCCGCTCTATACCTACTACTCATAGTCACTACACAGAACCAGTCACATCGTGTAGGCGAGAATACCACAACTGCTGCTTTAATGCAATGACATCAATGGCATGATTATTTGGGAAAGGATATTATTGTACTCCACACTGCACTGCAATCAGTAACGGACAGCACAAAGCAAATGCACATAATCGGATTGAGACCAATGACTCACATCGAAAGCTTGTAGTACTCGCTTGACAACACTGGTCTTGCCACATGCAGTGTGACCGACTATATACAAGCATGGCGCAGGTACAGCATCATTCTAGAGAACAACACAGGACACACAGTGTAGAGATATACACCAAACTGACATCAGAATCGACAGAGAGAGAGAGAGAGAGAGAGAGAGAGAGAGAGAGAGAGAGAGAGAGACAGAGAGAGACAGAGAGAGAGAGACAGACAGACACAGAGAGAGACAAAGAGAGAGAGAGAGACAGAGAGAGAGAGAGACAGAGAGAGAGAGACAGAGAGACAGAGACAGAGAGAGACAGAGAGCACCAAACACGAGAAGTCGCTCACCTCACCCACAAGCGCAGCTAAACGCTGTATGAGGGATTCCCGCTCAGGCAGGTCTTGGCAAGCCTTGTGCAGAGCTTCTTGGAATGCTGTGGAAGGACTGATGGATGCTGACACAGATATAGGGAGAATAGAAGACAAAGTGGCTAACGACACAATGATCAATGACATAATATCTTATGAGGAGCTCACCAAGACAAGAGAGGGGTAGAATGCCGGGCAAAAGACGAGCTATGTTGTGCCCCCCCCCCCCCCCCTCTCCGGTCTCTCCTCTCTCTCTCTCTCTCTCTCTCTCTCTCTCTCTCTCTCTCTCTCTCTCTCTCTCTCTCTCTCTCTCTCTCTCTCTCTGGCAGATAAGCGTCCGCTCAACTAACAGCTCATTCGAAATCTGAGAACCATGGCATTATAATGTGCAGCCATGTTATACTGGCGGCTTATTCTGATTGCCATTCACCTTGATGTCATGCACTCAACAGCTACTTCCCCGGAAGGGAGACATTATACATGGAAGAGAAAAGACAAGATAACAGGCTTACTCAACATGGAACCAGCTGCAGGATAGCTGGTGTATTGCCCCATTCCGGGAAGCGAGCTCTTCACGACTGTCAGTAAAGATGAACTGGAACTCTGGATGCTGACACGTTCGCTCAGAGAGAAGCTAGTTGGCGTTTTGGACGGTGTGCTACTGAATTGTGGCTTCCTTGCTTTGAGCTTGACAGGAGTTTTCTTCACTTTAGACGGAGATTTCAATGGCAAACTTGACTTAGCATGTTCTGCTCGGCCCGACATTGGTTCAGAAACGCGGCCAGCTCCACTCGACGTTGGCTCTCCTCGACTTTTGCCTGCTCTCTGTGGTGTGCTGGGCGCTGCGGACGCTGTTCTCGCTCTCTTGGCAGACGAAGGAGAGAACAGAGCGTCTTTGGAATTGCCGAGTGCATCGAGTGAGCTGTCGAACGAGTAGTAGTCTTCTTCTTCCTCGCTGCTATCCAACTCTGGTTCATAGGCATCGGCACTGTCACTTTCACCATCACTCTGTGCAATCATAGCTGCAGCATCCGACAAACAGACAGCCCTACGCTTCTTTCTACCATTAGCACTGCTCGGTGATGCCGTCGTTTTCGATTTCTGGGCAGCAGGCTCAGTAGAAGTAGAAGGTATGGCTTTGCTGGTTCTTGCAGAGGACTTTTGTGCGGACTTCGGCGCAGGGCCTGACACGCTCCTGGTGGGCCGGGTGCCATTACTGGACGTGACCTGGGTGCCTGGAAACAGGAGAGAAATCAGCGAAACAGGCGGTGGCATTCAGACGAGAGCAACACCTCTGACATCAGCACGCCAGGGCAGCATTATGCTGCATACACATGCACACATACAAAAGCATAGTAAATGATTACAGCATTGCTACTGGAAGCTGCAACAGTACATTGTACACATCAGACATTTCGTCACACACACACAGCCACAACATGCAACAGTTAAGGTTAGCACACGATGTACAGCATACCCAATGAGGTGCGTTGCCGACTGGTCCGCGATGATGATGATGGTGTGCTTGCTGGTGCTTTTTCGGACTGCCGACGTCCCTGTACATGAAATAGAGCGAGACCTTAAACTGCTTAGGAGCTGCATCTGGGCCTTGATCCATAGAGGGTGGCGGTGTTCCTGCGGTTGCGGAAAACTCGGCTGAAACCGAGTCTCAAGCGAACCATGATTTTTTTAAACTTTAACAAGTATATTAGACTCCCTGCCTCTGGTAAGTAAAATATTATTGTCTTTTGCTGGACAGTTTCTATTGACAATGGCAGTTGTCATCGGTAGAGGGACACCAATGCCAATGTCTGGGGACTGGTGTAGCATTCGGCTAGACATGCATCAAGCGCTCGCATTCGAGTTGTCCATCGATGCATTTCTCTTTGTTTAGCTTGCCATGGCTGGCCATAATCACCCTCACCTCTTTTGATTGGCTTCGGCCATGCGTGTGTGCGCAATAATAATAATTCGAGTACCGGGTGTGTGTTCTGTACCAGGTTGCATTCTCCTATCGTGGACGGTAGTAACACCATATTGGTCCTGCGCTAGCTTTGCAGACTGTACAGGTGATACCATGGCGAGTATTGAGCACAATGCAACAACACTAGCAGACACAGCGTATTGCAGTGGCTGGCCATGCCATGGGCGGTACCGGAGCGCGGATTTATTCGCCAACAACTGTATGATCATTCCCAAGTCAAAACATGCATCAGCCTGTATCTCGAACACATGACTTAATGTTCATCACTACTGTACATAATTGAATTGAATTTGATTGCTTATGGACTGAAGAAATGCGATTTACTTTGGGTGATTGTAATTCCGGAAATCACTGCCTTGACCTGCGTGGCAAAGCAACGCGTTCAGTTGAACTACAGGCACTCCTAATGAATGCTCCAATACAAATCATATGAAGGAAGTGCACAGCGTTTGCAGAATCAGAGTCCTCGAGAAAAAATGCTCAAAATGTTTGTTTCGTGGAGGAAGGCATTGCAGGGAAATATCTTACCGACGTCGGTCTGCTCGGCATGGCACGTGTCTGCAAGGTGAATTCACTGATCCAACACTTCCTATGGTCCTCCTCTATACGAAGAGAGAATTGACTAGGTATTCAGATCAGGTTGGCTGTTTTGTTGAGCATTGTTGAACATCTGACATTCATTTTTCAAGTGTGTTTTCGCGGGTACCCTGATGCATGGCTTTCCGAAAAGACAGAAAATGAATGATGCAGCTGAGTCCAGTCGGGGGATTTTCCCTGCAGACGTAGACTCTCACACACTGCCACTGAACTGGCAGATCAAGCGATCACGACAGGCACATGCACAGAGTCACAGACACAGACTGTCAGTCACCAGGTCACTGCAGTCAGTCACACATGGCAGAGTCTACATGCATGATACACACTCAACCACGTCTTTTCAAGTGATCCGGAGAGCTGGAAGGAGATCGTATGCCGAGGACCCCTGTACTTCTGCACTGTTCAGGAACTTTTGAGTAGCCCCATTTTCGATTCGTCAGTGAGTAGTGAAAGAGAACTCCCTGTCATGTACCACCGCAAAGTGTAAAGACGATATTAGGGAGCTCATAGTCATTTTAGTTTGTGACCGGTTCGTCAAACCAGCAGGATGACATCAGTGAGAGAGGTACGTCGTGATCATGATAATCTCGTAATGCTTCTTGGCCAATTGAAGCTCGCTCCAGTTGCTGACTGGTCTTCTACTCTTCTTCGTGTTCCCGTTGCTTGTGAATTCTGCTTACAGAATAGCCAACTCCTGATGGCCGTTATCGAAGGCCTATCGACAGGAGGGTATGTTCACGTATATATCATTATTTTTTTCTTCAATGTCGAAACAAATAATTATTTCCTGGACTACAGCTACAATAGTTTTCAATATTCACCTGGTGCATGTACAGTGGTCGGCATATGCCAAAATAAAGCCAGGGCCTGGAAAGAGCATGACATTAGCTGAGAAGGATCGTCATCATAGTGAACCTTTCCTCAAGTGACAGTTCTGATATAAATGGAAGTACAGTCCAATACAGTCCTGCTCAATGAAATCCAGTCGCGTCACTCAAGTTTGTGCCTTGCCCCATTTCGCAGGCCAGTGTTCGCAGGTCTAGTTAGTACTACTAGTAGGGCTGCGCATCGCCCGGCGCGTACTAGAGGGACGCGACTGGATTTCATTGAGCAGTACATGCTTACCGCGGGTTCTAGCAATGTGGGTCGGTAGCGAAAATGAACTTAGTCCGCAGTGGGCATTGCATACAGTCCAGCCTATCAGGACCAGACCAGGTTTCATTGCACCAGCAATTCACCTTTTGGGACTGAGTGGTCAGCTCACGCTGTAGCAGCGCTGTTCCCTTTCCCCTGTTGTATGTGATGGGTTTTCTAGCCGGGCCTTTGCTGGTGTGTCATCGTGGGGAGAATCAAGTTCTTGCTTGCTGTGTTAACAGTCGATGCCCCGTCCCAAGGGTTTGCAACCGTCCGACCTCCGCGCTATGGTAGCTTTGCGAGGTGTGCTGCCTTTGTTGTCCCAATGAAGTGACATTTGAGCTGACTGGATTTGACTTTTTCCCTGCAGTTTAGGCGCCCCATGTGTTGTGTGGCCTGGGTGCACGCACACACAACACAGTAGATTCAAAAGGCAGCACCTGCAGACCTGGTACACGAACGCATCCTATGTGGACCATGTGTAGTGTGTGCCAATGTACATGCCGTATTTTCCGGTGTACAAGCCGCACTGGGGTATACTGTAAGCCGCACCCAGATTTTTGGCACGAAATACAGACATCTGCCCTGTTTATAAAAGCATCGCCGAAGTCGCACCAACCTCTTCTTCACATTGTTATCCTGTTTGTCACCGTTAATTTAGCCATCGTAGTATACGCCGCACCTACTTTTTTTGGTGAATGATTGGTGTTTAAAGTGCGGCTTACACTCCGGAAAATACGGTTCCTGAGTATACAGTACTGCCATTATTCCCAGCACTGCTGTTGGTGTGTGTGTGTGCATGACGGAGGTTGTGCTGTGTTTCTTCTCCTTGTTTAGAGTGGCACGGGAATCAGAGAAGGAGCGCCTGATGAAAAAGTATGAGAGCGCCGACCGGGCAATCGACCAGGTTGTTGATGGTGAGTGGCATGGACTGTGCTTGCTGGTCATTCTTAGTGTGGATATGAGCTGGTGTTGGCTCTTTGCAGTCTTGTTTAATCTCAGCACGCGGACCATTGAGGTGGTACATGTACAGTCAGTGAATGTTGAAGGTGGAGTGGCCTGACCCAAGTTTCGGTCTACGCATGATGTGGGCTTGAACTCCACTTCTGACACCAAGTGTTGCATTTGGCTGTCACAACAGCACGAATGATACACCACTAGATCGGCAACACTACACTCAAACAAAACAAGCCACAACAAGGTCTTAGCTATCCCCTCCTTCTTTCTCCTATTTTTCTTTTCCCAGAGCACCATGATGCGCTGACGCAGTCCATCAGATCCTACACCAAGATCTCTGCTAATCTCATCGGTGAGTGCCACATAGCCAGTCATGGATGCACAAGCAGTAGACATTACGCCTTTAACCATGTGTATTGCTTGTGATCTGTTGTACAGCATCCCAGCAGCGGGTCACGTTCCTGAAGGAGAGCTTGGTGAAATGCAAGAAACTACTTCATTGCAAGCGCGGCTATCTGCTGAAGTTATGGCTGGAGTGCCGTGAGCAGCGGGAGATTCTCAAGATCCTCGACAAGATGTATGTAAATGGACACGTCAGGTTAAAATTGTACGATCTGATCGTTCGGCAAATTAGCTGATCATTGCAGCAGCAGCTCACTCTCTCTCTCTCTCTCTCTCTCTCATACACTCTCACTCCCTGTCTATCTCTCTCTCTCTCTCTCTCTCTCTCTCTCTCTCTCTCTCTCTCTCTCTCTCTCTCTCTCTCTCTCTCTATCTCTCTCTGTCTCTGTCTCTCTCGGTCTCTGGCTCAGTTATACTTTCTCACGTCCTCATCTCCCCAAATTGTTTTGATCAACTGAAGTTCGCCTTGTTTGCCTGGTGCGCAGTGAGGAGGTCAAGGGTGTGCCCGAGCAGGTCAACCGTCACCTGGCTAACAAGCACTATCTGCTGGCTACGAAGATGGTCACAAGAAACGGTAGGTATCTTGTGTCAAGTTGTTTATGCTTTGGAACACTGTGGTGTCTGTGTTGAGCACGGACGGTGGTTCATAGGTCTTCCAGATACGTTGCTGTACCTGTTCTTTGCTGCTGGAGCTGCACCATGCGCTGTCAACTAACTAACATGCTCTTCTTCCAACTCTCACTCATAAACTCTCAACAAATAACCAACAGGAGGTGCCATACCCAGTGTTGTAAATTATTTCCTCGTGAAAACCTAACACTGTGCATAGAATTATGCCTGTACCCACACCTGAACTGCATGGATTTCAATTCCATGCTTGCCCAGTGCACGGAAATGTCTGCCTGCACGTATACTTTGAAGTTCACAACTCTAAACCCTTGGGTATTCTTGCAAATTGGACTGTCAAATCAGTTCGGTTTGCCAGCAAAGGGAACGCCTTTAACTGGTGCTTGTGTGTGCTTGTATCTGAATCCCTTGGCCGCAGTAAAACTCCTCGAGGACGACTTGGGCTCAATCGAGGCACTGCGGGAGCTGCGCTGTGATATGCGTGACCTGAAGGAGGTAAGTAGCACATATGCGGGGCGAGGTGCTCTGCGTTTGTGAGTGGGCTTTTGTACGGGCACATGCTTGTACAATCATGTAGCTGTTTCCGATTCAAGATTTACAATACATGATTGTATACTGTGTGGTGTATGATTCATTGCCTCCACTCCTACTGTGACCTACATACATGTCAACATGGATGTCATGCAGCGGAATGCAACACATCGCTGTTGTTGATTACGTTGTGTTTGCTTGACAGACCCTACACAACACATTGATTGATGAACTACACCGGCATCTCTACACCGTGGCTGCAGCAAAGTGTAGACGGACAATGGAAAGCCGTAAGTCCACACGTGACGGGAGTACAATGTGTATACACTGTTAACCCGACTGCTGCATGGACGATAAGTGCTGCGAATAGTGATCATGCGCCCTGGCCTGAGTAGCTCGCTTGGCTAATTGAAAGTCTGCCGACCTGGGCCACATTATGTTGCTAAGGCATGCACAACCCCAGTCACAGCGCGCAAGTTGGTTGAGTTTGGCCGTCAGGAGGCCAGCGCAAGGTATCCGGGGCGCGGGTCTGATTCCAGCGAGGGGCAATGTGGTACCCCGCAGCGCAAGGGTAGCGTGATACCCTAAGCCAACGTGCGCGCTGCATGAGTAGCGTGATACTCGCTGAGCGCTTTTGCCGTTGCCTAGCAACGCGTTTCTGTCTTTCCTGGGCCCCCAACGCATGTTGGGTGGCCCTGCGCATGACTGCACGTTGTCATAGCAACCTTGGAAACCTCAAGCCGGTTACCAACAAGCTAGGAATCAGACCAAGCCGCCGAATGCCCCCGCCGGCTCCCGGCGCTTCATTGCAATTGAATTAATATTTGTCCAGAATAGTGAGCTAGGACAGATCAAGAGGCGTGGGTGGGAGGGAGAAATTGCAAAACAGTTGGATGCACGCAGCAGCACAGCTAGCAAGAGAAAGAGCCGTGGATGGGTTTGTTCCTGTTTTTGATGGCTGTGGCCATCCGTTGGCCCAGCGGTCTCGTGTGAGTACGGTGTTTGTTTGTGCTGCCAGCTCGCGCCCGGCATTTGTTTGCGCTGGCAGCTCGGGCCCGGTGCGCGAGTGAAACCGAACCGTGACAAAGGCTTTCGCTCTTTAGTGCTATTGACTGGCTTTTCATACGATGCCTATTGATGTCTAGAGACATGCTGTCTAGCCTTCCCCTAGTACGCATTCACGGGGCTTTGTTGAAGTTCGTGCCGTGAACTGCCAAAGGGAATTGTTTGAATGGTGCTGGGGCGAGTGCGACATTACGGCGTCCCTGCAGCCGGCCTAATCGCGTTTGTCGCCACAACCGATTTTATTGTAGGTGTGCACATGTGTGTTCACATGTGCTGCTAAGAACAGTGGGTATGAAATACTACCGTATTTCCCCGTAAGTTAGTACGTACTAACTTTCAAACTTAGCAGCCACATGAGTACTAACTTTCGGGGGTGGTACTATCTTTCGGGGAGTACTTTTTTATCGGGGGTAAATGACACGCAGTGGGAAGCCCGCGCAACTCTAGTGTCCGTGCATATGATGTATGTACTGTACGGTGTCTGTACATGTAGGACGGGTACGAACTTACTATCTTTCGGGGGGAACTGTCTTTCGGGGTGATAACCTCGGCAGTGGAAAGTGTATTTTTAATAGGGGGGTACTAAGTCATTGGGGAGAACTAACTTACGGGGAAATACGGTATGTATGTTGCCATGCCAATTCATCAGTGGCAGTAATACTGGCTTGCATTATGTTCTGTCTGTCTCCGTCTCTCTCTCTCTCTCTCTCTCTCTCTCTCTCTCTCTCTCTCTCCACCCCTATCGATCTATCTATCTATCTATCTATCTATCTATCTCTTGTATGTTGGATGGCAACAGGACAACAGAGCAGTTCTCGCGCACGCTCAATAGGCCACTCTGGCTCCCATAGCTTCTTCACAACATCACCGGTCCCAATGGATTTTGCCGTTGACTTTCCCAATCAAAAGCAGGACCTAAGTAAGTTGCCTGGTGCATGCATGCTCGTATGTTGACTTGAGGGTGATATACGTGATTCTCAGTGCTTAGTTTAGGGCTGTCTGTGGTTGGAAGGTTGAGAGAGTGCTGGATGTACATGTACTAAACCACTTGTCGGAACACAATGTCAGCTGTTTGGCTATATTATCTAGATTCACACCGAAGCAATCACCAACCACTTACCCACACTCCAGTCGCAGACAAATTGCAAACTTTCTACTTTTACTTCTACACTATTGACACGCTATGCCCACTCTGCTCATGTACACATCGCATACTGCACTCTAGTCGCACACTAGTTGGACGCTGTGCACACTCGATTCACACACAAAATCACACCCTCTACTCACTCACACTCTACTCAGTACTCACACACACACATACCCTCTACTCACACACACTCTACTGACACAGCTACTTCCCCTTTCTGGCGATTGATTACCAGCACAGTAACCTTGAAATCACGGCCAAGTGACTCACTCTCGCTGCCAGTGATGGCTATGGAAGGCTGAGCTGACATTCCTTTCGCATTTTTATTTCCATTGCTATCAGGTTCGGCCTCATTTCCTCTGTGCTGCGCTGATGAGTTCAAAAAGAACGAAATAGCATGCTGTCCGCAGATTGAGTATATTATATATAACGAAGTGCTAACTCTAACGAGTTAACGAGGAGAAATCTGTCGTTAAAATAGAAATCGTTATACAGAAATCGACACATATACTGTCCTATTGAGCGTTGAGAATGAGTGAGAATCGTTACCTTTGGTACACGTAAACCAGTCAATTTTGGGAAATCGTTATACATGCGCCTCGTTAGAATAATGGCTTTTACAGTACATTGCTGCTGCAGTTAAAACATGCAGTATGGACTGAGTTGTGAATAATGTAAGATTCCGGATTTGTACTGTTTGGGGGTAGCTCAAGAGGTACACAGTCAACTTCGCTAATAACGACTGCGGATATAACGACAATTCGCGAATAACGACAGCCACTTCATGCCCAGAGCAAAGTCCATTCTACCTGTATACATATAATGAGACTTCGGGTATAACGACACTTCGCGAATAAGGACACTTTTCTGATGCCCGGCCGAGTGTCGTTATACGCAAAGTTGACTGTACCATCCCATTCTGAAGATCTTGTATGATGTTGGGGAGGTCTAGACGGGCTGATCAGGAAAGGACTTTTGACTGGCTACCTGGGTTATTTGTGTGTACATGCTTTCCTTCGTGTTGGTTAGATGCCTTGAGCTGCGCTAACACAACTGGCTTGATGGAGCTGGACCCAGACACGGTACGTAGCGAATACACGTGGCACTAGTAATGTAAAATAAATTCTAAAATCTCCACATAGCTAGAAATCCGGCGCTTGGTGGTGTTTGGAACTTAGCTCCACTAGCGTCTGCAACGTTCTTGCTGAACTGGAGCTGTGTATCTTCTGGTGATGTTCATGATCAGATGTCATGCATACTCGCCTGTGTGCAGTACGTCACATGATAGACAGCTGTTGCCAGTCATGCATTTGTTCTCCATATGCCACTGGCACTATAGTACAGCAATACACCTGCATATTTGACTGGCAAACTGGACCGGTTTCATGTCAATGTGGGGGGGGTTACACACTTCGAAGAATAGCAACCATAATCCATTGGTAGTGTGTACTCTATTTTGGTTGAACTAACTCAGAACTGCAAGCCGGACATTCCAGAGACTCATCAAGATGTGATGCATGAAAAACTTCAAAATTCTCAAGGGCGAAAGAGAATGTGTCCGAAATCGTTTAAACGTGTTTAAGCATGGTACATGGTGTGTGCATGCGTGTGCGTGCGTGTGTGTGTGGGGGGGGGGGGGGGGGGGGGGGTGTATAACGTGATGTTCCGGTAATGTTCATGCTCAACCTGCAGACAGTACTGTTCGTCCTTGTAATACCTTGTGTATTGTTTCGTGTGCTCTGCAGCTGGAAGACAAAATGACGGCCGACCCCGAAGAGGACTCTACACACTTCATGCTCATCCTGGTCCACTCGCTATCCATCCTAAACAAGATTCCGGACACTATCGATGTGAGTGCCGTACGCTATGCTTGCTCTGCACATTCAGAGTCACTGTGTCTTCTTTTTCTAATTCTCTGGTCTGTATAATATAAGTACTGCATGTTCTGCATGCGTGGAAGAACAGGAACGAGAGATCATGAAAGCACCTTTTGCTAGCAAACACATCATGACAAGCACTAATGCAATCCAATCTTGGCTATCCAAAACCCAAGTTGTACTAGTATCCGAACGCACGGGTCGGTGCATTTTGTACATTCTACTATGGATGTCTATGTCTTGTCAGCATGCAGCCGTCTAGATTTTCTATTGTTTCTGAGTGTTTACTGATTTTTTTAATTTTCTCTTACCAAATGTTCGCCTTGGGTCTTCAGCAATGGGTATAATGTATATACTACCACAGTGGGGGTATTGCTTACCAGATGACTTTGTACATACATGTACGTCTACATGCTCCACTTGTCAGTAAGATGAATTAACTGAATCTACATGCACATTCCTAATCGATTTCATGAGACACTCGTCAGGGAAAGCCGTCTCAACAATAGAAGCTAGGCTAGGCATCGCTTATTCATTAGCTATCAGAATAAGCCTGCAGAACAGCTTTTCACGAAGTGTTCTGTTGAATGGGGCAGGACTATGTGATTTGTGGTACAGAACAGAGAACACCCTAAAGTACTGCTGATGCCGTGATCGCTGCTCTTTCCCTTCTCCAGCGTATCATTGTGCGCATGGACACTGAATTTACCAAGCTGGTGCAGTCGCTGATCGAAGAGATTGCAGCAAGGTAAGATGTGGCAAACAGGCGTGTACGCACATATGCATACACCATGTACACACACACACACACACACACACACACACACACACACACACACACACACACACACACACACACACACACACACACACCAGTCCTGTCCAGTCCAGTCCAGTCCAGTCCAGTCCAGTAGAGCCACTGCCACAGGGGTCACCTGGGCCCCGGAGGGGCTTGAGAGAGGAGGATGGAGCATGCTGATGACGTTGGAGATTGTCTCCCTCTCTTCTCTGTGACAAATTTCAAATTTCATCGTGCGATATTCTAAATCCACTTGGGGGCTTGTCAAACCTCCGCGAGCGGCAACGTCGGGCACAACTGAAAGTGACGGCACCAAATCACCATCCCGTCTCTCTGCTTTGTGCGTCCCTCCATCAAGCGCGCGCGCACACACACACACACGCACATGAAAGATATACCGTAAAGTCGCGGATAAAAGCCGGGTTTGCATACAAGCACATCGCGTATAGAAGCCTGAAAATCGAACGGGTCAAATGCATATAAGCCTGTCGCGATTAGAAGCCTGGCTTCTATGCAAGCGCGGATCGGGTAGGTCAAGAGTGCATGCGCTATATAATAATATATAAAACTGCCGCCATACCGGTAGTCAGTGGTAGATGTACGCGTGTCGCGCATATCAATGGTGCATATAAGCATGGTTTGCATACAAGCCTGGTTTGCATTAAAGCCTGGTTTGCATTAAAGCCTGATGCAGAAAGCGGCTTATATGCTTATAAGCCCGGCTTTTATCCGCGACTTTACGGTTGTCAAATGTCCAAGAGGAACATGAGAGAATTTCAAATATCTTAGGATTAACAAAATTGAAGAGCATATTGACGCTCAGTTGAGTCTGCCACTCTGAAACGGTGAAAGGTGACGACCTGAAACAGGAAAGGTCCATCGGATAAAGTCTGCATCATTATCACGGGCAAGAATCAAAGAATCAAGTACAATTGTACACACTATTTTTCGGGTTGTCAATAGGTTTGCAATGTGACTCAGACGAATGCAGTGACTAACATCAGTGCCATGGCAACTGCAGAGTCACAGTTTTAAGTACAGTGTATTGGTGACTGACTATGAGGTTATGATAACAGCCAGCCTTGGATAGCAAAGCAATGAAGTCATCATGAAATCGGGAAACGGCTCCTCTGCGGGCATGCGGTGCAACTGGAAAGATGGGCATAAATAGATGAACATATAACAGCGGACAGCGAGAATGCTGTAACCGCAATTGCAGCAGCTAGGCACGGTGATTGACCGAGTAATATTATTCGGTCAGTCAGTAATCATGTTCGCTGTTCAGCCTCCCAATCAGCGTCAGTATCTCAGAAATATCCAGATTCTGTCCGCCAAGAGAAACACGATCACGCAGATGATGATGCTCTGAAACCTGCTCAGGAAGTTCCACGTTTCCGAAGCAATCCATCTTACTGACTGCCTCCCTGTAAGACGTGGTCCAGAGGAAAAATCCACTTCAGGGGAATCTATGGCTGCACGGGGCGTAGCAGGGCTCACTGCAGCAGCGGAAGAAGACATGTCAGATGTAGACTGCAGCGACACAAGGGTAGCATGTGCTCGAGGTGAGTGTTATGCTAGGAGGGGCTACTGCACTCTGGTCCGACACCAAATGAATCTGGGTTTCAGGCCGCTGTTGCAACAGGATCCAATGCTACTGCATGGGTCAGTGACGTAGTGGGTGGTGACTCCACACTATGAGATGACCGAGAAGCATCGTCATCTGTCCCTCGACCTTCTGCTTCTCGGTACTTGCCCATGCTGTCCAGCTTTACCAAGATCTCATTGACATCGCCTTTCGGCTCAACATTGCGAATGCACTCCAGGAAGATATGAAACGACCTGTCATCATCTGCTCGTATCGCGTCCAACAAGGCTTCGTTTTGCTGAGTGGGACTGGCAGAAGCTGAAAACCTCTTCTCTTGATGACGTGTAATCAGCCCCTTCCACGCACACTCGCTACGCAATGCATCTGGCGTGAGCGTGTTGACCATTCTTGGCAAGAATCCTATGAACAAACACAGGACTCTCCCAAGCCGACGCCATTTTGCATGACGAGAGGGCGTTCGAGATATCGCCACGATGGCCATGTTCAGCCAGCATTCCATACAGTTCTTTGATGGTCATTCCCTGCCTCTTGTTGAGGTACAGAATGCTGCAAAAGAGGTTATCCATTCCAATCCCGTCCCCGCGCATGGCGTCAGTATGATCTGCATATGGAATGTCCTCAGGACATTAAGATAGACACTCCTGCTTTTGGCCTCAACCAGGATCACTGCCGCTCTGCTAAGATTTCTTCTTGCCTCGCCTACGACAGAGTTCCGAAGTGCACCCTCGAAGTCTACGCAATCTTTGATATGTGCCAGTGTCTTCGACCCGATGGCATCAAGCGAAACACCTTTTGTCTCAGGAGTGGGAGAACTAGCTTCACTTGAATCTTGCACTGAAACCGCGGTACTCCTGTAAAGGAATCCAATAGTGATAGTCTGATCTGGGCAGTCAAACTCATCTTCCTTTCAAGCCTCTCCAAATGTGGTAGCTTGTGCCTGTCCATTAGTTCCAAGTGCTTTTGGAGTGGCTGCATCAGACTTACTGGTATGGTGCAGACGGCGTATGACATCAACAAGTGGACCCACACTGGTGCGGCAAGACATGCGGTACTCTCTGAGTGAAAGCTGACAAATGCTGGGCTTGTGCATTGCAGTTTAGAATTGTCCTTTGCTGCTCTGCCCAGCTAGGATCACTCCTGATCAAGAACTTGTAGGACAGATAATTGCGCGTGCGGCTTGTCAGGCGTTTGTCCAATGTGTCTGCTACAACATGCATGCCCCTCTGCGGCGTACAATCAAAGGGCGGGGTTTGCTCGCGAAACCCCCAGCAGCTAGGGCGGACCATCACAGAAAAGTAGACAATAAGAATAGTTTTGGCACCAAATATGTTTCAACTCATCTCCCATTGAGACCACAACCAGCGCAATAACACCGTCTTTGGACTGCTTCTGGCTAGATTAACTCTTGTGTAGTGACGCTTGTATCAGATCCACTCTGATTTAGCCACGCACACTAGTAGCAAGTATTACCTTCACCGGGGGCAGGGGTAACTGTAGTTGGATCCCGGGACGGATACGGTTATTACCCTGATGCTGTCAATGCTTTTTCTGCACCTTGTCCTCACCTACTTACTGAGGTGTGGTGAGCCCATAAGTGGGATGATTTCAAGTTCACCCACAGTTTTCGGGATTTCAGGGGGTGTCGGCCGTTGGGCGGTTCAATAGCCAATTGAGTCATCTTTCCAAGATTCCTTTTGAGTCTCTCTCCTCTCTCCCGGGGAGATCCACGTGACCAGTTTCGGCAGTGCACAACAAGTACAAGTGTGTGTGTGTGTGTGTGTGTGTGTGTGTGTGTGTGTGTGTGTGTGTGTGTGTGTGTGTGTGTGTGTGTGTGTGTGTGTGTGTGTGTGTGTGTGTGTGTGTGTGCGTCTACTTGCTCTATATGCAGAACTGAGGAACATGGAGATACTGTCTATTTTACTGCTGTAAGTAATACAGTGTGCATGTGTGTGTGTGTGTGCGTCTGTGCGTGTGTGTGTGTGTGTGTGTGTGTGTGTGTGTATGTGTGTGTGTGTGTGTGAAGGCCTAGTGCAGTTAGACATCACTTATCCAGTTCCTTACTAAGTTGCTATACAGTTATTGATTGTAGCACGCTTGCAGAAAACACTTGGAGAACAGTGTATGTGTAATACATGCAGTTTGGGGTATCTGCTTCCTCGCATATCCGCATGTTCTTTTATAACGGTTTTGTGCGTGCTTTTGAGATCCGACTGTACTGCGTGCCATTGTTAACACAGCATCTCATCTAGTATTATATAAATGGTGTTGATGGCACGTCGTATTTTTTAAACTAATGTAGTTTTTCTCGTTCTTGGTCGTGGTCCTCGAGTAGTAGGCGCAAAAAGGCAGCTTTGCCTTCTGACATCTAGACAGCTATTTTGGCACAGCTTGTAGTAGTACAGTTGTGGCAAGTGAAATCCGACACTTGCCATAGGGGACAGCGCCTCAAATGGACATCAATGATGTAATGCACTGCACCTAATTTGTACTATAGAGCCGTATGCATCACAAACAGGTCGAAAGGTCACAGCTTAGATACACACAGTTCACAAACATGGTACACATAAGGAGTATTGGTATCCAATTCCCATTCATTTTTGCCAGCACCTTTTGAACCTTGACTGTGATGAGTACGAATTCTGTCCTCAGACAGATAAAGTTGTATGCAGCACATGTACTGTACGTATGCAGGGCTGCAGAGGCTGCAGGATGCACGGTGCACGGTGCAGTCCCTTATGCCAAGTGTCGGATTTCACTTGCCACAACTGTAGTAGTAGTAGTAAGTACTGAAGTAACGTGGATCATCCACATAGATTGATGGAATCTTTGATTGCCTTCTGGCTCATCGCCTCGAGCACTGAACTAGGCCGTTGCTGTTATACTCGTATTCTTGGACCACGGCCTAACTCATGACATGATCCTGCTGCACCCTCTACTCTGCATTTCTCCTGTGCACATTGCAGTTAATCTGTCTCACTCTTCTCTCCTCATCCTTTGTTCCTTGTTCCTGTCTTTATCCCCGTGTCTATAGGAAGCTGACAGACCTGGCCAACAGAAGCTGCTTCTTCAGCTATTGCGTTTGGCGTTTGAGCGCTTCCAGGCGGTAGCGCTGGCGCACAACACATTGCTAGGGCAGTTCAAAGCAGTCATGTTGGTGAGTGAGAAGAGGCCGCGGTGCTGTCTGTACTAGCTGTAGCGATCATCTCCACACGTCTACTACTGTAGGGCTACACAGTGTGCATACCGGTAGTGTATCTTGCAGCTTGTATGGCTGAGCACTGGTGTCCTTTAGTCATCGCCATTATTGTATTTGTTTCCATGGCTCCGAGTGTGGGTTCTGAGCAGTTTCTGGGACATTCACCAATACATTCCTCAACTTGCACGTCCATTGCCTGATGGTGTTAATTTGTGTCTTTGTGCTTCTCCTGTGGTCACACCCAACATGTCTACTACCCTTCATTGTAGTATTCCGGAATAAGTAAGTGAAATTTGTAATGTTTTTTAAACCTTTTTTCATAGAAAAGAAAAGGACCAAGGAACTACAAGGAATTTTTTTCTTCAAGCTTAAGCAGCTGTTGGCAGACAAGCGGGTATGATCAGGAAGTTGAACATTCATACTAGCGAGGTTGTGCATAACGAATTTTCCTAGTGACAACAGCGAAAAAATCACCCGCGAAAAGACTACGAAAATATGCTGTGCCGTGCCAGGTTGTGCAGGGCGCGAGCTTCAAAAGTGTCATACGCGTCCGTCCGTGCCATGTGCAAGCGAGCATTTGATTTCTTGCAAACACTTGGATTGATTTTGGTTTCGTATCACTTTGGCCGGAGAGTTTGATGAGACATTGGCAAATTTGCTGTTCGCCAATGACGGAGGACAGCTTGACAAAGAGAAAGTTGATTTTACTTCTGACCTTGGAGGGGGACGTGCAGGTGAAAATATCTGCTAAGGAAGTTGGGACCTCGGCTGTTTTTGGGATAGTTGGCGGATGATGCTTGCATGATGCGCTTCAGATTTTCTTCAACTGATTTCCTCATGCAAGCCAAGAGTACATAACCCCCCTAAGAGTGTGCAACTCCCGCATACCCTGCTGTCTCGGCAGAATTTCAAGTTAACATGATTTTTAATGATGCAATGCTCCTTGCACCAGTGATTTACGACTTTTGTACGGGGTGTCAACGCATCACACATGTTTCCTTGAACTAGTTTGTGCAGGATCAAATGGGGCTTTGTCCACCACAGGTCTAGGATGCGTCTGATAATACATGTACAATACACGTCATAAAAATGACGTCAACTTGAAGTTCTGTCAGGACAGCACCCATAGTGGAGTTGCACATGCTTAGGGGGTTATGTTACTTATGTACTCTTGTGCAAATGTGTTGCTGCTTCTCAGGCATACCGCTCTACAATATGGAGGAAGTCTGGTCATCTGTGCAATTTGTGGTAAGTAATGTGCAGCACACATGTGCAGTACGGTATCTACGCTATCACATGTGAATCTCTGAACATGGTGACGTGTGTGGCTGTCGGTCACAGTGCGACAGAGATGTGCACGGCACAGCAGTGGCGAAACCGCTATGCCAGATGAAAATGTTGAGTGTGTTCTTGGTGGCATCGTAGCAAGGACCCCCTCCCCCGTGATGAGCCATTGTGATTGTGGATATGCATGTACATGTACGTGGTTTGTTTGCCACAGTTGCAAGCTCTCTTGGGCGAGTACTTCGATGTCAAGAACTCGCAAAGTAACCGCGATGCAACCAACTTTCACTCAATCTCGTAAGTCGCTGCTTGCCTTGCTCAGTCACTTTGTTTGCACGTGCATGTGTCACTGAACTACACTGGATAACGCTATGGCATGTCACTGCTCCTTGTTGCCATGGTAATCATGGAAGGAGTTCGCGTGTGATCCCAGTCTAGTGTCCTCGGCGAGCATGCACTGACTAAGAAATACTGCCCTGCATGCTAGGATATGGCCATCATTGATGCCGGTCCAAGATGTGCTTGTGCAGCTCACTCGTTTTGCCCGTGCCTGGCCAGGCCCACCCACCCCGTCGTCGTCGAGCAGGGTGGCCACTTATTCCTAGCTGTGTGAGCATATCCCAGGCCAAGTTGGCGTCTTGCGCCACCGGAGCTGACCAAAGTTTGGTAATCGTCTCATCATGTCACACTGTCAATTTTGTTTCGAGAGGTTTTAGAGTTAGTCCCCGGCGATTATGATCACGTGCGTTTTTGTTCTCTTTCTCACTTCCTTGGCTTGTCTTTCATTCGCCTGGGTGGTGATCAACAGCCAGTGGTTGCCGGAGTGTATGTTGTGATGTGTGTACGTGAAAATAACAACAGATAGCAAAGATCAGAGAATTGGGAGTCACTCGCCAGAAGAAGGAAAAACAATCTAGAAGCGGTGTGGTGTAGACACGGCTGAATAGTGACAGTCAATTCTTCAGCATTGTCACAATTTGTGGGTTGTTGAGCAAGTTGTTGCACCACTGCCATGCGCCATTGCCTCTGGCAATGGGCGCTTAAGGTCTATGTGCATGTATGTGTGTGTAATACTTCATTATACCGGTAATTATCTGTCTGCTTGTAGGAATATGTCGCAGTACTTTGACAACAGTGGGAAGAAGAAGTCAATGCAAAGGCGAAATGTGAGTCTGGCTGAGATCTGTGTTTGAATACAAGGTGGAATTAGTGCGTCCCGCTGTGCCTATTGAATATCAACTTTCTTGAGTACTCCTTGACCAGAAGACTTAGCCAGGTTTGGAGTGAGACTGTTGCTGACCAGACATTGACAAGTGCTGTTACCGTCAATAGTAGCAGTACAGTGTATTATAACGAGTCGCAAATTTAACGATTGTGCAAAATTCATAGGTTAACGAGAAGATATGTTAACGATCTTGCAGTATTCTGCCATATCCACACACAGCATAATATGAAGCAGTACGGCCTCAGCGGATCTTATTATAACGAAGAAATATAATCCGTTAAAACGTTAGATTTGCTTCCTCGTTATATATACATGTCTTACAGTACATCTACACAAGCATTGCTTTGTTCATTGCAGATGAACAAAGCAATGATTCCTTGTGAATGGGGTGTGTACACCTTCCAGATCTGCTTTCTGAGTGATGTCTGCCTCGACTGTGTTGTGTGCTTGAACTCTGTATACATTATATTTCCTTCTTTTGATGTGCAGAAATCCCTGTTCGCGTTTGACTCGTCCACCATAGCGTTGACAGTGCAATCTGTGCAAGCTAGTGCCAATGGTGAAGACATCACAGCTCTTGGCAGAGAATATGTAAGTCTCTTGCTAATGCGCTGTGTGTGTGCATGTGCGCGTGTGTGTGTGTGTGTGTGTGTGTGTGTGTGTGTGTGTGTGTGTGTGTGTGTGTGTGTGTGTGTGTGTGTGTGTGTGTGTGTGTGTGTGTGTGACGTGTTTAACTGTCGCAGAACCTAAGCATACTGCCTCTGTAACTGTATGGTATCATCAGCCAATTTCTCATGCCGATACATATAGCTACTTGTCAATGTACCCGGTCGTTTCTTGCCGGAAAGGCCCAGCTTGCAGACACATACAGCAGTCTACATTGATCAATGGTTTGGTGCGGGCATTTTTCAGCTTTCTCAGTTCTCTTCAATACTACTACTTGGTCAGATTCATTTTCGTATGCATTTTTTGGTACTTTTACTGTTTATTTTGATAATTATTTTATCCCACCTGGTTTTTGTCATTCTGTATCACAATTTGTGGTTTTCATATGCTCCCTGATGAAGCCCTAAGGGTGAAAATTTTGAGATAGAATATTAGTAACGAAGAATGCTGTTTGACTTGAGCAGTTGTTACTGACCATACGAATAGTGTTTACTGTTTAGAACATGAAGTAATTGTCTGTAAAACTCGGTATGTATCTTGTGTGTATATTCTGTCTACGTGTGTGTGTGTGCGTGTGTGTGTGTGTGTGTATATTCTGTCTACGTGTGTGTGTGTGTGTGCGTGCGTGCGTGTGGACGTACATGCACTCTCCTTGTCTATAGATGCCGGATGCTCCAGAAGACAAGCCTCCGTTCAAATTTCTCTGCAAGCCGCACCCGGAGAATGTCACTGGTCAGTAAAGTGTAACTGAATGCGTACATGTTTGCATGGTCATGAAAAAGCAAATCTACCACTGTCTGATGGGTGTTTCTAAACATGAAGTTGAGAAGTATAGAGAAAGAATGTCGATCAGCAAGCGTAGTGCAGTGCATGTCTGCGTGTAGTATATCAAGGGAAACTAAGGTTGTGTTTGATAGCAGTTAGGTTGATGTTGGGGCTTGTGGTGGTGGCGGTCCCACAGGTCTGGACATGGGTATCACTTGCCATGCAAGAGTTAGCTCATCTCTGACACCGACAGACTCTCTGCTGTCTGTCTTATCAAGTGCTATAGCCACAAACTTCAGTTGCACTGTCTGCTATTTTGCCTACATGCTTGTTGTGCATTCTGTGTGCCTTGTGTTTACTGTTTCATACATGTGCAATGTTATGTTGTGCAGTTGTGTTCAATGAGCTGCTGCTGATCACTAGCGTCCTGAAAGACCTTCTCAGCATACCAACTGAGTGAGTTTGATATGTTGTTATCTGTAGCGCAGGATTGCACTCAACCTCATTAAGACGAAAACAAGGGGACCAATGGTATTTGTTCGCAATAACAGGAGTTATTCTTATCCAAATTTTATATCCGGCGAATACACAATGATTTATCCAATAGAGTTATGAATGCTAGTTCTTCTAAAGCTAAAAGTTTGCCATATCAGTGCCATATCAGTGCCATATCAGTGCCATATCATCAGTGTTCTTCTTAACAAGGTTCACTGTACTGTGTAGTGTGTATACTGTGTAGTGTGTATACTGTGTAGTGTGTATACTGTGTAGTGTGTATACTGTGTAGTGTGTATACTGTGTAGTGTGTATACTGTGTAGTGTGTATACTGTGTAGTGTGTATACTGTGTAGTGTGTATACTGTGTAGTGTGTATACTGTGTAGTGTGTCTACTGTGTAGTGAAGCACATTGTCTTGTTAGGAGAGTTAGTCTTAGGCTAGGGCAATGCTGCAGCTCATTAGAGGTAGGACAGGGAGTGTGTGAGCATCGGCGTCCAGTCATGCTGTTTAAGTCGTGCCTGTCTGGGGGGGGGGAGGCAACGACACTGATATCGACTTTGAAGTGTGCTGTACCGCATGGCTTTTCCGATGCACCTATTCATTGCCATGACGTTAATTAAATTGTTTGCATTGCACAGCAGCTGTTTGTACACTCATGGTTCACTCCTGAACTAAATTCATACTCTTTTTCTTCTGCTCTCAAAAAGCTCGAAGCCTCAAATGTTACGACCATCATAGTGCAGGTCTCGGCAGTTCTGTTTGCAGAATCTCTCCATCTTGGATGCATGTAGTTGCCCTCAGAGTATGCACGCATTCGCTGTCTCTCTTCCTTTCCCTCTCTCTCCCTCTCTCTTCCTCTCATTCTTTCTCAATATTCTTGTATTGTATGGTACTGCTTCTGTTCTGTGCCCGCAGACAACACTGTCCACTGTCAGAGTTTGTTGAAGACTTTGTCAATGTCACGTATCTCAATCGCATTCGCAGTGATACTCGTGACAAGGTCATCGTTGCAACAGAAGGTATGTGATGGCCCTGATGGGACACTGAAAACTGATCTTAAATACCAGGTGGTTTTCTGCATTGTGGATGCAGCTCCTAAAGTGATGGGAGGTGAGTAGATCAGACCCACCGCCAAGCGGTCAAAGCCCGAAAATCCCATTCGCTACATTCTGGTTTCCCTCGTCATCTGCGCCTTGATCCTTGACGGTGGTGGAGTTCCTGCGGACGTGGACAACTTTGTTACAGTGCAGAGAAACTAGAGTCGTTGTCCGCACTCAAACAACCAAGACGAGATAAGAAGTGACAGTACGCCGATGGCTTCTTACACACACGGCACTCATCTGCTCCACAAATGAGAACGGAAGATGATGTACACCGATTTATGTAACAATGGGACATTGTGATGTTGATGGATGAACTGTGTATCTGTCTGCATGAATATCAGTATACTGATCACAACACATGAGCTGTGAGAAAGATTGTGAGAGCACTGCTGGTTGTGGTGGAGCGAGAGCTGAGAAGTAAGGCACCTCGAGTATCGTCATTGCTCCCAACGAAGGCAATCAATATTGCCACCAATTCATATTTCCTTTTCGACCAGTGAATTCTTCCATTGGGATATCCTGGTACTCGTCCAAGTTGTGCCTCTAACAAAGGCACGTGGTGTTTGTGTGTGGTTGGGTGTGTGTGTGTGTGTACACGGTGTGTGGTTGGGTGTGCTTCACAATTCTTCGCTGTCCAGGTGGTGATGCGTTCAAGGTTATTCTGACTGATGACGGTGGAGCTAAGAAGGCTGGTCCGTCCAAACCAGTTTTCCAAGTACGTACAGAGCATGCTGTGTTTTGGGCAGGGCTGCATTTTCGTTCTGAAAAAGAAAACCAGCCAGAAATTTGCATACGGCCTATCATACGGGGCAGCCATTTTGGTTCCAGCTTCGGTTTAAGACTGGATTAATGGTTCACCTGCTGTTAGCCATGTCTGTTCTGCTGTCCGCATGCAATGATGCGCACTTCCTGCACGAATGCTGTTACTTGACAAAGATGTACAGCCGCTCTGTACGCTGAACATGCCTTTCAGTAGAAACTACACAATTGAATGTGACTTTCGCCCACCCCTCCCAGAGAGGGGGGGGGGGGGGATAGGGTCTCACCTTCGTCCTACGTGAATATCTTATGTTTGTATGTGCGCGTGTTTCTTCCAACCCTTGTTGTTTTTTCTTCTGTCTCCAGGGAGCGGTGTCCGTAGTGCAGCTGTTCGCTCGCTTCCGCTCCTTGCTAGCACAACTGCCGTCGTTCCGGCCGCAGATTCTTGACGTTGTCATTGGCGTTGTGGACATGTTTCGCAAGTCAACTCTTGACTCATTCAGAAGTAAGCCGCTCACTTTAAAAAGCCATTGCACGTTCTATTGCCAAGTATCTCTAGTTTTGCAGCATTGCCAACAGCTGTGACTTGGGAATCCTTGCTTTTTAAATGGTTTTTCAATGCGCGCATTGGTTTCCTAAGTCCACTGTTTCTGATTTCAGTTCTTGCTGTATCTACATTGGCAGTGAATTTCTTTCTCTGTTGCTCTTTGTTCGAGTGCGGCATGCAGATGCTTGTAATGTATTAACAGTAAGTTTGCTTCTTGTGTTTCTGTTTGTTGTCATGTGTTGTGTGTAGGGCTGGCCAAGCCGTGTGGTGTTGATGCGCTGGTGCTGAGTGCATCCTGGACCAGCGACACACTGGTACTTGCTGCTTTCTTGTGAGTCAGTCCGGCAGGGATTTCTTCACGCATGCGCACAAGCACACATGCACATACATGCACATGTGCACACACACACACACACACACACACACACACACACACACACACACACACACACAAACTTGGGATGAAGTTGGATGTTAGTTGCCTGGAGTACATTCCAACTGTTAGATGGTTTCTGACCTGCAAATTCTACATGTTGTATACGTCCGGTTCCCCCATCGTAGGAAACCCTTTCTCGGTAGAAATGCTTGTGGAACTACTTGGGTACTGAGTTGGCTATTATCTGGCAAGATATGTCCCCGAGTGAGTGACCAAGTACTTTGAAGGCATTGCTGTCCTCTTTCCACACTGCTGTGGTGATACTACAGGACATGTATACTGATGGGTGGTGTACAGTCACCTACCTGTGCCTGTATATTTGGCACAGTGCATCCATATGTAATTTGACCCCGCTTCCTATTTCACACCTTCGCTTACGCACATGCACCTCGCATGCACCAGCGGTAACTGTTGCGTGCCTGTGCTGTTTACATGCCTACTCTGTTCCCTGGTGTTCTCCACTTCTCCTTCTGTCTTCATCAAGTATAGTTTGTAATTCCTACCGGAGTGCGATGGTTGTGTTGGACTGAGAGAGTGTGCATGGGCATTTATCTTTAGTGCTGTTGCCATAACGCAACAGGCGGGTGTTTATGTGCGTGCGTGTACGTATGTATGGGCACGAGTGTAATATTATGTGTCTGTGTGTGTGTACATACGCATGTGCGTGTGCGGGCTCATATGTTAACTTAATGTCAATGTGTTTTACCACCTACAGTTCATTCCATAGCTGGACAGAGCAACCGGTTGGCCCTAAGCAGGTGAGTCAGTAGGCAGTTTGGAAATGCATGAACTGCAGGCTGCCCATGCGTACTGTAGTCCACGCTATACAGGAGCAAGTAGCTGATCGTTGTGACATAGTTGGATGTGCAGCACTGTCGACCAGTGTTCACCTGCAATGTTTGTTTGCCTGTACAACACCCTGCTAGTGTATCCAGTGCATTCTTGTCCTCATCAAGCATCAACACACTGTGCTGCAGTGTGTCACAGCGTCTTGCAGTGTGTGTGTGTGTATGTCCCATATGGTGCAGTGGTATGTGCAGCGATTTCCAATCGATAGGTTGTGGGTTCGATTCCCGACGATTATGGTCGCACACGTCTTTCTTCTCTTTCTCAGACTCCTCCTGGCTTTTCTTTCATTCTCCTGGGTGGTTACCAACAGCCAGTGCATGCCGGAGTATGTGGTGTGATGTGTGTGCGTGAAAAAAAAAATGAAAAAGACCAAAAAGTAGGGATTCACTGGCCAGAAAAAGCCACTTCATAGCTGTGTGGTGTAGACCAGGCTGAATAGTGGCGGTCAATTCTTCAGCCTTGCAAGCTGTTGAATGGTGCAATCCCAGCACAAGCTGCTATGTCTTCTGCTGTAGCATCGCTATCATCGCCTCTGGCGATGGGCGTCCAATGGTCCAATGGTGTGTGTGTAGTGTGTAGTGTGTACTCCCGAACACGAAGCCTCCATGCTTAGGTATTGCTGAGTAACTATCTTTGTGTGTGTGTTGAACTTACTTGTGCAGGCTGGTGCTGCTCCAGAGGCAACACAGGCGTCGAAAACGTTTGCCGCCTCACCACACACCCAGGTAACCAGTCCCTTTTTGCAGGCATGTGCTGTCCAAGATGACTACTGGGCATGTGCTACAAGTGACACGTTTATATTTTGTTGTGCTCTTATACTGGGGGGGGGGGGGGGAGACGCACACGCACACACGCATGCACGGGGGACAAAGAGAGCGTTTGTCTGTAGCTATCCTCCGTATTGCTCCGTATTGTGATGTTTTGCTACATACATGTACAGCATGCTCTCTGTTACATTTTGTGCACGTTGTATTTCCAGGAAACTGAATACCTCAAGAAGTTCTTGAGAGATACATCTGACACAGAAGAGTGCAAGCTTCGTGCTGGGAATATCATGTCTCTGTCGGAATCTACCTTTGGAATGCTGGCATGTACACAGGAAAGTTTGGTAAGTCTTCATCCGCAATCATAGCCTTTTGACTCGAGGCTTTTGTCTATTGTTAACTCTTACCTGTCACTTGGTGATGATGTACCAACCCGTGTACTGCCTGCTATCTCATTCCGGGTTATTCAACATGCTATACCTGTCTGTCTACGGGCTGGGTTCCACTGCGGCTCCGCTGCTCATCATCCGCGGCTTGAAGCATCATCACTACCATAGTGACCGCGGCTCGACCTGTTTCCCGTACTTTGCATTGTTTTGTACACAAGAATTTTAAAATTCAAATTTTAATTGTGTAGGCCAGAACACGAGGATTTTTTTATTTCGCGCCAGCGCAGGCAGGTAAAACATCATAAAAAACGTGGAGCACGACCGCGGTACCGCGAATGGCGAGTGTCAGTGGAACCTCGCTGCTTAATTGTTACAGTTGCATTCAGTCAAGAGTCCGGAAGTATGAAATCCTTTGAGACTGGTCTTAACGCATTCTTTCTCCTTACTTCTGTTCAGGAATGGACATACAACTGCTACGTGAAGGAGGAAACTCGACCCAATGTAAGTACCTTCTACGGCTGTGCGTTGTAACGTGCAGCGTCTCAGGGTCCGTTCACCCGAGTAACGTCAGCCCAGGGAAAGTGCTTTCGGGCCAGCATGGTGGCTAGAGTATGCAGTTCTTTTGGTCATGTCCAGGATGAACAGCAAGCTGCTAGCCAGGCCAAAAACTAGCTTTTTTCTTCAGTGTGGGTCAAGTCACTGCACATTTGACCTTGTATGCCCTGAATTTGTGTGAAAACCAATCTACTTGGCCGTCATACTGTAGAGGCAGAAAATTTCGTCGGTCAATAATTTCGTCCAACTCCAAAGAAAGGGAGTTCGTCCGGTTGAAAATTTCGTCCATGGATCATGAGAGTATATAGAAAAGCTGGACATAATCGACATTAGTCCGGCATTTAATTTAGTCCAAAAGCTCCTTGGACGAAAAAGACGAAATGAAATTCCAGACGAATATTTCTGCTTATACAGTAGGTACGAGGGAAACGTGGATGCAGTGAATGAGATTTCAGTCTTTGATCACTTTGCCGGTGGGTCTGATCTACTCACCTCCCACGACTTTAGGAGCTGTATCTGCGCCTTTCATCTTTGAAGGGTGGTGGTGTTCCTACGGATGCTAAAAACTCAGTCCCGCTGAGTCTCAAGTGAACCATGAAATTTGTTTTGGCCGTCATGATCTCCGGAAAAGTCGACGCCAACAAAAAATCCGCCGTGAGTCAAACCAAGCAGAGTTTCACACTCTTGTTTATGTACTCGTGATACTGCCCATGTTAGTCTCGACTTGCAGTGGGTCGACACTCAACAATCTCTTTTTGTATGCTTGTATGCCTGGCATTGATCTGTGCGCAGGACACCGACCCGGAAGAAGTGTCACGCCACGAGTAAGGACTTATTTGAGATGCACGAACTGCCTCGCATCCAGTGTGTGCTTTCCTGCATTCGAATGCATCGTCCGCCCCGTCATATGCTTTGTGAAGACCAGTGTGTGTGTGTGTGTGTGTGTTGTATGGGTATACGACTATACATATCTGTGAGCTCAATGTGCCGTGTGTGTGTGTGTGTGTGTGTGTGTGTGTGTGTGTGTGTGTGTGTGTTTGTTACATGGTGTTGGGGCACAGGTTCATACAGGATTTGAAGCGGCAGTTGGTTGAGATGTCTCAGCGAGTGCTGGTCATTCTGCACATTGAACTGCGCTTCCAATGTTACTATTACCTTCGCCACATCCTGCAGAGAGTGAGTGTACAGTGCCTAACATGACGATTGTGTCATCATCACTTTTGGTTGAATATGTATTAGGATAGTTTCCACGGACATAAGGCTTTCTTACGGGATACCCTGCACTGTAGAGTGCTGATTATCCTCACCCCTCCGAGGCCTGTGTGGCACTGCCCCTGTGGGGTTTGGATGAGGAGTATGTTCGGATAAGAGAGCGACCACACACACACACATCTAAAACCTGAACATTCCCTCGTGCATTTCAGTAGGTCCTGCGCTATTCCTTCTCCCGCCGAGTGCAGGTGGAGGCCAATAAAAAGGCTTGACGGTGTGTGCAGGTTAATGACCCAGACATGAATGAATGTGCATTCAAAACTGCCTCACAAATGCCACAGCAATAGGAAATATGCTGGCAGTTTGATTCACGGGGAGGAGTGAGAAGGGATGGTAGCTATCCAGCTGATGACCGGAGCCCTTGTTGAGATTGGAAACCTTCAAGTCAGCGTGGGCTAGAAGCATTCGGCTTAGATTAGTTTGCAATGAAAACTTTGCACGAGGACTCCATTTCCGTCATGTATGTATATGTACTGGCTTCTGTACTATTGAAACCGGTGGCTTGATCACTGAGCTTTTCTCTTGCTAGCTGATGCTGTGGCAGGGGAGCTGCAAGCCAAGTGCTACAGTATGGCAAGTAATAGTTGTGTACGATTTTGTACACCGTGCTTTCCCGGTGTTCTACACTTGTGGGAATTGTGTGTACGAAATCTTCCTGCTGTACATCGTCAATGCTGGTGCCAGCTTTGCCTGCTAGGCGCTTACTCTTCCTGCACGTTTGCTGTCCTGCATGAAGCCTTCTTGTTAAATGTGCCTGCGGATTTGTCTTCTCCAGAGAAATTATGTCTGCAAAGAGAACGACTCCATTGACTCGGCTATCATGGACGTTAACAAGTTCTTGAGCGGAGTGGAAGAAGCCCTGTCGCCTCACCTACAGCCGATGAAAATGAAGTGAGTGCTAGCTGGCAATTTGCAGGGTTGCTCTCCAAGTTGTCGGTGTTACGTTTTTGAACAGCGCTCTCTCTCTTTGTCTCTCTTTGCACTTTGTCTGGATTCATATGCAACACACACAACCCTCATATTCCTATGTCCAAACCAATCTTTGTGTGGGACCATAACGACAGTGGCAGTTGTTGGCAACCATACGATAATAATGCAGATATCTATGATGCTTGAACCACTATGACATCACCGTATCATGTAGATTGTGCACATAACTAAATTTAGAATGAGGATGTCTAACAGTGAACCATGGTGTTCTATTGTGGCTTCTGCTGCTGTTGTTGCTATTGTTGCTACTGCCGTTCTTGCTCCTGTTGTGATCTTTTCCTGCTGTTGTTATCTTTTCCTGCTGCTATTGTTGTTGTTGCTTGGTGTGGATAGGTACTTGCTCTCTGGTTTGGGACACTTCATGGCATCTCTCATCCTCGATGCCTGCTATCACATCAAAGAGCTCAATCGGCATGGCATTAAAAAACTGTGAGTTCGGCGGCTGAAACCAGGATGTGGCTTCTGGAGTGTAGTAGTTGTTTTTCTTTTCCTTTTGTGGGTCGGGAGTTCGTCGTGTGAGTTCATGGAGTTCTCCAGTTGAACTGTCGAAGTGTAGCAGCCTGGTACAGCCTTTTCATATCAAAGAAGGAAATGACCTAGAGGAGTTCTGGTCAAAGATTTTAGTTTTGACTGCTGCCAAAGGATGGGCAGACGAGGACATACGTATGATGCATTTGCCATTGCATTTGGAGAGTGACGCAATTTCGGGTGTACTGATGCATGTTCGACCCTGTAGTGATAAGAAAATCAGAAAAAGTGAATTGGTGTTGGTGAGTGCATTTTCTGTGACGCCATTGCGAGTGCATTTTCTGTGACGCCATTGCAAATGGAGATGTTTGCAGATTGATGAGAGCGTCGATGCTTATTTTGTTTTTCATCGTTCGGCCACCATGTCAGGCCCCAAGCCTGGGGATGATGCCATGAAATACGCAATCACCATTCAACCAACTGATCGTTGGGTTGCCACCTCATTTCAGCCATCGGCTGAGTATGTCGCTGGCTTGCCGAGACTTGACGATAAGCGCATTGTCACTGTGTGTTAGAGCTTTGCACACTCCAGCACGTTGGACTCTCGTCACCCAACCAGATCTATCGGTATTGCTGCCAGTGCCACACAGACCATATCTAACAGGGACTCACAACCTACAGTTGTGGCCAAAGAAATCCAACCCTCGGGTCAAAAGTTGGGCCGCATTTTCATTTCAATTACACCATGCACACTCCAAAAACTGATCAGAGGATTGCAAGGGGCCGCATGAGCCTTGGCGCTGCTTTCGGCACGTGGATCGGATTTCTTTGGCCATGACTGTAGTTACAGCACGGCTTCTTGCTCAGGGAAATAGCCACGGGGAATGCATGGAAGTGGTATTTTTTTGTTATTTTGTGGAGTGTCAGCAGGGGACATGTGTTGTAAAGCCGCTTAGTTTTGTCTATTCTCTGAACTGTCTTCGTCTAGTGGACCTCCTCTTCTACGCAGCCCTGGGGGAATGTCTTGTGTGGCTGCCACATACTCCGATATACCACCAAGTGTAGCAGATTGCCTGTCCGGTGATTCACATGTCTGTGTGTTTGTGTGTGTGTGTGTGTGTGTGTGTGTGTGTGTGTGTGTGTGTGTTTGTGTGTTTGTGTGTGTGTGTGTGTGTGTGTGTGTGTGTGCGTGCGTGTGTGTGTGTGTGTGTGTGTGTGTGTGTGTGTGTGCGTGCACTATGTTTGTTTGTCTTGTTTGCTATTTAGATGCCGGATGATCTTCTCAATTCAGCAGAACCTCACCAACCTGACCATGGCGAGGGAAGTTGAGCTGGATCGTGCACGCCAGTACTGCGAACTCTTCCATTTGCATGCCGATGTGAGTAATGTCACGGCCACCCTGTCCTGTTGTGTATATTGGCTCTTCCCCCCCCCCTCTCTCTCTCTCTCTCTCTCTTTCTCTCTCTCTCTTCCTTGCACTGCTCAGTGGTGTGCCCATGGTGGTACGGACACTAGCACCGTATATGGAGGGAACACCTCTCTGGTATCTTTTATCGCATCCTTTCTCTATAGCAATGATAACAGCCAGCTTCTTTTACTGGAAGCCGTATGCTGACATCAAGAGTACTCTTGCTGACATGGATGGGAAAACAAAAGTTATTCAAGAATGCTGTGACAGCAAGTGATCCCTGGAGCATGATATTCTTATCATCACTTTCACAAATGGATCCACCAAGGATAGTCGCAATTGACCTTGATGTTGCACAATTGTATTGCGATCAATGAATATGCTGTTTGTCTTATTGCTTGGCCACGCAGGAACTGTGCCGAGTCATCTTGGATCATGGTCGCATCTTCTCCGACGAGCAGTACAAGACAGCATTGCGCCTGATGATCCTGCAAGGTCAGGCGAAGAAAGCCGTGTCTTTCAATGAATACTGGTCTAAGGTGCAGGGCGCCTTGGCTGGCAAACGTCAGTAATACTAGCACCCCCTCCTCACCAGGGCGCCTTGGCTGGCAAACGTCAGTAGGAGCGTACCCTCCTCACCGTCTCGCCCAGCATGCTGTCAGATTTTCTTCCTTGCATGTTTCATCTTTGTTGTTCTCTAGCGCTTGAATATTTCTCTTCTATCAGTGTTGTATTAGATCTGAAATATTTTCCCCTATCTAACATTTTGCCCGCGTTGTGCTGTGTGAGCTGCGCCACACCTCGCTTGACTTTCCTGTTGACGCCCCCGACCTGCCCAGCCTCCGTGTGTATTGTCTTCACTCAAGAGTGTTCCATTGTCGTCCCCCCCCCCCCCCTCTGCTCTATCGGAAACAGATCACTATCCTATCTAATCCAGTGTGTGATGATAGGCTTCCGTCTTCTGTCTTTTGTCTATGCTGCAAACAAACACGCTACGCAGGTTCAATAGCCGAACTGCCACGGCATATATTATACTTTTTCTGCACCCCATGAAAAAGCATGAAATCCATACCTCCTTGACTACTTGTATTTTAATTTACTATCCACTATTATTCCTAGGCCACCGATTAAAGGAATGAATTTGATGATATGAAGAGATCAGATTTAGTTCACAAACACCTTGTCACTATTCGGTTTGTTATTATTTGGGAGCCCTATTTTGAATTGACCCACGCTCTTTTCTTGCATTTTTCTTCGCAGTTTGATTGTGCTTGATGTTGTTGAATGTTCCTTGGAATAAACTTATCATTCAGTGTCGATGATCTTGTTGTTACCATGGTTATGTGGGAGAATGGACATTGTGAATGGGAACTTTGTGGCCATGTCGTTCATGTACTTCCAGCAAATGTGTAGTGGTAATGTTCTATGCAAGTTCAGTCCATCCGTGTTGCATGCACGAGTCCAAACGTTTGCGAAGCAAATGATCAGACTGTTGGCCAGCCAAAAGGCAGTGACACTACTCCCTGTCAGACTCATGAGCTTGTTCAACTTTCTTACCAACTGGAGTATCAGTAGCACAAGAGAACAATCATAAAGATGTTCAACTCGGCATGAGTTCAGAAAGCGGAATTCGCCGTTCATATACTGTACCAGTAAATTTTGATGAGTCATGAATGCTATGGTCTAAGAATGTAGTCTTGCATTTACATCAGGGAGTCGTAACATGCAGACGGTATTTTATGACTCCCTGATTTGCTGCATCAGTACATGTACTGCAGTGCAATCAAGTTCACATACCCCCCACCTCCCGGTATACACTCTTGGCACAAGCTACAGCATCAGTTTGTCCCCGATGAATCACACTGTCGTACTCTATATACCGTAAAAGCCCGTGTATAGGCCCCCGGGCGTATAGAATAGCAGCCTCGATTTCCTGGGCGTATACAAGGGGCACGGGCGTTATTTTGGAACCGGGCGTATACTTGGAATAGGGATAGCCGTACGTATTGGGTATCAGTACCTGTACAGGTACTGATATTGTACTGGTGTTTCCGGCATACCTGGGCGTATACATGGGCATGGGCGCTATTTTGAAACAAAAGTGTCGACTTCCCCTGACTGGGCGTGTACACGGAGGGTGGGCGTATACACGGGCTTTTACGGTATGCAGTGTTGTACACTCTGGTTCATGCATGGCACTCACTCGCACACCTTGAACATTGAACTTGCCCATTGCCGTAGGCAATGATAGCGAAAGGACTAATTCGGCGGCAACCGGCAGAAAGCTCGCACACACAGTCACACACACACACACAGTCACACACACACTCTCTCTCTCTCTCTCTCTCCGAGTGTTTCTCCAGCACCCACACACGCGCGCATGCACATTCACATGAGGTGACTATGGAGGGCACTGATAGGAAGAATTGATTCTCACACGTGTAGTTTTCTATGACCAATATCTGCTACTTGACTGCAAGTGTGAAGTGCAGACTGTCACCACTGCAGCATAACACTACAATACGGTTACCAGTAAGAACAGTACAGTATCTCTATAAACCAAGAATGAAAACACCATGAAATAAAACTACAAAACCTAGCATAGACTTTGCCATGGACCGTCCTGAATTCAAACAAGCTCATTCTAGAATAAACGAAAAAAACTACAAAACACTAAATGAGCATAATATGTGTTATATACAGTAGAGTTGTGTGTTTCATGAGAACATATGGCTGACTGATGAAAAAAGTAAGGAAAGAGGAAAGTGCAATAAACTTTGTTATCATATCAATTTAAAAATACAAAACAGAATATAAAAAACCCAGTATCCAAACATGGAAGAGTGAGATGAGGTACAGAGTTTTAAAAGTAGGGTCCAGAATAATGATGTCACCAGCATTTTCATATTGTCAAGAGGAGAACTGGAAATGTCTGTCCTAAAATCCCATTTGTCAAAGTGCATATTTTACAGATCATCTTCCTCACTGCCTTCAGAGTCGGAATCACGGATTGCCCGCCTGCTGCCCTTCAGCACAGTAATATGCTTCTTACGGGCAGCGCCGCTGCTTGCTGGTGGTTCGGCAGGCCCTTTGTAGTTGATTGAGCCCCTTTTGCCCAGTCGCCATTCAAGCATTTCCGTCGAGAAATCATCCGTGCCGCCTAGCTCATCGAAACCAGTGATGCGGTCATTCGTTACAGAATCCTTGAAGGTCAAGATGGTTGGTATAACCCTGATGTTTAAACGCTCAGTTAGGAACGGTGACTTCTCTGCATTCAGTTTCACGAATTTGGCTTCCAAGTGCTTTTGTGCTAGTATTTTCAAATGCTTGTCCACAATATCACATCTTTGAGTAGTGGGTCGATAGAAGTGGATGACGAGACGGGGAGAGTTCTTCGTCTCACCAAAGAACTCCTTCTCGCTAGCTATTTCTTTATACTCACCGTGTCCTTTCTGCATCCACTCTCGTCTCTGGTCAGTCTCTTTCTTCAGCTGCTGTAGCCTTTTCTGACGTATCGTCTCCAAGTCATCATCATCCATTTTGTCTAGCTTCTCGATTTCACGGTCGAGCTCAGCCTCCATGGCCTCTGCCACCTGGACCACTTGCTTGGCCACTACTTGCTCCATATTCGCCGCCATAGCTGTCTCGAGGAGGAGAAAGGTGTTCAAAACAAGCAATCTGAGTTGAGATGAAAGATAAAGAAACAGCCCGAATTGCGAAACACAGATGAGCTCATGAGCTCAGCAGATCAACGAAAGCAAATCATCCGCCTTGCTACCTTGGCCATTGGACACAAAGCGTCGCGTCGTTTCAGCTTGGTCGCGCCATTTTTTGAAACCCTAGCAACCCATCTCATGCAATCATGGTGTCAGACGATTCGGCCCAGGGAGTCGTATTTTATGATTCCCTGACATGATTCGGCCGGATCCGCGGATCGGAGGCAAAACTTTAGTTCGAAATAGTGTCACATAATAAAGTGACATACGCACATGCACAGCTCTTATCAGCTGTGTATGTGCGTGTATTGTGTGTGTGTGTGTGTGTGTGTGCACAAGTTGCTATGTCTAACATAGCTGTTCGCTATCATCGCTTCCGCGATGGGCATGTCTGAGGTGTGTGTGTCACTGTGTGTGGTACATATAAATTATAAAATAATGACTATGTAGCCATCAAGAGCCCATAATGGGGAGTTATGGACTATTGGTACAACCAAGAGTGCATCGGGAGTTATGTACTCTTGCCTTGGTACGTGGCTGTGGGAGAGTTGCAATACAGACAAGCGTGCATGAGGTTGCGTACCCTTGGTAGAGACAATTGGCCCATTTGTTTGCAGCACGTGTAGTAACAGGATAAAATCATTCTTCAAAAGTCAAGAATACAAAAAAACCCATGGCATGCGCTCGCGCTATCTATATATTATACAGTCCAGGTTTATTTGATTAAAAATTAAACATTAAAAAAAGCAGCATGGTACAAGTACCAAAAGTATGTGCAGTGATGAGAGGCTAGACATTTGAGAGGATCGTTGTTTCCAAATAAAGCACTTTAGTGTTGCATCATGACTAGAATAGCAAAAAAAGATCCTCGGGGGGGGGGGGGGGGAAGGAGGGGTACAATGTGTTTGGAATAAGTCTGAATAATAGAACACGCACATTCACGTGCGATACAACAAGTACTGAAACAACAAATGCCAGCATTACAGCTAAGGGACAAGGGGAGCTAAACTACACGTATGTACAAAGCAAGGGTGACAAGTTCAGGACGGATAATTGTTTGTTAGGATACAATCATTGCTGGCGTACTGCTGATACACTTTCGGGTACGGGAGGGAGGCGGAACCCACCAGCTGAAGATGTAGCAGCTGTCACTGTGGGCTCAGCAGGGAGAAGAGAGGGACTGGGATCGTAGTCGTTCAAAACAATTGGGTCAGCGAGTCTGCCACGGCCCGCATTTAGTGACGAGGTAGGAGGCTGGGGATCTTGCAATATATCGCCGGTGCTCTGCAAAGCAACATACACATACACACACATAGATTAACCTGCTGTACTGTAAAGCTTGGACCAACATCATTGGCATGAACAAAACATTTACGTCACAGATATTTCTCGTCATACTTTGAAGTAGTACTGCACAATACAAGTATCAGCTAGGAGACTCTTTTCTACCCTCCAAGCTTTTTGATGTATACACAATGGTGTGTGAAGTCAAGTGTTAAAATTGCAGCTAAGGTGGACAATGGGGAAGAAAAGACTCAACATAAGCCAATACAGTTAGACTCTAGTGTGCAGTCATGGTCGGGGTGACTTTAAAAACAGGTAAACGCACTTACATTTGAAGGGAGATCTGTGAGTGCGTGTACGTGTATTGCGTGCGTGTTTGTGTGTGCGAGTGAGAAAGAGAGACAGACAGATATATAGGTAGATAGACAGAGACAGAGAGAAAGGGAGAGAGAGATAGAGAGAGAGAGAGAGAGAGAGAGAGAGAGGGAGGGAGAGGGAGGGAGAGGGAGAGAGAGAAACAGAGCACATGACACAGAGTACTGACCACAGGTAACTGCCAGCTTCCTCCATCGGATGTAACTGGAGGTGGATGTTGGCCAGGTATGCCTTGCTGTCCAGCATCTCTGTACATCTGAAACCAGTGAGCCTAAACAAGTAATGAGAGGGAAAGATTTGGAGATGCACATCAATACGGAGAAAATAACAAGGAACAAATCAACTGTCATTGCTTCGCTTTGAGCGAATGCACTCATATCTCCCTTATCCGGACTGCGAAGTAATGGGCACCTTGTCTGCCAGGCAGCAGTTTGCTCTCACTTCTATAGAAAGAGTTGGGGGAGTGACGCAAAATGGCGGCCAAATGCGTTCACTCTGCTACATGTGCCTGTCGGTGTGTGCATTTTCTGACGCACAGGCACTGTCTCAAGCAGATTGCCTGGATAAAGATGTGTCCGTGTACTACAACACTACTTTTACAAGTACAACGATAATACACGAGACCAGTCAGTGCGTATTTATAAGGGCTTGATACACCAAAGCGTCCAACAACATGCTCCATACATACTTTTTTTGCAGTGTTCTTACAACAATTACGTTACATACTTCCAAGTACACGTGCACAGGAGAGCGGATCAAAGTTGTCCGATGATAGGATGAGCAGGAGTAAAGAACATTTTTAAATGTTGCAAGTTTACAGTAAGCCAGCTACCATTCTGCTGAGAACCTATACAACATGTACTGTGAAAAGAGCACGTGTTGATGAACTTGCTCTGTCACAAGGCAAGCTGCTTCAAATGGTTTTAGTCCGATGAGGCCGTGATGTATCATTTCACCATATATTCCCAATCAAATATGGGTTCGTTCGGTCGCAGCCTGGGTCGATTTGCGATTTTGAGTGATAGAGTTATCATGAGAAAACTTGAGCAACGGTTTCCGCAATATCTCTTTTTTTAGTATCTCCTTTTCCGCGCCACTTTGTACTTGACTTTGTTCAGACACAACAGTAGATCACGCGTAGAGAATGCATTTGGCACAAAAGAAACCAGTGGATTCAGTCAACCCTGTCCCCTGAGTAGGGTGAGTCTGATCCATATTTATATGGCGGATTTGGATCCGGATGCGTTGAAACAAACATGTACCGTATTTTCCGGAGTAAGCTGCACTGGAGCATAAGCCGCACCCCCATATTTTGGCCACATAATACCAAGAGTCCATAACCCCAAGAGTGTGCAACTGGGATCTGGCTGCTGTAGGCCCACTGCGCGGCGGAATTCCAACATTACGTCATGCTGCCGAGGCACAGCTGTACAAAACTCCGCATTCCGCGGTGCTTGGAACCAGGGAGTAGTACAAGCGCAACGAACGTGTACGTCATTTTTGACGTAATGTTGGAATTCCACCGCGCGGATCCCCATGTACAGAGTTGCACACTCTTGGGGTTATGGACTCTTGATAATAGTTAATACAGACATCTACCCTATTTATCACCGTTAATTTGATCATCGGAGTATAAGCCACACCCTCATTTTTTGGGGTGAATTTTGAGTGTTCAAAGTGCGGCTTATACTCCAGAAAATACGGTACATTTCACTAGCCTGCTCAAGCGCAATGGGTGAGAGGTGAATTCCCCGAAACAATGTGTACTAGTTGAGCAGGGAATGGTGCCTTCTTGCAGGTTTGTCGAGTGGACGGTTTGGCATTCTTCTCGTGTGCTGCAGGCAGCAGCCGTGAGTCAGTCAGTCGTCAGGAAGCGCAAGGTCCAACATTAAGGGCAGCCACCTTCTATAATCACGGCCGAAGTCGCAACATCTCAGTTCGTAAACATGGACATGCCAGGGGCGTCGGAAGGTATTTTAGTGTGGTACGGTCCGCCATCTGAAGTCAGAGGTACAATTTGCTCGTGGGGGAGGGATGGCTGAGCTGAAAATTTTGGAAGTTTGGAGTCCAAATCACGGTGCATTTTATTGATTCACAGGGGTACTTGGGGCAAATACATGTAGTGGTACGGTCAATACGGTAGTGACCGTACAGTGTGCGATGCCCCTGCATGCGAAGGAAATTCAATAGGGCTATAAATAAGGCACCGGATCCTTTTGCAACGTTTGTACGACGCTTCGTGGGAAATGTAGCTATACTATTGGAAAACATTTCATGTACACAGCCTTCGTGTGAATAGGATGTAAATGCTGAGTGTCCACCAGTGTCGCTGGCACATGTTAAGGATCCCTTGTCCTATTTATCCAATGGTAGTGTAGAATTCGCTTACGAAGAAAGCGCAAGTCACGCTAGTGCACTTTGAACTCTGCAGACAACATCACTATTGCCTGAATTTCAAATCTTTAAAATGGTCACTGAAGGATACCAAAATTTGCAAAATGTTCCATCCGGTAGATAATCGTGCTACTCACACTCCAAGCTCGCTCTTGGACTGTTCCATCTCGTGGTGGATGAGACGTCTCTACATGACCCTCTTGGCTTTCACTGGCAGATTCTCTGCTCTTACTGGTGCTGTGACTGTGATCGTTATCCTGTGGCTGATCCCCATCAACTACGTCATTTTCCTCTTCTGTATTTTCTCCTCTGCCATGATTGGCATAACGCCGGTAGAGCCAGCTTGCTGCAACAGCCCCCGCAGCCAAAGTAATCCCAAGCCACGGATTCTTGCGCAGAGAACGAAGCATCAAAGGTGTTTTATGAAACAGAGTAAAGAATTTACTTTGGAACTAGCTATGTAGTCTCTTCTTCAAAAATCAGCAGGACAAACTGAAAAATCACCTGGTGTCGTGAGAGACAGCTAGCTAGCCAGTGTAGCCAGCCAGCTAGCATGCAGCCAGTAGCTATGTAGATCTAGTGACGTAGCTTCACGACTCAGTGCATTCCAAAGCCTACGACTACGAGTACGACACTCCGGCGACAGCTATGTAGCGTAGATCTACGAGTGCACGAGTGTCGGGCGACACTCCCTACATGCTAAAATGCATGTGCCGGCGATCTTTTCGGGGATCGGCAATGCACATGCATAGCAGCTACAGCGTAGTCGCACCATCTGCACTCGACTCGTACTGCTGCAGTGACCAGGTGACTGTGTAGATCGACTTGCTACATGCTGTACGCATTTGATGGTCCCACTCACACGTGTTGAGCATGAACAAAGACTGTGATTATCTTTCGAGCGAGCACCTGTCTTCCTTGACCTTGCAGATGACAAACAAGGACTGAAGGCGCAGTGAACTGGTGAAGGAGGTGTACTCACTGCAGGTCTACGAGTCCGACTCCCCGATCGATATATAGCAATAAAAACTGCTTTATGGCAGTTTAAAAAAAAAAAGTTATTGTGTTCTAGTCCATGGACCTCGTCTAAAAAGTAAGAAATTAACGAAATGTGATAGCCGAAAATTAAAATTTCACACAAAACCTCACAATAATCACGACACTTGAAGATCTAATAGTACGGCTTTCAACACTTGTTTATTCCGACACTTGTACTTGTACAAGTACATGTACTGCGCCAACATGCTTGCATATGAAAGAGGACCACGAGGGGAAAAGGTCGTCTCGCATCCTGTGTGTGATTATTGTGAGGTTTTGTGTGAAATTTTAATTTTCGGCTATCACATTTCGTTAATTTCTTACTTTTTAGACGAGGTCCATGGACTAGAACACAATAACTTTTTTTTTTTAAACTGCCATAAAGCAGTTTTTATTGCTATAATTTCTTTTGTTTTTTTTTGCTAAAGGATATAATTGTGTAACCAATGGAATGCCCTAATGATGGCCTACATGTAGCGCCTCTGCATGTTGTTAATATTATTTTATTTATTTTACTAGGGTGTTTCCCACAGACCTATGTTCTTCTTACGGGAGCCCCTATGTGTATCATATCAAATTCAATACCGTTTTACACGCATTGATGTGCAAGCCTTTTCTTGCAGAAAATGGAACTAGTCTTGCATACATGTATTCATGTTCTTCTGCAGGGGAATCATATGGGTCGTGGCGGTGATACTTTTTTTATACGCAAGTCATTCTGTGGATTTTGCCGAATTTCATGACTGTCATAAAATTGTCTTGTCTTTCAGAAAATTCAGATGTCCACACCCTAAATCACATTTACTTGAGAATTGTAACCAGGTGTGTGCCGCAGATGTTTTTGTTGATTCTGTGTTTATAATTGTAGTCATGGGTTGTCGTGATAAGGTCATCCAGCATCATATTGTAGTGAAATCGTAATCCTGTTGATGTCGATAACACTTTTGGAAGCAGTTCAGTGTCCACGATTGTCTAAAACAACACAGCAAAGTAGGAACAATAAACATGCATTAAAATGTAAACAAATACATCGCTGAGTCCGACACCTCGTTCCAACAACTACACTGATCCTGAGGATATAAGGGGCAAGGATATATATTATGGTTTTAGGTACTGAGAGATAAACAAGGCATTCCATAATAGTAAAATGTTACACGACTTCGGGGGAGTATGAATGATATCTAGTCAAACCTCTTTAGGACGAACATCAAGGGACCGATGGCATTTGCTCTGTGAGTTTGTGTTAACCCTATTTTATAACGAGTGAAAACAATTATTTCTCCAATAGAGACACGAATAGATTTCTTCTACAGCGAAAGATTCTAAGCCGGACCAAACCATTGACTCGTCTTTTATGAAACAAATGAGTCACTGAACCTTTCTTTAGCAACATGACGGCAACTGAAACAACAACAGAGAAAATACGATACATGTATAGCACATTCTTGCAGGTACTACAAACAGATTGCAGATCGTAATTCTTGCTCTACCGGCACGCAACTTTATTTGGGGCAGTGCAATCTCGGCGCTACTCACAAATCAAACAGCCCAGACTCGAGTAAACAAATCCAATCGTACGAGATTTTCACGAGACGAGACTGCACCCATTGGCTTGTTTCGTATGAAGCAAACAAGTCACTGAATGCATGAACCTCTCCATAATGGAGATTTTCCCTGATATGCGAATTTATTTTGCATACTAGTACTCGGCCAATGCGTCTTTGAACCTTTCCCTCCAGATTGGGAACTGCCAACGATGCTATGCCACTGCAAAATTCAGATTCTACCCTATGATCGGAGCACGGAATGCCGGAAGCAATCATGACCAGTGCCTTACTTGTAACGCACCAATGTACAATGAACATGAGTATTTCGACAACACATCTATTTAAAGCCTCAGCAGCAACATAAGCCTTACGGTCAAGAAGGTGAACTCGCGTTCTTCGCACACTGTTGGCAATGGCAAGGTGAAACGAATGGATCTAAATCCGAATAAAATCAGCACACGTTTCCGTAAATGAAAGGGTGAGCATAAGCAAATGAATCGAAGGAAGCTGGTCAACTCAGAGATCACCTGTCATTGAGTATTCCGTAAAAGGAGGCCTCGACAGCAGAAAAGCTAAATTTAGAAAAGAGATCCTGTCAGCTTTTCCATTATTAATTTTATTGTATTCCACCTAAAATCAGCACACTTTTCGTAAATGAAAGAGTCAACACAAGCAAATGAATCAAAGGGAACTGGTCAACTCACCTGTCATTGAGTAATATTCCGTGAAAAGAGGTCTCAGCAGAGCCGAATCAAAATAAGCCAGGACACGAAATATCCGAAACAGCTCATGCAAGAAGCAGTTCCAAAGAAGGAAGTTCCTTGCGCATGCACATCCGAAAACGGACTGCACTGCATGCAACACAATGTCTGCCGTGCACGTGCACAGCACGCGGCTACCACGCGTTAGTAGATCTAATACCGAGCACCTTACGTAGAAACTTACGTAGCCTAAGTGAAGTACCGACCACCTTACGTAGAAACTTACGTAGCATAGCGGTGTCGTTTTTTCTGCCATGTGAACACAATAATAGAAAAGCTGACAGGACACGGCTGTTATGCATGCATAATCCAGCGACATTATGTACGGTACGACATTTTCCCGTCGCCCCAGTGATCCATGATGCTGTCGTACGCGACCTTGCTGCCTTTTTCAAATCTCTGGAAATATTCGGCAAGGTTTCGCCCATGTTTCTGTCGATTCCAGCCGTTTTCTACGTTGGATTCGCGAAGTCTAAGCGAATTCACCTTCCTGCCTTCAAGCTGCGCAAGCAGATATTTTGATCGTCAAAATGCGCAATGGGAAAGTGAAGTTACGATCTTTTTCGTTTCGTTCTTCCTCGTCGTGCCGGCCATTGGCGTTTATCAGAATTGGCTCACATTCGAGGCTTCCTCCTAAGGGGTGCAGAATTTTTGGCAGCCTTCACGCCAATTTTCATTGAAAGGTTTGTCCTTTTCCTACGTCGTAGTTATATTTTCATTGCCGCCCAGATTATCGTTTTCGTGCCCAAGTCGATTTGCGTGACGTACTTGGACGTCAATTGCAAGTGTTTGCTGATAATGCAGGATGAGTGGAAGTGTGTTCTCCTGCCTCAATGTCTAACGAAGACCCCGGTTTCGTCCGCCATAGGAGGGATCCGTGCATGCTTCGTTCTGGATGTTAGCAAGTACAAATCAGACATGCATCCAATGAACATTTTTTGAAATCCATGCTTTCGAAATGTATGTAGAAACAGGACATTGTGTAGAGATTTTAAATGTCAGAGATGCAAGATTCCCCATCTGTCTGAGGCCTTACGTGTAGACACATAGGCATGGGTTTTTTGTATTACTAGTGTTACTGCAGATTTAGGCCACGCACAATGTAGTCTTTCGACGATCCTGCTGAAAAGCACACACTTGCATGCGTAAAGACCATACTGAAATACTTCAAGTAATTGAACCACAACAAACGACAACCATGATGCAGCTTATATATCTTGCACTACATCAGCACTAAGCACAGCATGGCACTCAGGACAGGGCCGCTGGTGATGGCCGTACCCGGTTTTACCACTCTCGGCGTTCATGATAATTACATGTAACATGTTCAATATGCAAATGATTATGTAGAACACTAATAGGCTATCCTCGTACACTCCTCACTAGAGTCCCTCCTAAACTGCTTTCTACCTTAGTGAGGACTACTGTACAAGCTGCATTATGCAGAGTATCTGTTGCTACCGGAGTGTGTAGCCGAAACAACCAGGTTATTATTCTGATGCGAATAAGATACACAGCATCACGCATCTTCATGACCGTGCCATTCCTATGGAGCTGGCTCAGGGCTTGATGGCAATGCAGTTCACCTGCTGAATTGACAGATGTCCATGAATTCATTTTAAAATAACAAGTCGGTCAAGTGAGAATTCAAGTCGGCAGGAATAGCGCAAGCTCCTACGTAGGGAGCAACACACAATTCCCCAAGTATCGCCGAAGTCGCATCAACCTCTTCTTCACATTAATTACAATACGGCGAATTAAATCAAAGCTGTACTGAGAAGCTAAATAATTCTGTGACTTGAAACAAGCATTGATAGAAGAATAACACCTATAGCAGGTCCATGTGCTTTAAAAGTTGGAGACTGGAAGATATCCTCTATTTGTACACTAACAACACCAACATGGAAGCGTTGCGGGCAACCAACTCCGCCATGCTATGACACTTGATGATGTATTGTGGTACTTTGCTTATCACTGCAAGCCCACTGGTTGACTTGATCATCATCCATTGCTACTTTCATGACGAAGATCAGCAGTGCAACTGTGGCAATAAATATCACCGCCTCCAATGCCGCACTTATTGGAGGAGCACATTCTACTGGAAATGAAACACTTCAATGTTCAGTTGGTGCTGATCTGGAATAGTATGGAGAGTAGGGTGGTGAAGGGTTACACGCAAATTCAACATCCTTGCCGATGAGCACTGTGGAGCATGTGCAATGCAGAAACTGCTGTCCAATAGTATACAGAATCTGATTTCCAGCAATCCTAATATCCTCACATTGATCCCAAAGTGAAGAGCACACGCATGAAGAGACGTACATGTAGCTGCTATGTCATCAACTTTGCGTTGAGAGAGTAGCAGACGATCGAATTCTATCCTTCTCCAAGATGAATTGCAATCAGTCTAACGATTTATTTGTGCTCTTTTCTTATGCACGGAAATCTGGCTGTAAGCTGTCCTCAGGGGAGAACATGTTCTAGAATAAGAGCAGTGGGGTTCCATCTGTTCACGTCATGATGGTAGTGAGTCAAGCAAACGTGCCCTCTTCTTGTTCCGAAGTTTCAAACACACCTAATTCCATGATGCACTACATTTAAATACTAGAATTTATTACACTGCATAGTCTTGAAAACAATTCCTGTATTGACTCCAGGACATACTAACTTCAGTACTTCGCCGAAGGGAGTCTTCCAGGTCTTGGTGGTAGACTTATTCTCCTCCAGCATGGCCTCATACGACCTCTCCAAGGCACGAATCCATCGCCCCAAAAACAAAAACTCTCTTCGATAAATTTGAAAAATGTGCAGAAAGACTGCTGTACTGCACGCGTCGGCACGCTGTGCGTACGCGAGCTGTTGCGATGCTGGTTGCTACGGTACGCCGCCATATTGATAAATGTCGCACTCAGAACAGCCGTGAGGATCGCTTTTCTAAATACATAATCCTACACAGTTGCGAGGGCATGATGCTCTGATCAGGCCCGAGGTCTGTGAGTGATCTTGCCCGAGGTCGCGACGCCCAAGGGGCGTAGCCCCGAGGGCGTCGCGACCGAGGGCAAGATTACTCACATGACCGAGGGCCTGATCAGAGCGGCATGCCCGACGCAACTGTGTAGGATTGCGCTTCAGACAAGGCCCACCTCACAAACAACAAGGCCCAGTAGATCTTCAGTAGAGAGATTCAAACAGAAAGAAAGCCTTGACGGCAAATGAGTTGATGTCACATTGTGTGCAGTGATCATAACAAACAGCTATTTGTTTGGTCGGAACTTTCCAGTTTTGAGATGAAAGTATTCAAGTACAGTGAAGGCAGTAGTAACGTTAGTACCAGTAATATGACGGATTCGGAATAAACCCGTTCTTCGAGTTAGATGATTGCCAGAGTAAGGTTCAAATGCGAGTGCTGAGAAGCTGCAGCCTTAGGGCAGGTACAAAATGTACTTGTGGAGGTCTGCTTCCCTTGTGTACGTTTCGCCGCGAGAAACAGGATCAGCTGCAAGGTCGGTTGGCGTTTCTGGTCTCCCTGCAGACGTTCAAGACAGTAGTGAGTATAATAATTTTGGAGAAGGGAGACAAATTTTTAGTCCTCGTCGGAGATGTTGCCCAAGGCAAGGACTTCGAAAAATGGTAAATGCGCATGTGCGGCGCGATGCTGTACGACTGCTGTTCTTGACCGGCTAAGCGGTCAAGATCGACTGATCTTGACTGCTTATTCTGGCCGCTCATTGGCCGTCTCCTGGCAACAAGCACGTGCCATGTCTGAACGGCCGATCCGAGTCTGTGATATCCACGATCCACCCACATGCATCTTCAGATCCGATTGATTTGAACTGGGATCAGGGGTTTACAACTCTGACTGGGGTCAATAATACTCCCTTTGAAATTATTATTTTCTGTTTGGTCTTCACTCCGGCCTGTAACATTCTCGCCGATACCTTCAGTCATGGCGGCGGAGGCAGCATTTTATCCACCGAACCCCGCGGTGACGGAAAGGGCCCACGTGAAAAGCAATGAGGAATACAAGGAGATGTATCAGCGTTCCATTGATGATCCAGACAGTTTCTGGTCAGACATAGCTGACGGGTTCTATTGGAAACAGCGCAGTACCAACAAGCACTCCGAGAACCTGGATGTTCGCAATGGCCGGGTTGAAGTGGAGTGGATGAAGGGTAGCTCAACAAACATTTGTTACAATGTCTTGGATCGTCACGTGAAGAGTGGCTCCGGAAGCAAGGTTGCATTCTTCTGGTGAGTACAATTATATTTTTGTACAATTAATTTTCAATGATATTCATTAGTTTGATTTGTGAATTGTATTCTCAATATCACGCAAGTGGTCATTCATGAAGCGATCGCGCTAAGCATATACACTGCGCGGGAAGCAATAATTTTAAATTGATTGAGCGCGTGGTTAAGTTTGTTATCCATTGATTCCATCAATTTCATTGTTTGATACTTTCACTTTTCAGTGTGGTTATTTGCCCTGGGCATTGAGTGTCACTCACAAGACCGATTGGACTTTTATATACGAAATCTTTGTCCCAGGGGGCGTCGGAAGGTATTCAACATTGGTGCGACCATGAAGAGGCGGGGTGGGGTCTGGGGCTGTCCCCAGAGATTTTTTTGGTAAAATTGGGCCCAAATAGCCCATATTTATTGCTCTAAAAATCACTGAATTAAACTATTGGTGTGGCTTCCACACCTGCCACACGCGTTCCGACGCCCCTGCTTACTGCGAGCACATTGCTTTATGTTCTCCACGAGAAACTAGAAAAAGAGCATGCCGAAAGCAGAGCATGCACGAATAGTCAAACATGGATTGTTGCCAGGCGAACTGTAGCTTAGACAGCATGGCGATAAGTAAAAATGACGTAAACTAAAACAAAGCGTCGATCAAGCGCTGACACAAGAGCAAAAGATAGTACCGTGACTTGTGCATATAGGGAGACCACTACGCGGGTGACCGTCACGCTAAACAATGCGGCCTTTGCTCCCGGACTGTCCGTTCCAGTTGCCCTTGGTGCAGGGCCGATTTATGCACGCATATGACATCGCTGGTCTGGGCCGTGTTTGGGGTCAGCAAGTCAAGATGGTGATCGTGAGTTGCAATAGATCACGGATCATGTAGAACATCCGAATCCAGGGTTGAAACACACATCCAGTTGGATGCTATCAACTTGTGCCAGCTGCCTACTAGGACCTGCAAATGCTATATATATTATGTCTCCCTGCTGTAATCCAATTGTTCAAACTAGTGTCAAGTCAGTAGGCAGGACAGAACAATCTCCAACGTTGACAGCAACCAACAATCTTTGTAATTCACTTGGTAACAAGTAGCAAATATCCAGAATTTGTGAGACGTTACGCCATCGTACCATCACATCACATCACTCCGAGCTGGCCGTTGTGAGAGTACAGTAGCACAGAATACTGCTGCACAGAGTGCAGTGCGCAATGCACAGAGCACACAGTACAGTTGCAGAGAATGCAGTTGCACAGAGTGCAGTGCGCAATGCACAGAGCACCGCTACAGATCAGGTCATGATTGTACTCATGCAGAGCACTGGTGCCAGTATGCAGCTATGTATGATGCAACATGCATTGCATAATCTTGCACATGGTATATGTGCCGTATTTTTCCAGTCCATAAGTCGACCTTTTATGACCTAAAAACCGAATTAAAAAGGAGTAAAATGAGTAGTCGACGTACAACCAGGGTTTAGCCGTTATTGGTCATATCAAGAGTACTTAACCCCCAAGAGTGTGCAACTGCCTGCACAACCTCTATGCTGTGCTGCGACGGCAGAACTTCACATCACGTGACATGGTTCAAAAGGTTATGCTGGCAAACAGTGCAAAGTGACCACAAGAGAGTTGTACCCAAAGCTGGGCTGCGTACAACCCTGTAACTATCATGCACAGAGTGCAAATAATGTGTACGGGTTCATCACGTGATGTGAAGTTCTGCCGTCGCAGACCCCATAGCTGGAGTTGCACACTCTTGGGGGTTATGTACTCTTGGTCATATTGATATTGAACTGGTAAATCGAGGTCCCAAGCATTGGGGGTCGACCTGTAACCGGGGTCGACTTATGACCGGTAACATAATTATTGTAAGCCTTGCCTTATAGTCTGTCAGGTATGATGATGACAGCATAGCAGTCAGCACAAGGTACTAGGTGGATCATGGCTCCATACTGTCCATATGATCGCAAGACCGGGACTCTACCAACCGGTCTCTGTTTGCAGTCAGAAGCACTGTTTTCAGTACAGTGTGTCTTCTGCGTTGTTCTGTGCTATCATAATGAAACCTGGTAAATGCTGTACATGTGCTGACGGTTATTACATGTACATTGTATGAGGGACCACGCAGACTTTTAGTACCACGTCAATTTGTGCTTGCCTTGCTTGCTTGCCTTGCTACCAACTGTGCTACTAATCATGCTGCGACCCACAGTTAATGGGGAACTCGTGGACTGGCACGAGGGAAGCATGGATGCAGCGAATGGGATTTCCGGCCTTTGGCCACATTGTGGTGGGTCTGATCTACTCACCTCCCACCGTTTTAGGAGCTGCATCTGCGCCTTGATCCTAGAGGGCGGCGGCGTTCATGCGGATGCGGAAAACTGGGCCTTCAGCCGAGTCTCATGCGGACCGTGATTTTTTTTGCTACCAGTTTTTTCCCCAGCTGTCCATCAATGGTTTTGCAACATATGCTCTTATATAATATACCAGAGCACATGTTTATTGTACCTGTTTTTGCTAATGTTTCATTGCCAGCACTAACGTCTGTGGAGGCCTTAGATAGTTTTTGGGAAATCATTCATTGATAACTTGTGCCTCCGTGTCTTTCCCCTTTCAAAGTTCATGTTTCTGGTTGTCGATTTGTGTGCTGCTGTTTGTTTTCTCCTCAAAGGGAAGGAAATGATCCAGCGGACAGCAGTAAAATAACTTACGAAGAGCTCCTCAAGGAAGTTTGTAAATTCAGCAATGTGTTGAAAGGAAAAGGTAAAGTTGACTTCTGATTCCTTGTGTTTTGTTTTTTAAAGAAAAGAAACGAAATATTGCAGTGCTTCTTGGGCGACTCTGAGGGCCAATATACCTGTCTGGTTTAATGCAGCCATTGTACATTGTTTCAGTCCAGGGCCGGAGCTACCTCTTTGAAGGTGGGTGGACGAGGGGGGTACTCCCACGGGCCATCGGAGTTTTACAATGAAGCCAACTTCTGTTTGTTGTCAGATTAATTTGAACACGGTGCAGTGGGTGTGTGTGTGTGTGGGTGTGTGTACGTATACGTGTGTGTACGTGTTTGTACATGTGTGTACGTGTGCATGCATGTTCGGGTGTACTGTATTGTTCAAGGAGGTATCAAAGTAGTTATCGGTATTCCCTTTTTAATTCATAATCGCTGTGTGTTTCCCTAGCCATGTGCTGTCTTGGCTGCCATGTCTTTGGACTGTAAAAACTGGATTACAGCTGACACGTCTTCACTCGCAAATAGCATTGTGAATTCAAAACTTCAGATATTTCCCCTGTTTCATCATGCTCATCAGCCTACTATGAGCTAAGGCGCTCTAACTCGAGTAGTTCTATACGTGTATGCCTTGGCTTTGTCTGTGCACTGCGTGTCATGCAGGCGTGAAGCGTGGTGATCGCGTTGCCATTTATCTACCGATGATCGTTGAGCTGGTGATCGCCATGTTGGCTTGTGCCAGGCTTGGTGCTGTACATTCCATAGTGGTAAGACAAGTTAACAGCACTGCAATAGTTGTGCAACAATTGTAGGGCGTAATGATTGTGCAATAATTGTGCAATAACTTTAAGAACTTAAAAATGACCAAAGCTTTCTTGTTATGCGTGAATCTTTTTATTGGTAGAAGATGCTGGCATAGCTTTAGCAGTCAGTGTGCACTGCAGGTGATGATCTATTCGTGCAGGTGGATCTTCTAGTGTGTGTTGTTTGGCCCAATGCCCCGGCAGAGCTACCGGTAACTTCAGTCTTCTCGGTATGCGTATGCGTGTGTGTATGTGTGCATGCGCACGCACGCGCGTGCGTGTGTGTGTGTGTGTGTGTGCGCGTGTGCGCCTGTATGCGGTGGGTTCTTGATTTTCAGTTCAGTGGATTCTCATCAGACTCGCTCGCCGAGCGCATTTTGGACAGCCAAGCCAAGATTCTGATCACATCGGGTGAGCATGAGTTGTTTGCTTTTACCAGGGAGTCGTAAAATACCGGGAGGCGACACGAGATGCACAACCGCGTCGGATGATTGCCTCAGCTCGGGCACGAGTGCTGAGACCTCACGCGCTGCATGGCGAGGGACTTCCCATGAGGTCAAAGCGGCGCAGGTCATGCAAAAGGACGCGTTCGCTGTTTGGTCCAAAAAATTTGAAAACTCAATAAAATTATCCTGCACACAACGAATCCAGTGTCAGCAGTTCGTTTTGTTTTTCTAAGTAATAATACTTTGTGCCTTGGCCTTCGAAGTAAAGGATGATGGAGCTTGACAGAGATGACTGCCAAAGTGATGAGTCCACCGTGGAAGATGTAGATGACGCCACGTATTCACTTGGTGACCTGAGTTGTGGGGATGTTCAGCTGTGGGCTACAGGTGAGATTCTTTCGTTTGCATGTTTTTGTCTCTTCCTTGTGGACACGAATGTATAATCTGTAGCATACCTAAGTGCCCGAACTGACCCGATAAATTAGGTGGTCGACACCATCCTTTTCATCCTAGTCTGCCCACGATGCATTGTCTGTTCACTGTGACAGGATATTTATTGAAGTCCTGAAAATTTACGTGTGTACCTAGTATGTATCATCACCGTAGATGATGTAAACCTCCATCCTCAAACCATACTTTGTCTATGTGCAGATCGATGTAAGAGTGGTAGTGCCATCATGGTGTACAGGCCTATGGAAGGTGCAGTGATCCATGGAATTTGCAAACTGCTGACAATGAGACAGGCGAGTGTTACTGAGGCGACGGAGTCATTCCTGCATGTTATTACGACACGGTTACACAAGGCATCAGGTACTGCAAATCTGCTACGCCAGGAAGTGTGCCAGCTGAGGGCACGCAAGGGTGCTGATATTTCGCAAGCATGGCAACAAATGCTGTCCGTCATCGCAACAGCTATTCCCGAAGTGAAAATCAATTGTGAAGGTCAGTGCGTTTTGCATGCATGTTGGAAAAAAATTGGCTTCTGACTAGGTATGCAGACTAGGTATGCAAACGCTGGCTTTTGAATACTAGTACAGTCTCTGCAACCACCAGTCCTTATATGTTGTCTTTTTCTTTTCTCTTCTTCAGATTTGGAAGTTACATCTGCAGTGCTAGCGAATCTGATAAGCTACCTGCATGCCACGGCTGCCGCTGCTATCAGGAAAGCGTCAATAGCACCATCCAAAGCTGTTGAAGCCATCCCCGAACCGGTGATTGACGATTTGTCTCACCTTGCTGAAAAGTACCATGGTGGTTGGTGCTTGGTGGCCGTGCGGCGTGAGCTGGAAGGAGCAAGGTGTCGCAACGACAACTTGCTGCAGCTTATACCTTTATTTGGCCACGGCTGCCGCTGCTATCAGGAAAGCGTCAATAGCACCATCCAAAGCTGTTGAAGCCATCCCCGAACCGGTGATTGACGATTTGTCTCACCTTGCTGAAAAGTACCATGGTGGTTGGTGCTTGGTGGCCGTGCGGCGTGAGCTGGAAGGAGCAAGGTGTCGCAACGACAACTTGCTGCAGCTTATACCTTTATTTGGCAAGCCTTCAGCCTTGTTTGGAGAATTTTGGAGCCATTCTCCAAACATCTGAGCATCAAGCGTTGCCCAGAAATGACCAACCGCTCCGTGAAACCGCCGATAGTGTGACTTTCGTCGCACAGAACCTTCTTCAGTTGGTCAGGTGACTCGGCGTGGCTCGGAAGCTCTGTATAAGACAAAATACGACACAGATAAAAACAACTGAACCAGTGATATGTGAATTTTGCGCTTGTGTGTGCACGAGCATGCATGTGTGTGTGTGTGTGTGTGTGTGTGTGTGTGTGTGTGTGTGTGTGTGTGTGTGTGTGTATGTGTATGTGTGCTTGTGTGTATGCCACTGTGATAAGCGGTACAAGCAGTATACAGGATATTGACGGGTATTCACCTTGAGTGCATTCGCCGATAGTGTGACTTTCGTCGCAGAGAACTTTGCTCAGTCGGTGAGGCGACTCGGCCTTACGTTTCCTGAAGGCAATGTGTTCAGAACAGTTATGAACAGCTATGAACAGTTAAGAAATGACAAATATTGTTTGCAGTTCATGGGCCATATAGATGTGAAACACTTTGAATGCAGAAGAATGAGGATAGTGGCATCAAATACTGCATGGATTCTGTTTGATATGCTACTTTTTTTTCCCTTCCATGGAAAGGTGAGTACATCGTCGAACTTCATCTCGAAACTTCACACAAACCTAGAATGGAACTTGGACAACATGAAGGGGCCATGGGCATGGTGTGTTTAGTGGAGAACTATTCCGAAAACAGGGTGTCATTCGCATTGACTCCGTTCAAATTTGAGTACATTTCGTGAATAACTTACCTTGACATTCCGTCGTCTCCAAAGCAGTGAACTTCCAAAAAAAAATTAAAAGCCACGGCTCAACCTAAGGTAATGCGTGGTACGTATCAGAAACAACCAGCTTTCGCTCTGGAGATCCAGAATAGCCTCGAAGCATATAGCAAAAACAATTGAGAAAAAGAAGATGACGACGACGTTTCAATCACGCTTCAAATTTCGCGGGTCGAGTGCGGCAATCCTCGGATCGTGAAATGTGTGGCGTGTCGCCTCCCGGTATTTTACGACTCCCTGCTTTTACCCAGTCCAGTATCATGCAGTTCTTTCCTTCCGTATGCGATTATAATAGTATGGCAATTTCATGCAAATCAGTATTCAGTAGTTGTCTATGAGGTGCAGGTTATTCATTTCGCAAGATTTTGATCTTCTTCCCCGAACATGAAATGCAATGTAGAGTTGTCTTAATTCCGTGCTTTACGAGACATGTGCTTGGCGTCCTCCATGTCAGTCCTCGCGTTGGAATACTGGTGATTTCCTGTGCACTCGCACTTTCTTTACCCGTCCTTTACGGGACCAGTCCCATTCTATAACCGGAAGCTGTTCCTAACTAAGAACTCACCCTTATCCAGGCTACTTGTTCCCATACCCAGCCCATAACTATGCACTCACACTGCCCTTACCGAGCCTATTTGTCGGAGCGCCGTTTGAACTCACAGAACAACGCACCCCATAGAGTCAGACCAGCATGTCACCTATCCCCAAAACCATCTGGTTGGTAAAGCAATCGAGATCAGACTAGTCCAGGTATGGGGAGTTTTAATGTAGTTCCATGAAACTCTGTAGACAAGACATCTATTATTTGTACTTCAAGCGAGTAAGCTTTCTTTCTATTTGATTGTGTGTGCTTTGTAGATGGCGTGTATCGCGGTGACAAGCTCATCCCGCTGAAGGACATTGCGGACGGTGCCGTGGAGATCTGCCAGAAAGCGTACGCTCCTGCTGTTCATTTGAGGCATGGTGTTGCGTTGCTGTGTTGGTGCGACGGTGTGACAGTCGTATGCACTTACTCAGTTACTGTTGAGTGCTCTTTCACCATGAATGAATTCAGATGTATGAATCCTTGTTATGCGCGCGTGTGTGTGTGTGTGTGTGTGTGTATGTGTGTGTTTGTGTATGTGGTGTGCGTGTGTGTGTGTGTGTGTGTGTGTGTACATGGTGTGTGTGTGTGTGTGTGTGCAGTATGCGCAGTATATGACTTTCAGGATCTTGTGAGGTTTTATTGATACGTGTGCTGATGTATCCTGTTTCCCAATTTCACTGTTCTCGACAGGAATTTTGAACTGAAGCATTGCGTCGTTGTACGGCATTGTATCGAGCGCATGAACAAGGACAGGACCAATGGGGTAGCTAATGGAGCTTCTTCAACAGATGCGGTGAGTTCTTCTTGCATGTGCACGTAGTGGTTTGAGTGGATGTGTTTTATAATAATAAATTCAACTTTTATTGATACCCTTTCTCTTCACTGCACACTGGGACTATCACATAGTACATGCATCTTATGATTTTAAAGTGCCAAACCATATTGTGGAACAGGCGGTTACCAGTATCTGACATGGCGTTTAACGTCTGCTTTAGATGTTCATGCTTCCTTTAGCTGGTGTACTCTCTCACTCACTTCCCGTTGTTTCAGATCAAATGGAATCAGTCACTTGACTTATGGTGGCATGATCTAATGGATGGTGCTGATGAATGGTGTGAACCGGAGTGGCTGGACGCCGAGGACCCTCTGTTCATGTTGTACACGAGTGGTAGTACTGGCCGTCCCAAAGGTGTGCTGCACACGTGCGGTGGCTACATGCTCTGGGCGGCCACCACGTTCAAGTAGGTGCACACATGTCATGTTGTTTGTTTGCTTGCTACTCTCACTCTGTCTGTCTCTCTCTCTCTCTCTCTCTCTCTCTCTCTCTCTCTCTCTCTCTCTCTCTCTCTCTTTCTCCTGAATATGCTGACTTGGCAATGATGAGAACCGCAGGGGTTCCGAGGTCGTCCATGAGAGTGGGACGTGTGCTTGCAGTTGCTGTACTGTTGACTCGTGGTCCAGTCGGCACTCAACCATGTCTCTTCTGCCTGACTGAGCCAAGCAAATTATTAGTTTTAAATCTATTATTTATCGTGCTGCGCATACACACTCATGCATACACACACACACACACACACACACACACACACACACACACACACACACAGACGCACACACACACACACACACACACACACACACACACACACACACACACACACACAACCACGCTCGCACACTTTCCAATTCATTGGACAGCCTACCTGCAATCAGGCATGGTTGCCATGTCTTGACAGATCACCAATGACGGGAAATGATGCCCGCTGCACATTGTGTCTGGCATGTCAAGACCGACGACTATTGCGACTTATCAGACGGAAATGCATTTCTATTTGCCTATGGAAGTGGCGTTATTTCCTAGATCCTAGCTTTCCGTGCCAAGTGTGTCTAGAAGCAGAGCATGGTCACCGCTAGCACTGTGGTGCTAATACAGTGTACATGTACTGTAGTACTGTAGTAGGTTTATCACTGGCGTCTACATGACGATTACGATTGTATGTTCCAGGTTTATATCCAGTCCAGCGAATCATTTTGCCTGCGTACATCTTTCCAAGACACCTGGCCATTGTATTGCGGAAACAGGGTGGGGCAAACGGTGACTCAGAGATCAGGAGCACGTTGAACGAATGCAGTCAGACTGCTCCCTGCTTTGTGTGTGAGATACTCATCATCGTCAGCAGCAGCAGCAACAGTGCTTGTTGTACACCGTCCATGCAGTAAAACTCCTTTAATCTGGACACCCCCAATCCGGGCGCGTCTGTCCACCGGGCACCTTTCTGACCCATCTAGAGTCACACGGAATTGGCAATTGCTAGTTACAGGCAGTGCTTGGTCCCAACCTGCCCGGATTAATTGAGTTCTACGGTTTGTTCCTAGGGAATTGACTGTGTGTTAATATGTGAGCTGTGTTCCCAATGTTTCCCTTGGACAATGCAGGTACAGCTTTGACTATCATGAAGATGATGTTTACTTCTGCACGGCGGATATCGGCTGGATCACCGGCCATTCCTACATCACCTACGGGCCATTGGCAAACGGAGCTACTAGCGTCTTGGTGAGCTCAGCAGTGTGTGTGTGTGTGTGTGTGTGTGTGTGTGTGTGTGTGTGTGTGTGTGTGTGTGTGTGTGTGTGTGTGTGTGTGTGTGTGTGTGTGTGTGCGGGCGGGCGTGCGGGCAAGCGGCATGTGTGGATCCAGAGACCAGGTCTGACATGTTCCTGTGCAGCACTGACTTTAATACAAACTTTGTCTTTGCCCCGCGCACACACACACACACACACACACACACACACACACTCTGGGAATTACGTGCCTCTTTTCTATGTGCTACACAGCACTCACAGCACTCACACACTCACAAGATGGTAGTACAGTCCTGCTCAATAAAATCCAATCATGGCACTGAAGTACACGCCGGGTGTTGCACAGCCCTAGACCTGTGAACACTGGGCTGCGCAAACTGTGCGAGGCGCAAACTGTGCGAGGCGCAAACTTGAGTGGCGCGACTGGATTTCATTGAGCAGCACTGTACATGCAGTGGTGTATTTTTTTTCTACAAAATCCACATATCTCCAGACACTGGGGTGAATGATGGAGTGTGGTGGTGGGGCCCATTAAGCTCCGCCGACCAGAGGTCTCGGCTTGTATATTGTGCAGTGCTGTCCAGTGGAGCACGACCACTGGCAAACTTTGCGTTCATTTAGTTCTTTGTCTTGTGCGATCATGATAAAAGTCCACAACATGCCTTACACGGTCTGTGTTGCTCTGTGGGCGTATATTTCTGTGTCCATGTAGTTTGAGGGTGTTCCAACGTTCCCCGATGCCAGTCGCTACTGGGCAATTGTGGACAAATACAACGTCAGCAAGTTCTACACAGCACCCACAGCTGTACGCGCGCTAATGACGTTTGGTACTGAGCCCGTCAAGAAGTGAGTTTTAATACGGCGTGCTCTCAGCATGTTATGTTCTCATCAGTGAGTGTGTGTGTGCCTTCGTTGCTTGCAGTTTTAGTTGTCTGGGCTATCAGACTGAAGGTGGTGTTGAGCTACTACTCCCAAGCCCACTGGAGCTGCGCAATTTATTTCTTTATTTTTATTTATTCACAATCACGTGACAGTAGCCAATGAAAAGGTGATGTGGGCGATAGGTAATAGAGGGGAGAAAGAAAAAGAATGAAAGGGGAACTGAAAAGTAAGAGAAGCGCGGGGGAGCTAGGGCAGGGCTGGATATCAACTAATATCCAGCACTGATGATCAACCATGTACTGGAGATCTGATCCTGTTTTTCTACCCAAATCTGTACGATACTGCTTCGAGTGCCAGTGGCCTGAATGTGAGGGGGGGGGGGGCTTTTGTGTTATGATGTTGCTTTCTGTCGATTGCAAGTATGCGTCCGATCGATGCTCTTCCATGCTATGGGCTGCTATCCGTTGCAGGTACAAGCGCACGTCACTTCAGGTCCTGGGTACAGTCGGAGAGCCGATCAACCCCGAGGCGTGGCTGTTCTATTACAATGTGATTGGTGATGGTCGGTGCTCCATAGCCGATACCTGGTGGCAGACGGAGACTGTGAGTGTTCGCGCGGAAGATGATAGGCCGGTGTTTGCCTACGCTGTTCTCAGCAAACGCTTTACAATTTTACCTGGCCGTTGTGCTGTGCTGTGCTGTGTTGTGCCGTGCTGTGTTGCAGATACTGTGACTTGCATGTTGGTTCCCCTGTCTTGCTGTTTATAGTGTGTATTATGTTTACCATGTCGAGCACACGGAGAAACAGAAACACTCTGCTGTCAAGTCAATGCAGGACATTACTACTGAATGAGGAAGCCTGCCATGCAGGTGATTTTCACGTTTGCTCACCAAAGCTCTCCTAGTGTAGTGACTATCACTGCTTGTTTGATGTGAACTACCGACTGTTGGTGTGACATGCTCTGGGTTGTGTCTGTGCTGATTACTGCTGTTTGTGCTGTGTTAGGGAGGTCACATGATCACGACACTGCCCGGTGCTACACCCATGAAACCAGGTGCTGCTGTAAGTCTGACTCTCTCTCTAGCAATCTTTCGGCCTGTCTGACTCTCTCTAGCAATCTTTCGGTGTGTCTGTCTATCTACCTATCTGTAATTCTGTCTATGGTGTACTTCAAGTACCAGTGTCTATCTCCGAAAATGAGAAAATGCCCGAGCCTTATACATGTACATGGAAGAGGCTTTGGAAATGAGTTTCAACTTTTTTAAGTGGACTGAACAATCATGTATTGTTGCCAATTTGTTGGTGAGCTTGTAGTGTGGTAGCATGTATTGTGGTAGCATGTAGTGTGGTAGCGAATACATGAACTCAGAGCTACAGTGCAGGCATTCATGTACTCAGAGCGACAATCGTATTTTGACTTGTAAGGAGTTATCATGTTACTGCAGTGTTCAGTGTGCAGTGTAGCTTGTTCTGGGGGGACTTTTTTGAGGTGTCTGGCCTACAGGTAAGTCGGAGGTTTTCAGATCTTGTGAGCGCCTGTGATTGTAGTGATGTCGTGTGTGTTTGCTTTCCGTTGTTTCGTTCAGGGTCTGCCCTTCTTTGGTATCAAGCCTGTCATTGTTAATGACAAGAATGAGGAGCTACATGGGCCTTGTGAAGGATACTTGGTAGGTCTTCTCTTCGGGGTTTTCCCTGAGGCTGGTACTATACACACACACGTTTGCTTACTGTCGCTACATGCATCAAAGCCGGTCAGACTGACTATTTCCGCATCCGTAGGAATGTCGCCGCCTTCAAGGATTGAGGCGCTCAAGAGCAGCTCCTAAAGCGGTGGGAAGTGAATAGATCAGACCCGCCCGAGGTATACAGAAGCCAATACGGGAACTTCATTCCATGCCAGGCTGTTCATTAGCAGTTGATTCACTTACTTTGAACGTGGCTCTGTTTTCTTGCTTCGTCTTGCTGCTCTTACCTTGTTGGCGGGTGCAGTGCTGCTGCTGTTGCTTTTGGTGCTGTTGGCGTTGTTCCGATTGCCGTTGCCCCCATCGTCATTGTTGTCGTTGTTGTTGTTGTCACCTTCCACAGTGCATCAAGCAGTCGTGGCCTGGGATCATGAGGACCCTGTTTGGAAATCACGAGCGGTATGAAGATGTTTACTTCAAACCATTCCCAGGATACTACTATTCCGGTGATGGTAAGTGTTAGTGTTGTGCTGCTACTGCTGCTGTGACTGCTGCTGCAACTGCTTTGTTAACATGTTACTTGTGTGACTGGGCTTTGGACCAATGGCATGATCTTCTGGTGGTGCTGGTGGTGGAATGCTTGGCTATGCCGTTCCTGCACTTTGATATTGCCTGGCCATTGTTTGAACCTGTCTACTTTAATGACAACCGCAACTGAAGTCATTCTCGAAAGGATTATTGAAACGAAGCGTTGGCAATAAGTTGAGCTGTATGCATTGTAAACTGCCTGATGTTCATGACGTATTGATGTTGGCTATTTTCGCGAGAAGAACGTCGCGCAAATGTTTACCAGCATGAAGTCAAAACTTTAACAGTGGGTGTATGCGTGTGGGCACAGTGCTCCGTGGACATTTGTCATGGTATAGTCGCTGGTGCTGAAAAATCACATGTAGTGATGCGAAAATTAGGCAGCTTTAATTAAATAGAGTAATGATAGAGTGATGGCAGTGTGAAGTGCCGTGTTATGTAAGTTCATCTTGTTTACCCATCCATACACCTTTTTGCTTACCAGATAAAGAAGCCTTTTTTACAAATGCTGTATGCACTGCTCTTTCTGTTATTCTTCCTATGCAAGTCGCAACTCTTGTTTTGAGTTGTTTTTCTTCTCTCTTTTTCTTTCCCTACTAGTTGCTGTTACACTCACTGATCCTTATGCACAGATATACAGCATTCCCTCACTAGTGGGACCATTGTTATTAGGCTAGGGCCTGTTTTGGACTTCCCACTCTAAATAAAGAATACAAACAAACAACAAACACAACTGACGGCCTTCTGAAATGAAAACGCGGGCTGTGTCACATGCTATGCCCATCACCGACCATACACTATTGCAATTTGTTACCTGGTGGTAGTTATCAGTCAATTAACAGTGCTTCTCTGGTATGTGTGTGTGTGTGTGTGTGTGTGTGTGTATGTGTGTTTCTTGTCTGTGTCACTGTGCTGTGGATAGGCTGCAGGCGAGATGAAAGTGGCTACTATTGGTTGACCGGGCGCAGTGACGATGTTCTGAACGTCTCGGGCCACCGTATTGGCACGGCAGAGATCGAGAGTGCGCTGGTGGAGCATGATTCTGTCTGTGAAGCTGCAGTGGTATGTTGTGTATGACAATGTACTTCAATACATGTACTCCCACTTGATACCAGTTGTGTTGTTCCGCACAACCATGTTCTGTCATGTGACCTTTATCCGCCAGGGAATGCGCCATTTGAGTCACGACAACATACCCTTGTTGTGGAAGAATGGGCTTATTCTAAAATCTAAACACGAACTGAAACTTGTCACTATTGTTACTGTTGTTGCTGCTGCTGCTGTTGTTGTTGTTGTTGTTGTTGTTGTTGTTGCTGCTGCTGCTGCTGCTGCTGCTGCTGCTGCTGCTGCTGCTGCTGCTGCTGCTGTTGTTGTTGTTGTTGTTGCTGTTGTTGTTGTTGTTCTACAGGTTGGTATGGATCATGAACTGAAGGGTCAGGCTCTCTTCTGCTTTGTGACACTAGCAGCAGTAAGCTGACACTGGTGCCATTTGCGTCTCTTCTTCTGATCTGCGTGCATGTGTGTGTGTGTGTGTGTGTGTGTGTGTGTGTGTGTGTGTTTGCTTCAGCCGTTACGCTTGATGTTTCTATACATGACGTGGTGTGCGTGCATATCTGTTTATGGCGCACAAGTTGTATTTTTGGTATAACTTGCCTTTTCCGACTGCCTTGGCTATGTAGCAATTTTCTTGCTTGCAAGAACAATCATGATACAGTCAAATCTGTCGTAAGCGACCGCCCCTTGGTGCAAGAAAAAGCGGTCTCTTACGGCAGATGGTCTCTTACGGGCCAGTTACGGCAGATGTATGGTAAATCCGGCATACCGGGCATGCATATATGCTTCCATGTACTCAAATCGACGAGAATAATGTGATTTTTAATATCATGTTATTGGATATTCAATAGAATATAGGGGTGCACAAACCCAAGAATAGTGCACATACCAGGGCTAATCTTTTACATGTTCAGCCAGCTGTCAAGGCTTCCCTGTTCAAGTAACTTGAGCGCAAGTCCGAACTTTCTAGTAGTTCGGACTTGCAAAGCATCTCCTCCTTGTAGAATAATGTCAGTCGCCTGTGTGACCAGATCCAGTATGCTGTCAAGGCTACAGCGCAGCCTCAGTACAGGCCAGGGCCAGTCGATCGCACTTGCAAGACAGCGCATTTTCACACCTTGCAGTTGACAGCGCACTGGCAAGTACAGTTTTGCACCTGAACCTGGGTCGCGGTCGTTTACAGCAGATTTGAATGCAGCCACTGTGCATGAAATCGCGGTCGCTGGTCGCGCACAGCATATGGTCGCTCTGGACAGATCAGTTTGCATGTGAAACCGTCGGTGCACGGAAAATCGGTCGCTAACGGTAGATGGTCGCCTACAGCAGAGGTCGCTAACGGCCGATTTGACTGTATTTACAATGTGATTGTTTAGAGTATTGAACTTATAATCAACCCTGCTCAGTGCCATTATCTATGACAAACTCAGTCTGTCTTTGATTTTGTGTGCACATTGCAGGGAATTGATTTCACTAGTGAGCTGGCTGGTCAACTAAAGCAGCAAGGTGAGATGAATCTACATGTTGGCCTAGACGTAGTTTGCCTCCCTGATTTTTTTCATTCTTTCTTCGAGTCCTTAGCCTTAAGCGGGATTCACAGAAGCTTTTTTGCGATGCGACGCGATCTGCGATGGATGCGTGCGATGCGAACTCGCGAAATACCATTCACAGAAGAAGTCAGCGATGCGACAAAGTCTTGCTGATTTGGGTACGTCACCATGATTTTCGCGCGGTTTGATACAACTTGTACAAATTTATAGGCAACTCTTGAACCTTTGTACAACTTTGCTGTAGAAAAGGTCAAAATCGTACGCCTTATCGCATCGCAAAAGTTGAGCCAAGCTCAACTTCTGCGATGGCCTGCGATGGCCCAGTTGCGGCAGTTGCGTGGGGTGCGACATGGCTGCGATTTGGGGTTTTCCCGGTTTCGCGTCTGTCGCATCGCAAAAAAAGCTTCTGTGAATCCCGCTTTAGCTTAGGTTATCGATGTTCGTTCCGTAGCGAGGTGTACCGCTACCTGGACAGCCCCGGTGTTTTTTCTTCTGGTTTCTGAGAACGTGTGGCTGGTCTATGCCAACTGAATCTGCTCACCCGCACGCTCATATCCAAGCAATGGGCAAGCATAGACTTTCATGAGTATAATTTTTATTTAAAAATCTAGTACAGAAATCCCCATCCTCATTTCTTTAGTTCATTTGGCTTACGTGAAGACTAGCCGAGCTTGCTTGGTGATGTCAACGCGAACAAGCGAAATAATAATACTTTAGTAACAGAAATCCCCCCCTGCCAAGCATGGAGTGCGAACTCATTCGAAAATGATTTCCGTCCGAAGCCTTCCTGCTGCGGAGTACAGGTGTTTAGGTGTTTGTTATATTGAAATGGTTTCTATTCAATTGGGGTTATTGTCCTGGTTCTCGCTTGTCCTTGCAGTGCGGCGGAAGGTGGGACCGTTTGCGAGTCCCGACTACATTCAGGAAGCACCTGGCTTGCCGAAGACTCGCTCTGGCAAGATCATGCGCCGTATCCTACGCAAGCTGGCCATCGGCAGTGACGACCATGGTGACATCTCCACCTTGGCCGACCCAGCAGTCGTGGCCCAGCTGAGCAAGGGCCGGAGTTTGGCTATCCGTGTCGCCGCCTCCTAGTTTCCCCTGCTGTGTCGCCTCGTTTTATTTGGATCCGCTGAATGTTGGAAGTGTGACAACGCTGGTCGATTGTCTTTTTTGCTCGTCTGTCTGTATTTTTTTGCCCTCTCCCCCCAAGCTTGTTATCTATTTCACCCAACTGTCACTAGCGAGCAGTGAGTGTTTACCGGTTCTGCATCATGTGTCCCTGGCTTCACAGCGGATGGAGTGGCAGTGTAGGCCCCAGCACGCATCCCAAGAGCTACTCTTCTAGGGAATGGAAAGAGGGCACTTCTTGCTTTTTGTCTTGGCTGTATAATTACTTTGAGACGTGTACCAGGGCAATATCAATAGTGCTACTCTTTAGCCATGCTGACGCCTCTCTCTCTCTCTCTCTCTCTCTCTCTCTCTCTCTCTCTCTCTCTCTCTCCCCCCCCCCCCACGCTTGGCTGTGGCCATGTTCAACATGATGGCATTGTCGAAATGATAGATCTCAGAGTAACGTTATACAAATGCATGCATTTTATTGTGAACTTCAAATGGAACCCGTCACCTCTGCGACCTGAACTGTCTATTTTTTTTTAAATAGTTTCTTCAGTGGTTCCGTCATGCTGTCTTCTCTCTAACCATCAACATATCAATTCATTGAATCAGTTCTCTAGAAAACACAAGTCAGTAGGAGAAAAAAATCATGAAATCACTATACTTCTTCACAATTTCTCTGAAGAAGTAAATAATAACAATAATAATAAAAAAAAGTTGAATCTATGACTTTGTTGCATTTGGTGAGCCTCACATGAGGGTCAGGGCGTGTGAGTGTGTATGGGAGGGGGGGGGGGGGGGTGTAGAAAGCAGCATATGCCTTCCACATACTTTCGAATGAGGAAAGTTCTAAAATGGAATAAGGAGATCAAAGTGTGTTCTGTGGTCTGTATCACATCTCCCACAACACTGAATAGAAGAAAGTGAGGTAGGAAGAATTTGGCAAATGGTGTTTGCCTATGTTTCCCAAGTCTCAGTAATATGGTGACATAACAGTAATTGGTTTATATAGATATTTTTAAAAGCACTAATATCATTCCAGACTGAGAGGGAATCAAATCACTGACGTCATCATCAGTGAATCAAACAAAGCCAGCAGAAACAGAAGACAAGGTTGGGTATGAATCGGGAGGAAACAAGCACACCGACTGGGCCATCACACTCATGCCGGGCAGCGGCAATACAAGCAGTGGATCAGTGCGCCGATGACGGTGCTACTGAGGAATGGCGACTGACATCTCGACACGTGCCTGCAAGTCTAGAGCTGGGGGGCACTGCGTGTCCGTGGCCTGCGAGCAAGTCCATTGGTCTCGTTTGAAGATCAGCGTTGGCGTCCAGCACCGCACTGTGTATGTGGGCATTTTCCACACGCAATGTCTACCATTCGCTGTCGGTAGTAGGATAGTAAGGGGGACGACAGACCGTCACAAACCTGCACTACTCAGCTTACATGATACAGCACTGCTCACCGCCCTGGCTTCCGTCAGCTGGAGGTGCGAACGGCATGCCCGGCATGCCCATGCCGCCAAGCGGTGGCAAGCCAGGAAACAAGGGAGACCCCGCTCCATCGAGCTTCATGTCAGGAGCCTGAAGCAACAACAGTCCACAACACCGCACACACATGCGCACACGGACAGCCGTCAGCCTCATCCGAGATGAAATTGATCAACCCAAATGATCACACATCTTTACCTGGTTCACATAACAGACACATGATCATCTCTGTCTAAAGGCTACTTGATGCAAAGGGCAGCAAGTTTGTCTGTCATACAAACAAATGACACCCACCCACACAGCATACACTGCACACTGAAGTACACGGAATACACTAGGCACTGGACAGCAACACACCCATCGCAAACATCCTCTTTGGTGAGCCATTGGTCTTGAAGTACATAGAATTCCAAGCACTAGAGCTACTAGACATCCCAAAGTTGATTACTAATCATCCTGAAGTCCACCAAGCTACCGTAAAATTCCGTTAATAAGCCCCGGGCGTATACTTTGCAGAGCGTCAAAAACCGGGCGTAACGTCGTAACGCTGAAGCAAGGTAGACAACTAGATGACACTTTGAGTCCACTTTACGCCTTGGGCTTATTTCGGGCATGGGCGCTAAAACGGACTTGAAGTGTACACCGCCTAAAACTGGGCTTACTATCGGACATGGGCGTTATTTAGGGTGGGCTTATTTATGGAATTTTACGGTATATCAGGCCGGGGATAGCCGTCAGAATGCATGCGTTGCCGTTGCACCAGGAAGTAATCCTTGCTTTGCACTAAGAAGTGCATAAACAGTACATACATACATGCATGGTAGATCTTACCAGCTCGTGCATGACAGCGTCTGGTGGGTGACCATGCTCTTGTAGCTGCACACACAAACAGATACACACACACACACACACACACACACACACATAAACAGGTGTCTAAAATCCGCAGGCTGCGTATAGTGCTCTATGTCCAGTGGACAGAGCCAGTATAAATTATACAGTTCACAAACAGCAGCAGTGCACCCAGCTCTGAGTAATGGCAAGGAAGGACCTGGTTGTACTGTTGCTGTTTGTGAATTGTCCATACACAACAGGCACGATGACATGATGAGTGTAGTGTGGATACACAATTACACATTGGTGATTCATACCATCATGTCTCTCAACTAGTCAAAGAAAATCACTGTCCGCATCTTCAAAACAAAAGCTGATTACTGTCGCTACAGGGAACAAGATTATCTGGATAAGGAACAGCAGTGCATAATGTACAGAGCATATAGTACGTAGTAATGGCACCATGCAGCCATGGCCACTGCATGGAAAACACACCAGAGCCAGTTTAGTTTAGGCTCGGACCATAAATTTGTACCTGTTGCATCAGCTGCAGGATGGTCTCATAGCGTTCCTTCTTGCTCGCATCAGTCGCCGACTCGTCGCTGGATTCGTAGATGGAGCAGACAGAGCGCAGGATGTCCAGCTGCTTTGAGTAGCGAGTGCGATCATCGGCGGACAACGACTCCTCACTGCCATGGTTCACCAGCCAGTCTTGAAGCTGCAGACAAAATGTACATGTACATGTTAAATTGAGTGAGATCATGGCAAGCCCAGCGATGAGCAAAGCAACACTTCCACGCATGACCACTTAAACACATGAACACTTAAACACAAAAACACTGACACACTCCCGGTGTACTGGTAGTGTTAGTGACCTTGCAGTACTGTAGCCATTGCCAAGGTGATTTATAGAAATCATTCCATGCACACAGCAGCACTACCGCAGAACTCCAGTACGGTGCTTCTACTATACACAGTCTTGTTCATTTGTTAGGGTACTGCACTGGAAGAACCACTCTGCAAACTGCCATTGCACACTCACCACAGTTACATTAGAGATCTTTAAAAAAAAGTGATGTCGCATGCACACAGCAGACATACATTATATAAGGTGCACACATACACCACACACACACACGCACGCCGACAGTGCATTTTGATTACACATCCACTGCTGTCTAACCTTTCCAGAAAGCTCCTTGACAGACGGGTAGAGCACATCCGGTGACAGCAGAGTCTGCATCATTGTTTCCATCATTGGAATCAGACCACTGCTATCAAGTGAGTCCGGTGTTTGAGATCCACTACCACCACCACCCCCAGCTAGCAAACAGTAGCACAAAACAAATCACATGGAATACCGGTACTACACCAATTTCTGGAAAATAAAGATCACAAGGCCCTGGTGTCCAAAGCGTTGGAAAAAGCAGTTGATGTGCATGATTGTGCATGTGAATGTAAACCGTTAGACGCAGGCCAAGAGCTGTGTGTTCAGCTCCTGTTTATACGTAGACTGTCAACACCTGAACACAGTGACTCAGCATAGCGGCATGCACAGGAAAGCATTACTGTATGCACTCTGTTGATCCCCACACTTACCAGCCATTTGCTGCTGCAGTAACTTCATGAACTCCTCTTCACCTGTGTTTGCCTTCACGTCCGCTGACTAAGGGGCAGAGGACACGTAACACAACACAGCATAGTTTTAAAAGTCAACAAATAGAATACCGTAAGGGGTCGTCCGTAATTAGGGCTGAAACAATTATACCGAATACTCGAGTACTCGCTCGGTTTTTTCAAAAATAATCGTACTCGGAATAAATCAGAGTACTCGTTCATACATGGTACATGCATTCACCACAGAAATCTGCAGTTTCAGAGCAGCAGTCAGCAGATATTGATGTGCAGGCTGTGTGGTGAACATTTGTTCACGAGTAGAGAGAGCCCAAATGACCCACCAACCAATATACCCGAGAAAAATGACTGCTACTCGGTTCGATCAGGGTTGTATCATGTGATTTTAAGCCCTTGGTGTGCAATTTTTAGAAGATGAATAATACTCGAATACTCGAATATTCGATCGGAGAAAATCAGAGTACTCGAACTCGGGATCTCAGTGCCAACTTTCAGCCCTATCCGTAATTATCGACAAATTAAAAAATCCGTCCTCGTGCAAAATTGTCTCTGACCCACCCACCCACCCCCCATTTTTCCCATTAATTTTTGATTTTTACCGATGCCCAGCTCGAAAATAAGAGCTCCTGACCCCATGTTCACTGATTGCACCTCCATGTACATGTATGACAAGTACTAGTAGCTAAGTTAAGTGAGTAGGAGGTCTACCGACGGCCATGCACGTCCTACAACTACATAAAGAGTCATGTACCGGTACTGTATAATTATCATACTGGTGTTTGCAATCCTACACTACGCGTATACGTCTACAGTGCACTACATGTCAGTGCAACAAGTGTATGAAAGTCACTGAAGAAAAAAAAAAGTACGAAAAATCAAAAAAATAAATTCCGCCAGCCCTCTTGACCACCCACCCCCTTTCTGCCTGAGGACGGATTTTTTAATTTTTCGAAAAATACGGACGACCCCTAATGTCGTGTATTAAAGCCGGGCTTATTCCTGTAGAAGCCGATGTCAGGGCTAGGTTTCTATTCACATCAGGCTTCTATTCAAACCAAGTACTTCGAAGTAGGTTTTATGTGTGTCAACACTAGAACCAGGCTTACGTGTCGACAGTATAATCTTGAAAATCAGGCTTATATTCAAAACAGGCTTGTATTTGACACAGGCTTTAATACAAGACACTACGGTAGTCCATATATTGAAGACATGAATGGGTAGCATGACTCACTGATACATATACATGTACAGAGATTTCAATGCTACACACTGTGTGACAACACAACCAACACCGCACACTGGTTAAGCACAACTCTCTCTCTCTCTCTCTCTCTCTCTCTCTCTCTCTCTCTCTCTCTCTCTCTCTCTCTCTCTCTCTCTCTCTCTCTCTCTCTCTCTCACACAAACACACACATACGCGCGTGCACACACAAACACACACACACACACACACACACATACGCGCGTGCACACACACCTACACTACAAAGTACAAACGTACGCTTTTCAGGTTCTCCTGCATACCACTGACAGCCTGTGCAAGCTGCTCTTCTAGACTGCCACCACCAGCACCAGCACCGGCACTGGGCGGTGAAGCTGCTGACGCTGATGCAGCACTGCCAGCACCGGCCATGGCGGCTGCCGAAGCGAAAGGGTTTGCGTCCGGCCCTGTTGGAAGTCCACCAAAGAGATTGGGCATTGGCATGCCCATACCACCAGCACCATTGCCACTGGCACCTGCCTCTAGATCCTGAGTAGCAATGGTGAACAGAGCATACGCAAAGAAACACAAATAAATTTGCAAGCACGAATGCACGCACAAACACATATGTACATGCACACACGCACGACCACACAACTATTGTGCATATTGTTTTCGAGCACACAGCCGGCAAGTCTTCTTACCACAGAGACACGGTTAGACTTGTGAACTGCCTCCACCATCACGCATGCACTGCTGTCTTGGCAGAACAATACACCATCACGCATGCACTGCTGTCTTGGCAGAACAATACACCATCACGCATGCACTGCTGTCTTGGCAGAACAATACACCATCAGCACAAAGACATGACAATCCACATGCTACACACCTTCATCATCTGTTCAAACTGGGCGTTAAACTCCGGATCTCCATTAGAAAACTGTTGCATAGCGCTGCCAAACTCTTGCTGTGCTAACTTCAGCTCGTCATTGAATGCCCGCACCCATTCATCCGCTTCAGGAGAGCTCGCAGTGGCTAGAGACGAAAGAGACAAGACATTGGTCCCATGTGAGTGAGGATAATGCCTTTATCATACTTTGACATTCTACAGATAGCATCCTTTTACATTCTACAAATACTCAAATAGCATAGGTGCAGTCTGACCTCATGAATAAGTCAACTGCAGGTGACGTGTAGTGTGTTGCTAGTGCTATAGTAATGCACACACTAAACAGCTTAAAGCTATGTACCCACTGCACTGGACTGCACTGAACTGCACTGAACTGCACTGCACTGCACTGGAACATGGCCATCATCTATTCATTAGGTCAGGTTTCACTCACCAAAGCTACAGCATAGTAAAATACAGCTCTACCGAAACAGTAGGTAAGGGCATACATAGCATACAATTAGATGAAGTACACAATGGCATTGTCCCAAACACAAAGCACTGCTACGAAAGCCATCAAGGTACCAGCAGAAAGGCTGCCATCCCTACCAGCTTGGGCCGATGAGCTGGGAGATTTCGATGACGAAGACGACGATGACGTCTTCTTCTTTTTCTGTTTGGGTTTTGCAGCTGCGGATGATGTAGCAGCAGCAGCAGCAGTAGCTGTAGCTGCACTGGTAGCTTTGCTACTGGATGCCGCTGCAGACTCAGTACTGCTAGACACTGCACATGCTTGTGCATCACGACCATCATCCAGTGAAGGTGTGGAACCGGTACTGCTCGCAAGACCCGAAGTAGCAGTGGCTGTCGGTGCTGCTGTTGCTGCTGTTGCTGCTACGCCTAGTGCTGCTGCAGGTGGCGCTGAGGCTCCAACAGCAGTGAGGTGCTTGTTGAAATCATCCAAGGCGCCTGCACACAGACGCACACACACATACACACAATGGCATACAACACATCAGAAAGTTGGAGAAGGCCAACGGTACCAATGACAATACCAGCTACATGTATACATTGCATATTATCTCAGTGCAAGCCAAACAGCAAATAAGGGTATGTAGGTTATAAAGGGCATGTTCATCATAATACCAGTAGATGAATTTCAACAAAAGTCGGGAGTACAGATTTGCCCACATAAGCACGTTTTGTAGTCCCAAAGCCTACCATACATGTATGTGTATGGATCTCTCCCCCCCCCCCCCCCCCCTCGTCTCCCTTGCATAGGATCTAGGATGTGCCCTTCCGTCACCTGGTGAAAATGATGGAATCAAAAATCCACACACTCTTCTACCAATTCGAGTTCAATACTACTTTTCCAACTGAAACTGGTGGCTGTGCTAAGCTCTACCGAATCCCTCGCTAGTAGAAACTGGTTGAGTGCCATTTGTAACTTTTGATAATACAAAATTGAATCTCCGTCTACTGAAATCCCTCGCGCCGCTCTTACAGATTCAAGCTGCCGACTTTCTGCACCAGAAGCAGTAAGCCTGTTTCTACCAGTTGATGTAGAGGGCCAATAATGAATGCACCATTAACATAACTCCTTGCTGGAGTACTGTAAAGTACCGTTGATCCCCCCCCCCCCCCCCCCACGCCATGTCGCTTCCCAGCTGGGTTTTCGGCAGGGGGGGAATTAGATCAAGGCTGTCAAGTGCAGTACGATGTACAACAACGTAGAAATTCAGACTCGATGTGCTGGATTGTGCACATTTTCATCCTGGATTGGCAAGTATTGTGTACAGCAGTGCATGCGTCGGTTCAACATCGTACTTTCGTTGTATACGCCGAAGTCGCTTCACAGGTAGAAAATCGACAGGGGGGCGTGAATTAGAGAGTGTCGTGATCTGCATCCCGATGTACCACTTGTAGTGTAATGACTGCTGTCATGACTCGGCCTGGTCTAGTCGTGCATAGCTGACTCTAGTTACTCTTGTCCCCTACTGACATTGTGTTTCACCATTAGTACACGTTGCCTCTACTCTAGTCGGTGCATGAATAGCCGTTCCTAGGTTTACATGTTCCATCGTGCAGTCCGTAGTGCACGCGACATTCTCGGCTTGACTTCCGCTGCTCTTGCGCATGCCAGTCATTATTCCTTTGTGATGGTAGAGAAAGGTTGTACATTGTCTTGGCTCGTATCCAGTAACTCTTTGGGAATGAGGGTACGGATTTGAGAAGTAAGTTAGAATCACTAACTGTAGTTACTTGTGTGACTGGATTGGTTGGGATTAGTAAAGTGAAACTCTCTCGAGACGTTTAGGTTGTGCGTCAGTCGAGATATGGTGCTGTGACCAGGATGTCGTCACCCAACGAACAAACAACCTCTGAACAGGAACAGCCTGTCGAGTCAACCGGTGCAGCTGCTGCAGAATTACCGGTAACCCAAGCCGCTCAAACGAGCGTAGATCCACGAGCCGTGGATGGTACAGCGGATGAGTCCCATGAGGCCGGTAATGAGGACGCCAGCAAGGACCAGACCGATGGCACGGACGCTGGTGCAGGAGACCCGGAGCGGCTGCTAGTCTCGTCCACCCCCGAATACAAGCAGATGATCCAATCGAGGTCCAACATGAAGCGTCGACTGACGAGGGTGAGGCAAAAGATAAAAATTCACCTAGACCTGCTAGGAACTGATTGTTTCAGCGCAGACGCTCTTGGCCGCCTAGATGTTTCTGCCGCACGTTCCCTTTACGATGAGGCGTCCGGTTTGAAGTTTGAAGTCAAAACATCGAGGGTATCCAAGACAATATTAGACGGAGCTTAGAAGACGCAAACGAGGATAAGAAATTAGATGAACAAGACGCGTGGGAGAATAATTTCGAACTTGAATGCGTGTGTTTGCTGAGGCTCGCACAATGTTTACAACAATGCGACCACCACTCTCGCACTCAGTATGAAGCTGAAGACGAACGCCGTACCCGACTCCGATTACTAGAAGAGCATGGGCCACGCGCGCTAGATGTTCTTGATGCGGCCATGTCTAGCCCTCGCAGCGGACCAAAACCAACATGTCATGCGTCGCCAACACTACATGCGTGGAGTGAGAAGAGTGCCGACATGGATATCGACACTGCTACTTCAAGTGCTTGTGACACTGTTGAGCCACCGCGACAGTCCCAATGTGAGTCGGCTGAACAGTCACACGCACAAAGTGCAGAGCTTCATGACATTGTACATGTAGTAGATGCAACTGAGTCTCCTGCCAGCGCAGCAAAAGCACAGGAAACCAGCGCAGCAGTCAGTGTCAGAAGCCAACCAAGATCACCAGTGCCACCAGTCCCCAAACCACGTGTCAGGCATGCCATTGGCCCTGGCACTGGTAGAACTGCTGCCACTCCAGCAGTGCATGCGGTGCCCAGCCCAAGTCCCACCTATGGCAGTGGTGAGGAGGACAGGGCCTATGACTATGAGCATTACCTCCAGCAGGAGACCCAGGACAGACAAGCAGTACAACAGCTTCAGCCAGATGCAGAAACATTCTATCCACCAGACCATTCTGTCGCCGCCAGGACAGCCCCTCCACCAGCCACAACCTGGCCACGCGATGCTATTGCCCCACTGGAGCAAGCTCTTCAGGGCGCAGTTATGAATGTCGCCCAGGCTTTGAGCCAAAACCAAACGCCACAACACACCAGCACATCCGCTGCAGCCGGCCCAAGCTCCGTTGTGTTCAAGCTAAAACCGATGGAAATACCGAGCTTCGACGGGCAGGTCACCAACTGGCCCGATTTTTGGGACCTGTTTGAAACTGCCGTGGACAAACAGCCAATGTCCGATGTCGTTAAGCTGAGCTACTTGAAGAGTGCCCTCACTGGCCGAGCTGCCCACACGCTCGCTGGTCTGGCTATCACCAACAACAACTATGCCACGGCCGTACAGCTACTGAAAGAACGATACGGACGGACAGATGATATTGTTGCTGCCCTGTATACCAAGCTGCAGCGATTGCAAAGCACATCGTCCAAACACCGTGATATCCGGAACACCATTGACAACATCGAACGGATACTACGACAGCTGTCTGCCATGGGCATTAGCGTTGAACAGCAGCCACTATTGGTGCAGCACATTTTGTCCAAGTTCCCTACGGAAGTACTCACCAAGCTAGAGGAATGGCGAACATCGAGCCATCAGTCGTGGACGGTCGCCACCCTGCGATCCGCCCTTCAGCGGTATGCCGAAATCCACCGGAATTTGCGGGAAGGTTCCGAGACTTCTGCCTCTCAGTCTTCAAGGACACCGGCCACACAGACACAGCACGGCTCACCAATGACCATGCAAGGAACTGGACACGCTCTTTCATCTCAGTCAACGCATAGTGCGCCTCCACGTCTATGTGTCTTCTGCAAGGGGACTCACTTCAACGACCAGTGCGTCACCTACAAGCTGGCTCGGACAAGACAACAGAAGCTCCGAGAACAAGGTCGTTGCTTCATTTGTCTGCGACGGAGCCATATGGCGTCCCAGTGCCCAGAGAAAACCAAGGCGTGTTTTCACTGCAGCAAGACCGGCCACAACCGAGCTATCTGCCCAGCCCATGAGAGACGTGAGCCCTCCAAAGGCAGCTCAAGGCCACAACCAAATGGCTCACAACCTGCCAGGGCCGTCTCCACACAGGGTAATGATGAGGAACTTGTAAATACGTGCTCCGCCAGTCTCGTGTCAGAGGGTCCCAGCGACAAGACTGGTGCAGTATTCCTCCAGACAGCACAAGTGCAGATTCAAGCTGCCGATGGTAGCTTTATCACCGCGCATGCGTTACTGGACACCGGCAGCAATCGCACGTACATGAGTACCCAGCTCAGCAAGCAGCTTCAGCTGCAGCCGGAGAGACAAGAGTCATTGACCCTCATCACCTTTGGAGTGACACACCCACGCAGTGTTGTTACATCGGTCGTTCAGACGTCCATCTCACTGTCCGACGGACAGAGGTACCCCATCAAAGCGAATGTACTCGACACCATTACACGACCTATCCGACGCTACCCTCTTCCATCTGAAGATGCGGAGTTCCTGGCAGGCGAACCATCCATTCAAATGGCAGACACCATACCATCAACAGCCGAGACGAGGGCCATTGACATTCTCATTGGTTCTGATCATTACGGAAATCTTGTGCAAGGATCACCGCAGCGTCTACCGTCAGGTTTGTACGTGATGGATACGCTCTTGGGTCACATCGTCACAGGACAGTGTTCGTCCAAGTCGGATGACAGCAACAGCTCAACGCTTCTTGTCATGACGCAGGCAAGCACCGGTCTACAGCGTCCGCTATATGACTACATGGCAACCGCCGACTCTGCTCTGCTTGCTGAAGTCGAACCAAACTTGACGGAGTTTTGGTCGCTAGAAAGGATCGGTGTGGAGGACCCAGCAAGTCTCCCAACAGATGACGACACAGTTCGACAGTTCGAGAAGACCGTCACGTTTGCCGACGGCCACTACACAGTCCAGTTTCCATGGAAGCCCGACATGCAGCTTCCACACAACAAAGACCTAGCCTACGGAAGGATGAAGTCACTGGGGAAACGGCTTGCAGCAGATCGAGACCTGCTGACCAGGTACAACGACGTGCTGCTGCAGCAGGAAAGGCTTGGCATTATCGAGCGAGTCACAGAGAAAACCAAGTGCGGTCAACGCTCGCACCATCTGCCGCACCATAGCAGCCTTAGCTCAAAACACGCATTACACTAGGCCCTTTCGTGAGAACCACCCCGCTGCGTTTGTTCATTAGATCCAAATTGCTTTCTATTAGGGCTGAAACGATTATACCAATTACTCGGTAAGCGATCGATAATTCCTTATCAATCAAGTAATCGTTACGTTATAGATTACTCGTTAGGGATTTTGAGTCCAAAAAGTACTGAAAACCCTCGTTTTGTGAAGTTTGAATCAGTTTCCGCTGTGTGTATGCAGTTGCCAGGGGCATGGTGCATATAAATTGACTTCAAAACTGTCATGGTTTGGAGCTACCCTGTCACTAATGCAGATTTTTGGTATTATGAAGGCCTAGCTTTTGGTAACAGGAGAATTTTTGCACAAAATTCTGACGCTATTTGCTAAAGATTATAATCGATTACTCGATCGTTAAGCTAAAGAGTAATCGATAGGTGAAAATCCACGATCGTTTCAGCCCTACTTTCTATTCGTTATCACCCTTTCTTCTCTTTACCCAGTAGTGTAACATTTTGCTGGCCGGAGTGTCGTGATCTGCATCCCGATGTACCACTTGTAGTGTAATGACTGCTGTCATGACTCGGCCTGGTCTAGTCGTGCATAGCTGACTCTAGTTACTCTTGTCCCCTACTGACATTGTGTTTCACCATTAGTACACTTTGCCTCTACTCTAGTCGGTGCATGAATAGCCGTTCCTAGGTTTACATGTTCCATCGTGCAGTCCGTAGTGCACGCGACATTCTCGGCTTGACTTCCGCTGCTCTTGCGCATGCCAGTCATTATTCCTTTGTGATGGTAGAGAAAGGTTGTACATTGTCTTGGCTCGTATCCAGTAACTCTTTGGGAATGAGGGTACGGATTTGAGAAGTAAGTTAGAATCACTAACTGTAGTTACTTGTGTGACTGGATTGGTTGGGATTAGTAAAGTGAAACTCTCTCGAGACGTTTAGGTTGTGCGTCAGTCGAGATAGAGAGGGGGCAGATCAACGGTACTTTACGATATGTACTATTGCACTGTAAATGTGCTTTGCAGTATTGAGAGATCGCAGAAGATTTTGGCCCTCAACAGCACACAAACAAGTGCATGGATAAAGTCATTTTGATTCCACATAAATGCAGTATTCTACTGCATCATAAAAATGAATCTCTGCCCCACCTGAGCTTCATGCGTACGAGTAATAGCAATCATCACGAAACCTCTGATGATTGCTATGACATTATTGTTAGATCATCACAACTGTAGATTTACATCGAGTTCTGAACATAATTGTGGACTGAGAACTCTGATCTGTACTGTGGCTGAGGTTATTTTCTGTGATTTGGGACTCCACGAATACAGTCATGTACATGTATGTACCCACAAAAAGTAAAGCATTAGAAAATTGAAAATAACTAAAAAAAATAGAAAACAAAATCACAATCTGACTTACTATCGAGGAGTTCAGATAACTCATCATCATCTTCAGCATCTGCATCCGGGGGAAGTGATGACATAATTCTACTATTTGTAGTGCAGATCGATTCGACGATCAGTAGACGAATATCAATTACGAACAACCTATAGTATTATTGGTTCAAATTTCCCTGAAAACGACGATCAAGCACACGATTTGAAAGTTGCCTGGCAGTGACACCAATGATTTCCGAGTGCGCCTCGATACTCACTTGGCCGAATCAGTACAGCCACTGATCATGCTGACAGCTGGCACAAATGGCACTGGAAGTATTGACAATTTGTACATACTCCTAGCTAAAACAATAATAACAAGAGTATAATTTTTTAACTCTTGATAATAATTGTCGCATTTTTCATCAGTGCAGTGTGTGCAATCGCAAGTGAACTGCTCAAGCTGCAAGCCGAGGAGCGACGCGGCGGCGGCGCGACACAACGGTACGGGGGTTTCTATGACAGCACCGCCAGAAAATGGTTCGCTAGCGTGTTCGGGGGAATTCCAGTTCAGAATCAAGCAGAAGAATTTTTCGTTTGAGTTCAGAAGCAAAGTGTTTTGAGTCAGCTTGAAAGATTTGATTCGGTGAGGTGCAATTGATTGTGAAACACGAAGAGCTGATGGCGGATGTTTCTGAAAAGATGGAAGAGGAGAAAAAGGAAATAAAGGTAAGGGCTACGGTACCTATATCGTTTTGTAGGCCAATCAGCCTAGTTTCTGATCGCGTTTCTTCCATTTGAAATTTGTGTCATTGTAATATTGTATCATTGTTATTCTTGATTTTGTGCTTGCTGTATTTAGCCTGAAGATTATGATCCAGAGTATGTGTCGAAGTCGGAGGAGGTTCCTGCGCTATGTGAGCGTACGGACGTGTATGTGAAATTAAAGGGTCTTCAAAAGAGATTGGAATTCCTACAAGTGCAGGAGGACTACATTAAAGACGAGCAGAAGAATTTGAAGCGCGAGTACCTGAGAGCTCAGGAAGAAGTCAAACGTATTCAGAGTGTTCCACTAGTCATTGGACAGTTTCTGGAGGCTGTTGACCAGCACTCTGGAATAGTTGGTTCGACGACAGGCTCCAACTACTATGTCAGGATTCTCAGTACCATCGATCGTGAGTTGCTGAAAGCATCAGCATCAGTCGCCCTGCACAAGCATAGCAATGCATTAGTGGATGTGCTGCCACCGGAGGCAGATAGCTCTATATCGCTGTTGTCAGCTGATGAGAAGCCGGACGTGAAGTACGAGGACATTGGTGGTATGGACATTCAGAAGCAAGAGATGCGAGAGGCGGTTGAACTGCCGCTGACCCACTTTGACCTGTATCAGCAGATTGGTATTGACCCACCGCGTGGTGTACTGATGTATGGACCGCCGGGTTGTGGCAAGACTATGCTTGCCAAGGCTGTTGCCCATCACACAACCGCGTCGTTCGTGCGCGTCGTTGGCTCCGAGTTCGTTCAGAAGTACCTGGGCGAGGGAGCAAGAATGGTGCGTGATGTCTTCCGTCTTGCCAAGGAGAACGCACCGTCCATCATCTTCATTGATGAAATCGATGCTATTGCAACGAAAAGATTCGATGCCCAAACGGGAGGTATGTGCTGTTGTTGCTGCTGGTGCTAATATAGTTGTGGAGACCGGAGAGTTGCAATATACTACAGTTGGTATACAGTAGATTGTGTCCGCTGTTCACACACAGTGCTCAATACCACCATGGGCATAGCCATGTTAGCCCAGAAAAAGTAACATAACTCCATTATCTTGTCATAGCAAATTCGTATTGAAATTACAGCAGTGCACACAGCCGCGCTCCGTTCTCGACTACACACGAGTTTTGCAACATAGCTTGTGATGGTTGCATCTCTGTGTACGAATGTATGGGTAATCCAGTATGAGTTCACTGCATTATGCATAACACTTGCTAGACACTGCATAACACTGTTGCTAGACACTGCATAACACTGTTGCTAGACACTGCATGCTTGTATCGCTGTGTGTTTGGTTTTGCTAACAGCTGATCGTGAAGTCCAGAGAATCCTACTCGAGTTGCTCAACCAGATGGATGGCTTTGATCGGAATGAAAATGTCAAGGTACGTATTTAGACTAAGACCGGGTGCGATTGTAATTCTGTGCTGGGTTGCTTCTTGCAGCGTGTTTATAACAATGTTATGGAACTGTCTTGGCAACATACATGTACATGTAGTGCTAAATCTGCTAACTAACACGCTGCTGCTGCCCATGCACATACATCACTACATGTGTGTGGGAGTTTGGAAGCTTGCTTGCTGGTGTGTTTACTCCTATGTGCATGGCATGTGTGTACCTCTGTAGCACAATACTAGTATCCTCTCCCTGGCTTGCCCTCCTGTCTTCTCTTTTCGCTACAGGTGATCATGGCGACGAATCGTGCAGATACGCTTGACCCAGCGTTACTGCGACCTGGTCGACTTGATCGAAAGATTGAGTTCCCGCTGCCCGATCGCCGCCAGAAGCGTTTGATCTTCCAGACGATCACAAACAAGATGAACCTGTCCGAAGAAGTAGACTTGGAAGAATGTATCCTCTGATGTCTATTTCTGTGAGACCTGTGTATTGGTATTTGATGACGATTCCATAGTTCTTTGGACGCTGCTGAAGCTGGAAAGCAGTACAAGAAAGTTCTAATTTCTGCATTTGTGTGTGTGTGTGTGTGTGTGTGTGTGTGTGTGTCTGTGTCTGTGTGTCGATGCCTATGTCTATGTGTATTTATCAAGCGTAGTATGTATGTGTGCCTGTGTGTGTTTGCGTGTGTGTGTGTGCGTGTATGTGTGTGTGCGCGCGCGCGCGCGTGTGTGTGTGCGCGTGCGTGCATGTATGTGTGTGTGCGTGCGTGCGTGTGTGATTGACCCTACAATGTAGGCCAGCTATGTTTGTGGTTGCTTGTTTGCTAGTCATTGCTCACTCTCAACAGTCTCAGGTGTTGGCCTCTTTCCTTGACCAGCTATATTTACAGATGTTGCAAGGCCAGACAAGATCAGTGGCGCAGACATCAACGCTATTTGCCAAGAGGTAAAGCCACCTATATTATTATTGCTTGTGCAGGCTGCAGTTCCATACTGTGCTAATGAGTACTAATTTGTGCTAATGAGTACTAATTTGTGCTAATGAGTACTAATTTGTGCTGAAGTAGTACTGGTAGTGTTTCTCAGCACACTTGCTTCACCAGGCACGACGTTGCACCTAATGCCTGGTTCACACTAGGCCGATTTTCCGGTCCAGTTTTCGGCCAAGTATCGACTGGTCGATATTTACCCGAAAAGCCGGCCGATTTTTAGTGCTTGCACGTGATGGAACGGGCATCGGACCAATCACTGACGGCGTTTCACCATGACAGCGTAGAGCGTCGGTGCAGACCGTGAACTGGCTGCACTGGATCGCTACCAGACGCTAGCCTTTTCCCGCCTTTGGCCTTGTAGCTTGTGTAAAAATATCTCATTTCCGTTGTCTAGCATCTACTACGGTCTAGCGCGGCTGTGTACCGCGTGTACGTGTGTAACAGACAAGCCTACAACTATAGTGCAAGCGAAATTGCCCACCGTTGTGTGTAAACAGCTAGTCCGACTCATCCGACACAGTTGGTCGATTTCTTGTCGGAGTCGATGTGGGAGCATCGGCCGGAAAATCGGCCTAGTGTGAACCAGGCATAAGATGTAGGCTGCGTAAGATAGTATCTCTGGCTCTGATCATGATCTACAGCGGTGACAAATGAAATCCAACCTCGTAGATGCAAGTTGGCACGTTTACAGCACAGTCCAGTGTTGGTAGTGCTAAGACTGTGTCTCGCTGGAGCAGGTGTAGTTATGAAGTTGGATTTCACATGCGGCACCACTGTCATTCGCATCCTGATTTGACAACATTCAACTTGGTGCTTTCCCCCCAATTCTCTGTGTGTTAGGCTGGTATGCAAGCAGTACGAGAGAATCGCTACGTCATTCTTCCCAAGGACTTTGACAAGGCGTATAAGAAGGCGATTCGCAAGGAAGACGTAGAGTTTGATTTCTACAAGTAATCTATATCAAGTCAGTTGACTTACCGGTTTTGTTTATACTAGTAACAACTGTGTTACACAATTGTCGTGTTGAACGTATGTAGGTTTTTATCAAGGTAACGCCGCCGCTGTATTATAGAGCATTCTTTATCTTTCCTTGTTTGAATTTGCCGTTTGAATTTGCCACGCACCGGAATTGTTCCGCATGGTGTATGTACAGAGTGCATGCTGTCTTTTATTCTTCTCCTTCTTTTCTCTCTCTCTCCCTTGCTTTTGCTGTATCTTCGCACTTCGATCGTGATGCGCGTTCAACCGAGAATCTCGTTTTTCCCGTTGCTGGCGGCTCTTCTCCCACACTCTCCGCTCAGCTCAGGCCTATGCATGCAGCAAGTTTCTCAGCTGTAAGTAACCATGGCAACGTGGTGTTTGACTGCCGCAGCCAGTACCCATCCCACTGCCGCTCACCATTCATTCAACAGGCATCTTTTTTTTTACTACCATGTGACATCATAGATTGTGAACCTCAATATTTATTCAGGTACATGGTCATAGGGGGGGGCATCATAATGGTCATACGGGGGACCCGGGAGGGGGGGGGGGCATCACAATTATTAGTACAGGGACATGGATATCAATATCAAAGAGAGAGAGGGGGGGGGGGGGGGGGGGGGAGGTGCAGATAAAAATGCTTGTATCACCAAGTATATACCTTTGAGTGTAGTTCAGTGCCTGTGTATTGTGATATTCGTACATACATGTACTGTGCTGAATGATGTGATAGTACATACCAGGGAGTAGTACAATACTGTATTGTACTACTCCCTGGTACATACATGTACTGTGCTGAATGATGTGTAGCAACAGTTAGTACAGTGGAATGCAAGAAATTGCATGACGGTCTAGCAGCTATCTATCTCATAATGATGGTGATCATTATGGCAGTTGGAATTCTAGCATTATCCACACGGTGGCGGTCTCTCAGGTCTGGCGAAGCATCGCACACTACAGTCTGATGCAAGTGTTGGCTGACTGGCATCCACGGCTGCATGGCTGCGATGCAGCCTCTCAGACCTCAGAGTCGTCCACTGCACTGTACTGTACTATACTACTTGTGTGGAGGAGCTGGTCCACGATACGCAGTGTGCTTTGCAATACAATCTTTTTTTCGTGCAAATAGATAATAAGCTCATGAGAGGGAGCATGAACTCTGGGTTTGAGACTGGACATAGATAAATGAGCACAGGGCGCGCACGTGCGCACGCCGTGCACTCAGAAAGCAAAGCCGGGATGTCAGTTGGATGCTGGTAGATATGTCGGGAGATTGCGTAAGTCTGGGTAGCTACACGTATGTGTTGTGTTTAAACTGAGTTTGACGGCGATGCACTGCGGGACATTGACGACATCTCTCTAGAGAACGGTGGTGGTAGTGGACGCTGAAGATAGGTGACGTGCTGCAGCTCGACAGCTCAACGTCCTCATCCACTCTGGCATGTATGGCAGCAGGCTGCAGCGTATCGCTGGTTAGCCGTACACAGCAGGAAGTTCTTGACGAGGGTGCAGTAATACTTGCTGAGCTTGTCTATGCATGCTGTGCAACAACAATGACAGCATGTCAGAGAGGAACAGAACACACAGAGAAGCCGGGTCAGCCAAATTCATTTTCAAACTCATTAACATTATTTTTGAAAGAGAGAGAGAGAGAGCCACGGGACCAGCGATCAAAGCTTACCCGGTTGCGCTGGACAGGCGGACAATCCACAGCTCCTTTGCTGAACCGGACGATCTCCCGTGCACTCCTGACCCCTGGCGAACTGCTCACAGCGTACGCGCCGCATCTGACGGCCACCGCCGCATGTGACAGAGCACTGCGCAGTAGAAAGAGATAGGGAAAAGAGAGTCAATACTAGGGGTGATCCGGGTACCCGTGTACCCGTTTGTTTAGCTGCTGACCCGTTAGTAAACGAGTACCCGTTAGTCGTGTACGACGGTACAGTACGGTAATATTAGCTGATTTGCAAAGTTGTTCAATTTGATGTACAGGTTGAATGTGTTGTTGCTTGTTCGATCCTGCTAAATTAGACAATCTTGACTGTTTTGAATGTAGCGCAGTACGTGCGCGTGCTGCGCTTGTCGCGTTGTAGTGCACTTGCTGTGAATTACATGACTTTGCATGTCCTCCTCGCAGAAAATGTATAGTAACTGTCACTATTGGCTGCTAAAGGGTACCCGATAACCCGCCCGTTAAGCCAGGTACCCGTTTGTAACCTTAAAGGGTAACCGTTTCACCCCTAGGACTCAATACCACAATGTGCGTAGCGACATGCACACACACTGCAGTGAAGCAAGTCAAGCTGGGATTCACAGACTACTGACTTAAGTTATTGAATGTGATGCAAAGCCAACCTTACACTAGAAGGCCATGAAGCAAGATTCTGGAGTGCATCATACAACAGACACTGTGTCAGCAGTATAACAGTACGAGTAATAAAACTGGCCCAGCAGCCAGGTGCAATAGTGGACATACACATGCTCTGTTACCCTACTCACCGCTTCCCATCGGTCCGTCACCCATCTGGCAGGCTTTGGGCATGCGTTGACGTTGCATTCTCGGATGCGCGGCGGAACCCTGGCACGACTCAGGCACATGTTGCTCGAGACGTCCGTCTGATCTCGAATGCGCTGGCACATAACGTTGCGTCTCTGCATTCCACGGCCACATGTCTTGCTGCACGAGCTCCATGATTGGGTCACCCATTCATAACTCTCGGGCCTATGCAGAAACACATACACAGGGAGAGGTAAGGCAATATTCATTAGGTCCAGGAATTCAACACTCAGCTGATGACGACATGAGTGATCGACAATGCACAGCCATGCATGTTGGTCGATGCCATGCAAGCAGGTAGATGATTCACAAATGGCATCATGTCAGAGGAAGCCCTAGATAAAGAAACGAAAGTGGAAAGCATCATGCGTAGTATGCGTGCGTGTGTGTGTGTGGTGTGGTGTGCGCCTGTCTGTCTGTCTGTCTGTCTGTGTGTATGTAAGTTTGTGCGCATGCATGTATTATATCAATACTGCACCAGGTGTACTTACGCCCTATTCGGACATGCCTGTCTGAAACAAGCCGCGTTGCTGGACGTGTTCGCACTTGGCGGTAGACCACGACAGAACTCAATGCTTGCCATCCGGTTGTCTCTCTTGCGAACACAACGCTCCGCCAACGTTATCATGCCCTGACCGCAGGTCACGGAGCAGCCGCTGATGAGTCGTACACGCTCGAATCGGTCTTCCGTGCTCACCGGCCGAACAGTTACCTTAGATGAATCCACAATGTAGCGCCACTGCAGACCCGGGTTGCTTGGTCTCAGGGAGAATGTAGTGATATTCAGCAGCATCTGGATACCACCCAGAATGGGTCCTTTGAGACCGTACACTTCTTTCGAGGCATGTATACGAATCTGAAGATATCTATCGGCCAACGGTACATACGTGACGCTGGAGAAGTTCCTCGGCAGCATGTCGGTAGAGAACAGGATGTCGCCGCTGGCAACCGACCTTAGCACCAGGTTGACTCGCTCGCCCTGGTTAGGCTTGGTCACGGTCAATGAGTATATTTTATTAGGCAACGTTGCGACGTGGTACACACCTGGCATCGCATGCCCAATCATATAGCTGCTCGACCTCGATACGCACGAGCCACCCTTGCCTTTACACACGCCGCACATGTCCCACTTAGCAGAACTCCCTACGATGTTGTCGCATCCCACTTTCCTACACTCGCCTTGTATGCACCGGTGGTTCTGTGAAAAGCTGCACCGAGTACCGTCGGGCACTGTGGTGTTCATGTCCTTTACAGCCTTGGGTTCGCCACCAATGGGACGGCACTTCAGCGCACAGGACTTGGAATGGTCTCGGAAATGATGTGGCAACGCAGGAATCCAAGTCTTAGCGTCGGTGTTTCTGCTAGCACAGATGCCTACTCTGACGTCCCTCTGGCCCGGGCCGCAGGGTTGAACATTGCACATGCGATTCTCTATGCGGTGGCCAGTGCAGTTACGTCCGCCCTCAGCTGGCTTGGGGTTTGTACACGAGCGAGAGCGATACGCAATGCCACCAGCACACGACAGAGAGCAGTCTGTCCAGTCCGAGAAGTCGCTCCAGCCGCCGTGGACAGCATCGGTAGACTGTTGTTGTAAGGCCGCGAAGCACGGGTCCGTGGAGCAGCTCCGACGTGACAGCGGTTTGCTGGAGCCAGCGCATCGTGGATCGCGCACGGTTGCGTGCCTGTACCTGCACACAACTCGGCGAGCTTGGACACCATCGCCACAGCTAACAGAGCATGCTGTCCAGTTGGAGACTTTCCAAGATGGCGGCCTGCAGCAAAGAATCAGAAGACACACAACAACATAAGGAAAAATGACGGAATTTGTTTTCTGAGCACTCTCTAAAATATTTTTGTCACACAACTTAAGGTAACTGTAAACCACTAGAACTCTCAACCAGTCTTTCAGTCAGCTGACGAAGCAAAATCTTTCTCTTCAAAAATGAAGCTGGTAGCCCTGGCCTGCAACATCTTTCCAACAATTTTCTGTTCACTTTATGGCTATTCTTACTCATATGTCGGTGCTACTGTCGTAACTGGTGGTGCGGTCGTCCTCAAGCACGGTGAGCGAGAGCATGACATTGTCCTGTTGACGTGGTACTTGCTTGGTATGCAGTGCAGTGGGTTTACTACTTCAGACGTGGCCATCTCCAGGCAAACAGGGTACTGTGTGTATGAGCCTGGTACAGGGCGACAACAAAACAACAATGGCGGCAACGATGACAACAACAATGACAGCGACGTCATTGACAACAGCAGTAGCAACCCGTCATTGAATATCAAATTTGGTGGGCAGTACTTCTTGTACCGGCTGTCGACAAGCAAACCGACAACACCACTACAGTACTGTGTCCTCTACGGGGGAGGGTAATAGTCTTCTCTACGGGGGAGGGTAATAGTCTTCTCTACGGGGGAGGGTAATAGTCTTCTCTACGGGGGAGGGTAATAGTCTTCTCTACGGGGGAGGGTAATAGTCTTCTCTACGGGGGAGGGTAATAGTCTTCTCTACGGGG